CCTACGCCCTGGCAGCCGTTTCGCACACGTATCGACTTCGAGGTTGCAGAACTCGCTCACGACGCCGGACTCTCTCATGAACAGCTGGACCGGCTCATTCACCTCATTCACCGCAGCAGGATGGAGCTCTTTACCCTCAAGAATCGCAAAGATGTGAGAGACACGTGGGATGCAGCGTCATTCAAGATGACACCTGTGTGTACTATTCACTAACTTCGTATATACTATGCTTATTTTGCTTCTCTCATGTAATAGTTTACAAAGGTGGAGGTTACTGTGCCCTTCCGTGGTGTTAATCAAACATTCCCGCTATTTCATCGTTCACTGTGGGACTGGGTCACCGATTTACTTCAAGATCCACAAGTAGGCCCCAACTTCGTCTTCGATGCGCAAAGACTGTCAAAGTTCAACGGCGAGAAGTTCGTTCGGTTCATTCATGAACCATGGACCGCTAATGCGTTCTGGGAGTATCAGGTAGTCATTTTCTTATTAGTATCGCGTCCGCATTGTAGTATATACCATTGACTGATTCAGAATATCAATATAGTCCAAAATCCCACCAGACGCAAAACCTCTTGCATTCATTTTGTATGCCGACAAAGCAAAATTGTCGTCATTCGGTCGCGCGAAAGGTTACCCGTAGTCGCTCGCTGTGCTAATCTTCCTATTACGATTCGCAATGGAGAAGGCTTGGGTGGAGGGCGCGTTGTTGGTTGGCTGCCTATCGTTCGCTCTACTCTTCCTTATAACTACTGATGATTTCATTATTAACACTCAGGACAGGTAAAGGAAGACAAGCAGCATTCTGGAAAACCTGCTTTCGTCAACTTCAAGAACGCAGTGTGGCACGCCTCGTTTCTGAAGATTCTCGAATGTCTGGGACCGCTATCAGGTTTGGTTCCGCCATCAAATGCTGGGACAACGTTATTCGCGCCTTCTATTCAATTGTACTAATACTATCTGCAGATTATGAAGAACAGTACGTGTATTCTAGTTCCAGTAACTATTATATATCTCTGACATCTAAATGTGTTCACTGTTGTAGGGCTGTAATGGCATTGATTCGTGGTTTAATGGGCAAATTTCCTTGTCCCGTCTGTCTAGTGCCTCGCGACGAACTTTCAAACACTCTCAAGGTATTTCCTCTCCGCACATGCACAGGAACTAAGGCATTGCTTGCTCGAGCGCGAGAATCTTCTACATTGGAGGCAAGAGAACAGATCTTGAGTTCCCAGAGCCTCCGCGATGTCGACGTGAGTCTCGCTCTTATCCTTATCTTTATCTTACTCAGTCTAATATTATTGTTTCGTTTTCAGAGTTCATTCGGCATTCTGGAGCACACCGACGTTCACAGGGCTCTATCGCACGACAAGCTCCACTTCAACGACGAGGGATTGTTCAGTGATCACACGTGGCCCGAACTGCAGAAATGGGTTGAACGTTTGGGTCGACAGGCCGCTGTCCAGATTGACACCTTGTGAGTCATTTTCCCGCTGTACTTATGTATTAATAGGTTTTAATTTATATTGTCAGCTTTCAATCAATTCCGCGTTGGCGAAACCTGAATCACTTCGATCAGGTTGTTTCAGTATCATTTTCCGATGGAACGAAATATGAAGACATCTCTAAGGTGAGTCTAGATCATTCATTTTAACATGTCATTCACATTGTTTTAGCTTATTGTATTTGCGGCACATAATGTATTTGACGCGATACAGATCCAGAGGCATATCTCATGCTCCGCTGTATCCGAAGCTACACGGAGTTCAATATGTATGCTTCGTTAGAGGTTCATACTGAAGATACCATCAATAATGGCCGGGAAGCGTTGTCAAAATTCACTGGATTGATGGATGTACGTATTTTTAGTTCAATTCTAATTCATTGCATTGAAATCAATTGTTTGGTCAGAAATACATCGAGGACACGGCAGAGATGTCCGAGAAGTCCTGGAATTTCCCCAAGAAACACCTTTCGGCCCATCTCTTTGACGACATGAGGCGAAAGGTGTTTCTCGAAACTACAGCACCAAGCCGAACGAAAAAAATGCACGGCCCATTGAAAGATGCCTATCAAGATCGCACGAATTTCAAGAACTTCGCTGAACAGGTGAGTGACTTCTGAATCTGAGTTCGCATATATATGACTAACAATGAATTTTTTTAAGATCCTCCGATACAATCATGACAGCTTGATTGCGGAATACATCCGCAACAAGTTGGATCACCTCGACACTCAGAATATCAGCGTAGACCGACCCGAATCACCCGATACTACACTCCAGGAGACCGACAACTCAGATGACATTGATGTTGACTCGACGGAACCTACTGATGCCCAACATTTCACTCTCGGTTCAAAGCGGGCGGCAATGTCATTCACACTCATCGAGGCAGGTAGTCCGGGTAATCCAGTGTTTGATAGATTTCGAATCAAGCTAAACGACTTTCTGAACCATGCGTTTGCTGCCAACGGCATACCGTTTCCAGGTGGACGATGGATTCAACTCGTTGCGAGCGACATGGTGAGTTGATGATGTTCAACGCTCCGAAATAACATAATATCTGAGTCCTTTTGAATTAGATCGTGGAACATCAATTCCTTAGAGTCAATTTCGAGTCACTTGTCGACTGGCGAGTGTCCACGGACTACCTTCGATGCACTCCGATGTTCCATGGCTCACCGCAATACAATTGCGTCATCTTGCAGACCGACACTGGCATCATCTTTGGCAAACTAATGTTGATTTTCACATGCACAGTAGGGGATGTTCAATATCCTGTCACGCTTGTTCTCCCGTATGATCGACCGGTCGGCGTTCGTCCTCAAAAGGACAAAGACTTTCAGTTTTGGCGCGTTAAGACAAAGCCTAGGGCTTCCGCAGAGTTTTTTTCAGTTCACTCGATTATTCGGGGTTGTTTGATAGTAGAGGATGCCAGCAGACCTGGCGAGTTTCTAGTCGTTGACACTATTGACACTGATATGTTCCTTCGAATGCAGGACATCTGCAGCCAGTGATTGGTCCAGGATTCTTACTTCCTCCCTTATCTCTGAATCCATATACATTTCGCTCATCTTTATCTCATCCATCGTTCCCTCAGTCATCGCTTTTTATGTGTCCGAGTCATCATCAACCCCACCAATTGCTTCACTCCTGCTCACCTTCCCCGTTGTGATCGCAGTTCCCCGTGGTCATCCGCCGCATGCTCAAAATATCCAATTCGGACTCAGGTCTCGCCACAACATTTATTCCTCTGTTTCTCGCGCCACCTTTGATCATTGGCACAATGTTCTGGATGCTCGAATGGTGACCGTCAACAGTGCTCCCCTCTCAGGCGAGGCTCGTATAGCCCTAGGCAACACGAAGAAACACCTCGAAAAGTTAGAGCGTCTACTAGCTGAATTTCAGGCTGCAACAGTCAACGGTGCTCCCCTCTCAGGCGAGGCTCGTCGTGTCATCGAAGAAGAGGCACGTGTAGCCCATGCTGATAGACAGAGAGACGAGGCAGAAGCACGCAGGCGCGTTGTTCTCGAATCTTACGACGAACTCAGCAAATATCTCGCCGCAATCGAATTCCTTAGAGATCCAGGTGGCCATCTCGTCTTGACACCCATCCCAAATCAAATCCAGCACTATCACAGCCCCTACTCTGCGAATCCTAGTATCACTGTAGAACCCCCACGTTTATACAATCAATCTCACCATCACTACACTTCATCCCTCAGTTCTGGTGCTCTCCCTCCAGCCCTCCCCGCTCTCCCCCCTCCACTCGTGGTGTCCGTCCTCGCTCAGGCAGCTTCAATGACACATCTTATCTCATTGCACCCCTCCAGCCACCTTCCAAACAACCTCGCAATGACCGTGGTGAATATGACCACAGGCCTCCACTCTCCGTAAGTCCCTCTCATACTACCTTTTTATCTCCTCACATTCTCCAGGGCTACATCACGCGGTCGCATTCCTGATATCGACCCCCTCCCCCAACAACTTCCTCAAATTCAACACCATAACCATCACCTTAGCATTCGCCCTACTCATAAATCTCACTCCTGATCCAGCAGCCGATCTAGTGTCCGTGCTACTTCACAGGACATCGAGGACCTCCTCCTTGACGCTGCCACTGATGAAAGGAGCGCTCTCAATGCCCGTGACCAACAGCCACAGTCTCCCCGTGCCGTGTTGGCTGCCCACTAGTCCAGGGGTATCCCAGTGGGTCCATTGGATCAAACCTGGCGAGCTCAGGACCTATCAAACCCACATTTTTGCCCCTCCCGTCATGGGCGCCCCCCAAAAGAAGGGGAAACCAGGGTCAAGCGCAAATATCAGTGCGTGCATTTTTTAATGAACAGATCTCGAGTTGATGACATAGCACCAGCTCACAATGGCTCCCCACCAACACCTGGACCTCCTAACGCCTTCGTCCCTGCCATCGCACCAGCACCTCCACCCGCTATTCCTCCCACCACCAAAGATGAATGCAAGATATTTTCCTTCGCATTCACATGGCTTGCACTTCCTTGACTGGCGTCCTGGTTCTCTGTCTTGTTATTCCTCGTCTTGGATCTACGGCGACTCTCACTATTGATTATCGTCCAGTCGAATCTCAATCTCTTTCTATCATCTAATGCAAATCATCGAATCGGATCACCCCACGCTCCAATCATATGTTTTCATCCCATGCTTCATCTTGCTGTCTGCAACTGTTGTTTTCGTGCTCTTTTGTTTCTTTTTCTTTTTTTTGTGTCCATGCGATTCATCGTTGTTCATCATTTCGTGCTATCTGTATTAATCCAAACTAGTATGTCTCGAGTCAGATCGGAACCGTGACCCTCCCTCTCCGCCTGTAATCGCTACCCTACAGACTTAGACTACTGACGATGAAGATCCTGGACGAAGACGACAGGGTGTGGTGTCATCTGGTGGGTGAAACATCCTCCATTTTATCACTCCCTAGTTGACACACACCTTTCAGCACAACACCTTCCTTCTCCCCACTCCGACCCCAACACAGATCCAGACGCAGACGGCAAAGGTGATGCGGATGTAGACGCAGAGTTGAGAGAAGCAGCTGATGCTGCTGCTGACCACCGCAGTGCGTCTTCAGCTGGCATGAAGGAGGAAGACATAGAAGTTAGAGAGTAAGCACAAGTCCATAACAGCCGAGACCGATTCGAGGAGCGTGACAATCCTCACCCCAGGTATCCCCCCTCTGGTTTCTCCGGTACCCCACATGCACTCGGCAGCATCGACAGAGCATTGACGCTTTTCCCACTGCTCGGGGATCTTCGGGCCATCGCTTCGCCCGCTGTTTGGTGATAGCGACACCATTGGTTACCACATGGTGAGCTTCCTTTGATTTAAATGAACCCCCCTTCCTCACCATTTTGAATGGCATTGCCCCCAGGTATGGAGGATTGTACTGACATATTGTACCGGCACCTTCATCGCCAGGTATTCCAAAACACGAACCTACCTCTGTTCAATGTCGCTTCTGAATCACCTGGACCGGCTACAGACTATTAATACTAATACCAAGACTATCTATACCGTGCAGCATCATTACTTGGCCTGGCTTTATTTCGAGACTGTGCATCTGAATCATCCTACTACAATATTAATTACGTCCTACCAAAGCTAATCTTCATCTTCTGAATCATTCATACCTACTTGCCACCAAAGGTGCATTGTTAACATGATTATGTCAGCATTTAATCGTGTTTTCTCACTAAGTCCACTGGTTGAGTTCAACGTTCAATATTGCAACTTCTGAATCTTAATCTCAAACCAATTGGGACCACAATCCAAGCATATTTATTATCATGTCAAGCAAATGCAGGTGAGTCTGCATCATTAGTCTTCTAGGTCAAAACATGTTGAACCAATAGCACGACATCTGATTCAGAATCTTTCAGTTTTAAATATTACAGCGCTTATTAGACTGTTGTGTAATAACAGTCATCGGTCCCAATGGTGCATGCCGGCTCTCCAATACTTCTTGGCCATCAGCACTAGATAGTGCCACAAATGTAAGTTGCCTCGTGTCATATTATCATTCACCTGCATGCTGATTTCAATTTCAAGGCTATGCACGATGTAATTTCCCTCGTGTTTTCTTTCATCATGTTGTTCGGTCCAAGTTGCGCAGCAAATATTTTCGACTATAAATGGTGGGTCTGTCCGTCATTACTTTCCGTACTGTGTTGTACTTGACTGTACCAGTTCTTGTGATGCCTCAACGTCCCATTGCACATGATGACTCGGAGTCCGAGTTAGACTACAATGACATATCTGATTTGGACAATGCACCGGTGGCAGGGATCTCGTCAACCACCACTCAGTCATCGGCTTCTGTGCAGGGTGGAGACATGGAGGTAATGTTTATGCCTTGCTTCGCTCACATTTGGTGACTCTAATTTTGTGCATTTCTGTTAGATCATTCGAAGTCTGCAACTAGAAAACCAGTCACTTAAAAATAACAATAGGACTCTGGGCGAGAAGAACAAAATCTTGGCATCCAATCAACGTCGACGTTCGAGTGCGCAAGTTCCCGACGAGCTGAAGGCTTACGACGTTGAACTCTCAACCTTTGCTCACAAATATGGTGTCATTGCTGAGATGTTCCCACCCGAGCACCGTGTTCTCAGATTGCTCGTGCCAAACCCTCCGCCCATGATCATATCTGCTAGTCGCTACGCAAGCAAGAGTGCCGAAGAGCTTTGTCTTGTGACAGAGGTGTATTCACTTCTACCGGATCACCTCCATCGTTTCGTACCTACCTCTCATTTTCAATCATTGGTATGTTAGTTTATATATTTCATTGTGTGACCAAGCACTGATTGATATGTATTGCAGCTAGAGCAGCATCTCCAAGGCGGGCGCTCGAGTGAGATCGGCAAACTACGCTTGATGGCAGGGCGTATTTTTGGTCTGGATTCATCCTACTTTGACCTGTGTTTCATGAAGCGGGATACCATTCCTGAAATCCAGAAGATGCTCGGACCAGGTACCACTGGTGCTCGCTCCTCTCCGTCAAAATTTCCGCCCATCCTTTTTACAAACCGAGAGATGGACCCCACGATGTCCACGGTTTTTGGTAATTGGGAACCGCTCGCAAAGGTAATTTTTTTCACTCTCTGAAGAATCTATTCTTGTGCTAATTGATCTACATAGGCAATTAGGATCGTGATGTTCGGAAAGAATTCACTGGACATTTCTGGGTGGCCGCGTGCTAAGTGCAATGCTCGAAAATGGGGCACAACGTCCTGTACTCCCGGTCTTCTTGCATGGGGTTGGGTCGCAGTGAGTTCTATTTCTGCTATGATTGATCGTCTGAACCAGCATCTAACTATTATTCTTTAGTTGATATTCATCCTTTCTCCTGATACTTCATTCGCAAAAGCTGGAGTTGGCGCAAAGTCTCGGCTACCATATGCTGCCATGTTTACGGCCTACAAGCAGCTGTGGGTCTCCCTTTGGGATCAACCTCGCATTTGCTTGATCCGCAAAAAGATCGACGCCTACGTGTGGCAATCATCTTCGACTTCCAATGTTGCGACGTCTGACGCTGAAGGTGAAGATTTTACCTCTGATCTGATGTGTTTGGCCATCGCAAATGCAGGGTGCAAGGAATCTGACTTTCCTGGACCGACTACCGACAACATTCCTGGAACGACTACTGACAACACCTCCGATATTCCTAGACCAGTCACCCCCATTTCACCCATAGTCATTCCGGCAGCATCTGCGTCAGCCCTTACTCCTGGACCTGCAGTACCGGTCATTGTTCCTGCTGCACCGGCCATCCCAGTGCTTGGCCCTGCAAAAACTACCACCGCCCCAGATCCCAATCCTACAATCCTCCTGCCTGCTCAACCGACCCCAACTGTGGCATCTGCAGGTGTGGTCCAGGGTGCAGCTGCTGTTGCAGTCACTGCGGTCCATGAATTTCCTCCCGCAGCTGCTGAAGTATTACCCAATGGCGTGGAGATTCTACCAGTGGTGGCAGCAGCTCCATCCTCTGGCCGTCGGGGCCAAGGAAGGCAGGCGGGGATGCTGGCGCCTGTGTCTAGTGGGCCAGCAGGCGAGCAGGCCAGCCGACCAAAGCGATCCCGGAAAAAGTAGTACGACCGCCACCTACAGATCGCTATTACCGTATTATTTGATATGTTTTGTTGAGGATGGGTGCTAGTTACAATTGTATTTACTTGCTCTCAATGATATTTGGATTGAATTGAAATGTGCCTGTTTGCGTTCCAACGTTCTTGAGACCCAGTTAGATTATTCGGATAAGCCTTGGGATCTAGATTTCAAGGTACCGCAAAATCAGCTTGGACAGTTGCAGCCGACGGTCAATATTTCTGATTTGGTTGAAACCCTAATTGAAGCCACGATTGTGACACAAACTCAATATTGTAACGTGAATTGTAACACAAATGTAACGTCACACTCTTTTATTGCAACCTATTGGGACTTCGGCTTGTCATTGATTCATTGCAACACGTTACAAGGCGACGAAACCCAATTAGGAAATTTCCGACACTAGCTAGGCCTGACCTCGACGTTCGTCTGCGTACCAAACAATGACAAATACAGATCAAAGTATTTTTCTATTTACCATCACCACCTTCCACAAGGCGACCTTCATCGTGATGGTATGCGTTGAAATGAAGAAATAGTTTCTATTCAGGCAAGGCAGAGACTGCCTTCTCATTTCCACGGTGCCACAGTGTTTTTCCTCGCACTCACTGCCCTCTGCAGAAGTCCGCACAACGTTCTGCAATGGTCTTTGTCCGCCCCTCAATATTACTCTTCTCAACATACGACACCCCTCAAACACCAGTAAGGTACTTTCCTTGCACATCATTTACATTGCGATATCAATAACCGAGTATCAAATCTTCATTGTCCTATAGATATCTTCACGCCAACTTCTTCCGCCTCTTCTCGTCTTGTCCCAAGATGAGCTTTAACATCGCTCTGGACATCGTACCGTGGATATTTCGCCCACTTATAATGGGCATCCTTATTCAATGCTCCCCTTCTCCCCATCCGCGTGCTCAAGAGCCATATCTCCGCCTGCCGATGCTATTTTTCGTTAATCGATTCACGCCCGTGTTTGAACAGCTGTTGGGCACTATTCTATCTGGGTGGCCGCATATCCTGCTCATTCTGATGCTAGCAGGTTACGTGGTAAGTTGTTGTGTCCATCCACACCAGCCCTACATCCCAACTTACCGAGAAACATCCATTATTTCCCTACGCACAGCTCCCGCTTCTTTGACCACCTTTTTGCATTGGGGCATGTGAGGTCTGACTTGGTTCTCAAAATAATCATTGGACCTCAGATATACCAATGGTCTTTTTTCCTTCTCTTGTATCGTGTTTGAGGTAAGAGGGTTCGGTATTTGCTGATGACGTTCTGCTTACTATGAGCATTGGGTTGTCAGGGAGTCCTTGTTCAGCGGCCCTCGAGCATGCTTCCTCGATGGACCACCTTGGCGCAAAGCACGTCCAGGTACTGCTGTCGTAACCTCCAATAATTTTCAAGATGTTGCTCCGCCTGCTGACGCTGGTTGCCCATAAGTACGCGACGTCATTCTGAAAATTACTCACAGGCAAAATCATCTAGATGATCGCGTACGTCTCAAGCTATCTTCTGGTGCGGGTGATTCGGAGTAGAGTTTGCATGGCAGAATACGGGACCCAATCAAACTCGCCAGCGAAAACGATCCACACGACACATCAAATTCGATGCCGATCAGTTGTCAACATGTATGTGACGTCTCGCATTCTATATCGATACTCACATGAATTGTATCTAGGTGACCATATACACGCCTCAGGCTGTCATTCTAGTGCTCGTGTGTTGGGTGGCTCACTGGTAGCACATAGGAGACTCAATATTACTCGCCAGCACCAGTGACATATATGCCACTATTGATGATGCAGACAGGCCGCCAACTCTACCCCGTTAGCAGTCTTGTCAGTACGCTCTTATTCGGCAATTCTCCTTCTCTTCTTTTGCACGCTGAAATGACACTCATAACTTTAAGTAATTCAATCCGGGTGAACTGTCTCCCTGAACCTGGCCGTTGATGTGTTGAGTGAAGAGCAGGCCTTGCCTAGTGAGTAGACCAAATTTGGCATTTCAGGACTAATTGTTGTCCCCGATGCCTGGACTGACTGATGGCTCTATTCTTGTTCACGCTCATGTACTCCTTGGCTGTCTAACCTATCGTCTGTACGCTGGACTCCTTGTAAATTTCTGGGTGATGAGCATTGATTCAGTGAGCGGCCAAGATTTGTTATGATATACGCTGTTGACAAGGCTTAGATGTTGCACGTCTACTCTCCAGCTTCCTGTTTTCTACAATGAGATGCATGATATCGATATTGGATTCTGTAGATGAGGTCTTAATCTCGGCATCAGAAACGTTGAAAGATCGGAAGTGACTTGAATTTATAATATGGTTGGGGTGTGGTGAAAGACGAACAAAAACACCGCTGAAATGTCCACGTGTCTGCAACATTGTGTTCGAATACTCAGAACAGTTTGATGCAATGGTATGAGGGAAGGTGACCTCTGTTAATGTTCACGCGTGCAAGTCGAAACCGACGAGCGAGCAAGTGTAAAGTGTGAATATTTTATTGCCCATCGTTGGGTGGGAAATGGAACACAGATTGACGCTCTATGGCTATGTCTTTATCTGTGGCTGTGAGCCGAGAAGCGAGGAGGAGAAAATGCGATGAATGTTCATGGCGATGCATAGGCGCCATGCAGAAGCGTGTTAGGGTGCAAGGCGGCGCCTAATGCCAATAGTCACACTCACATTCGAGAATCCATCATCCTTCAAGTTCTTCGCTGTTCAAGCTCTAAGCCCTCGGTAACACCAAAATCTCATCTGAACTTCCAGCGTGAAGTAACTGACGTTTAGCTTTACCAGAGGGCGCATCTTCGAAACGCTGTCAACGTCAGTCATAAAACCGACTACCAACACCAAGAGACCTCACCTTTGCGCTGTTGAACGCATCCAAAGAATACCTTTCCTGCACTTGACAACTTCACGGTTTCCCTCGCGGAGACGCAGCCATGACTTCCACATCGACAAAGGCAGTCGACACGAAATTGATTCTGAAACCGGTTACGACTTTGAAGGGTCACGAAAAGTATATTCAGTCGATTTCCTACTTTCCTGATGGCCAGCGAATGATCAGTAGATCTCGTGATAAGACTACTCGGCAATGGGATCTGAAGGCGGGTAAGGAGATCGAGGCCGCGCGTGGTGTTTTCGAGGGAGAAGTATCGGCAGTTGCGGTATCAAGGGATGGTCAATGGATTATTACTGCTGTTGGAGATCACAATACCAGGGAGCTGAAAGCCTGTGAGGTGGAGACGGGGATCGTGAAAGAATTCAAAGGCCACTCAAATGACATCACCTGCATTGATATCTCCACGGACAACAAGCTGCTGGCGAGTGGGTCACGGGATTCGACAGCGCGGATATGGAATTTGGAGACCGGCAAACTCGTGGCCGGTCCATTCAAGAGTGTTCATTGGTTGTGCGCAATTCGATTCTCGACGGATTCGAAGAAGCTCGCACTCAACTCGGATGTGGGGAAGTGCCTTGAGGTCTGGGATATCCAAAAACAGAAATTGGATGCGAGCATAGGGAAAGAAGGTGATGGGAGCATAACATATGCGCCAATCTTCTGGACAAACAAAGACAAGAACATCTTGGCCGTCTTCAACTTCACCGAAGATGACGAAGCCAAGACAATTTATGAGTTTGACGCATCGACGCTGGAGACTGTTGGAACTCCCTTCGAAGGGCACACCGACCTTGTCACCGGTCTAGCACTTTCATCCAACTGCACTCTCCTTGCTAGCGCTTCAGCCGACGACACCATCAAGCTCTGGGCTTTCGAGTCCCGCCAACTCCTCGCTTCCTTCAATGTTCAGGATCTCCTTACCCTTGTCCTCGCACCCGACTCTCGCAAATTAGCTTATACGACATACATTAAAGATGATTACAATATGATCTACATATGTAACACTCCACCCAACGTCCTTGCTCAGGCCCGTGTATGCATCCCCCACAAACATCTACCATCAGTGTGCTAACATTCCCTTACAGGCCAGTGCACACAACAAGTTGACCCTTGATGATGTACTAAAAGTATGCATTTCATTTGTTTACTCATTACACCACTCATCCATCACCATGATTGCAGTCTGATGCAACTCGTCGTCCTCCTGCCGTGCACCGCAAACCACCAATGTATATTACACCTATATCGCAGAGACCACCTACAATAGACCCACATCCATCCATTTCCCTTCGTCTCCGCAGACTTTTTCGGATCGCTTCTCACACGAATGCAGTCCCTCCTACACGTAATGATCAACTTTGTGGTCCCCTGGATGTATGTCTCTTTTCTTCTCTCTTTCGCATTTGACTGCACACTCACAATTTAGTTCCCTGCCACGTCGCCCCTACCCCGCCCTCTCTTGGGGCGCACCACAACTCAGAGACGTTCAAACATGAATTCCGGCGAGAACGTGAGTGTTGGCAACTTGCCATCACATTCGACTCACTTTTTTTAGTCTCGATCACTGTCAATCACCCAACCATCTGCTACCTCCAATACTCGCCCATACAATCTACCAACCTGGTGGCCCCTTCGTGTGAGTCACGCACAGCCGCCTATCGTCGATGTTCCTCTCGCGCAGGGTAAAGAGGTATGCTCAACTGCGTTTTCTCACTGTCTTCTAGTCTCATGCATTAATCTACAGCGCAACGCTTCAGCGGATGCTCCCAAAAAAGACGATGATATAGTACCCGATGAATACTTCGACCCGCCTTCACCAAACCCCGATTCACAACAACCAGGAGCAGCAGCACAGACCAACACTGGAGGGCATGGAGGCGACCGGTGTTGTTTCTGCTTCTAGCATCATTGCCGCTGACATTTTCTGTACCGTATCTTCGCTCTTCTCATTCATCATTATATGAAGTAATGTGTTTTATCTTTGTATTTTCTCATTATTTTGGTTCAGGAATCCGACATGAACGAGACATATGGGAAACTACACAAACCTGCGCGCTCAAATGGTCAAATCTTGAGTGTGGATGCAGCGACTATATCGTAATGTGTTGGTTATTTGAGCACAGTAGATCGCAGGTGGTTTTAGATATGCTCGCTGAGCACGTGAGCCAGCAGACGATGTATGCACGCATACTTAGACATGTCCTACTATGCAGCTGTATCTGGCGAGGACACGGTGTGCCTTGCGGAAGCAGCAGGGAGGTGACCCAAACTCCTGCATCGACAAGTGCCGAACACTTAGAGGATGAAGGTGCACGCGACATGTTGGGAAATGATCCTCTGTTGATCCGTCAAGGCATCCGGTACCACTCTAATATCTATGACGCTCCAAACCCCACTTTATTAAACTGCGCGATACACAACATGAGTGCGCGATACACAACCAAATGCGCGATACAACATTGAGTGCGCGATGCCCAACGTCGGGTGCGCGATACAACAGGGAAAGAAATGAGAAGAAATGTATATAACTTCTATTTCTAGTATACTGCGCAGCCAAAATCTCCAAAGTTTGGCTCGACTGTCAGCCGTGCGACTGATAAGCTTTCGCCCGTGATCAAAGGCACTTTGGCCTTTCACAATGAATAATACAAGCTGGCTTTATACTACTATATAGTAATCCGGGTTTCACTAGCCGCTGCAAAGCTCAAATGTGACCGAGAATAATCTGCTGAGATTGTCTCCGACATGGAATCAAAAAAGTTTGTCATCATCTCTGTCCTCCCCCTTCGCAGTGTGATCACTGACTAGGAATATCTACACCCTGCAGCATCATTACCTGGGTCGAGGTCTCCATCCGTCTCTCGATGACACCACTAACATATCCATCATTACCTGGGCCGAGGTCTCCGTCCATCTCTCGATGACACCGCTAACATATCCAGAGGATTGTCCAGCCATATTGTACCGGCGCCGTCATCGCCCGGTATTCCAAAACACGAACCTGCGCTGGTACGACCGCCATCGAAACACAAGAAGTTCGTATTCGCTTCGCCCGCTGTTTGGTGATGGTGAGCTTGCTTTAATGACCCCCCCCCCCCTCCCTCACCATTTTAACGGCATTGCCACCAGGTATGGAGGATTGTACTGCTATATCGCCGTCATCACCCGGTATTCCAGAACACGAACCTGCGCCAGTACAACCGCCATCGAAACACAAGAAGTTCGTGTTCGTTTCGCCCGCTGTTTTTGTGATGCGGCGCTGTAGTTTACCTCATGTGACTAGAGACATGCCTCCTTAATCTTACTTAGACTTAAATAAAAAATCTCTCCTTTTTTCTCCTTGTATCTGCTTATTACGAGGGATTATATGTTCTTGTATTCCTTAAGTCTCCTTGCCACGCTTAAGTCTCCTTTTCCTCCTTATGCAGTCCACCAAGTAGAACAAGGCAAAAAAAGCACTCCGACGTTTTCCTGATGCTTGTGTATCGCGCACTCAGTAGTTTATCGCGCACTTGATGTTGTATATCGCGCACTCAATGTCATATCGCGCACACAATGTTGTGTATCGCGCAGTTTATTAAAGTGGGGTTTGGAGCGTCATAAATATCTTATCTGTCATTGAGTGTTTCACAATCATCGAGTGTCACTTACCTAGTTACGATAATTTCTTCCTCTCTTGCTACTTAAGACGGGCGGATGCCCTCGCTACACCTCAGTCACATTAACCATTGACTGAGGTGTGTATGTTTCTCTCACCTTACACGTACCGTACTCATTAGCACGTTTAGCTCGCGCTGTTAGGTTCGTACATTGGGAATTCAGTCACATCAACCATTGACTGAGCTCGCACTGTTAGCTCTCACCTCTTTACACGACATGTGATCCTTACCTTCCCGCAGATGCCAATGGTGTCAGCAGTGAAGGTGCCACTCGATCCGTGGTACACTGCGAATATATATCGAGACGAAAACAGGCGCACCAGATGTCAGAAGTTCCAGGTAAAAGACAGCGACCGTCATCTATGTTCGAGTCACTAATGTTGCCGCAGTGGATACCGTAAATGATGCAAGGCTCTGGACGACTCCGCGTGCATGTCTGCAAAGTTGTCTGTGAGAAAGGACTGGTTGAGGAGTGTGTACTTGCGAATGGTTGAAGCGATGGCATGAGGCAAGGTGACCTCTCTGACACGATCAAAAATTGCTGTTCGATGGCATCTAAACCGAAATGTCAATTAATGAAAAAGAAAAGGTTCGACGTTACAGCGCATAAAACAGGCTATGAAGATGCGCCAAAACCCACAACACACAGCGGCCTGTTGTCCATTGTTGATTCCAAGTGACTGACCGAGTTTACACAGGATCTTCTGTAATATAGCGCGTTTTCAAGCAGGATGCGAGGGATTGTCTCCTACTATATGGCTGTGCGTCTGAGTGAGATAGGAATTCGGAAACGCAGTATGTGGCAGAAGGGGTGACGTAGGATTGGTGGAGTTGAATTTAGGTACGGGTCGTATGTTTCCCAAACGATCCCGTTGGACAACTCGCCAGCACACGCGTTTGATAACCGTGTTATGAAATAAACCTTTCAATTGTAAGCACAAGGAGAAACACTCACCATGTGCGTATCCCATAGTGACCCACCAGGAGGACCTACATCCACCGTCTCCACAGCAGCCCCACAGGATTTCATACGCCACGCAATCATCGAGGATGTCGTCGTCGTCGGGATGCGGCAAGATGTGTCCATGTTTGAAATGTTCCAGAAGGAGGCGTGACCTGGAGTTGTCGTGGCGGTGGTGAGTGTGCGTAGGGAGGGTGTGAGGAAATTGATGGAGGCAGAGGTATCTGGGTATTGTTAGTGTTCGAGGAGGGACGGAACGTGCGAGGTCGTATAGGGTTTGTTGGGTCTGTTACCTCAGCTCGGCAGAATCTGTGGAGTAGTAGAGAGAGGGGAGATGGGTATATCTAGTTGGGCATTGGGCGTTGGGAAACGAATCCGGCTTGCGAGTGCCTGAGGTCGACCACCACCATAGCGAAAAATGTAGATCTGAATATTTCTTGTGGTCAGTTTGATGTAAAAACAGTGGAAATTGAAAACCAAGGTCAGTCAGTCGAAATAATAATCTGTTGAAGCTAAGGAAATCATAGTTGAATCTCGAAATGCAGTTCAGCCGCTTTTTGGTGGTGCCGTGCTGCATGTCGACAAAGTGGAGAGGGAATGCACGCTTTCTGGTTCGAATGTGATCAAATCAAACCATTTGTCCTCCTTTCGATAGAGTGTCGATAACAAAGGTGATAATCAAGACATTATACTTTCGCAAAACCGACATGCTTCCACGCGCTGCTCCATGCTTTTCACTAGGCTAAACAGACCATGAGTAACTCATATAATGTTAGAAGCTAAATCACGGACGCGAGGCACACTATCGGGGCGACACCAATGATGTGGCAAGACTGAATGCCGCATAGAATATGATATTCACATTGCGATGCGGGGAATGGAGTCAAACCAGCATCACCATTTTATCCAATGTCTATGTACAGGCGACGCAATATGAGCCTGGTCATCCCCCAATTAGGTGTTTGCACACAGCCTTATCTCTGTCGGCAGTTTTGGCTACTGTAGATGCGAAACGTGAAAAGCGACTCGTTATCATAGACTTGGGCAAATCGGTAGAGAAAGTGGTTGGTGAGGACAATGAGCTTGTGGCGGTTGGTCGTTGTAAGTGCCGATCTCGATAGTAGACGTTCGAAAACCTGACAGCTTCGCTGGTAATGGTGTCGTCATCGAAGGAAAGTCCTCAAGATCATGTCCGCGTCGAATGTGCATGCATTCAGGAGTGGTCGCCATGGTCCACCTTGGGCTCGAGTACTGATCCTCTGGACAGACTATATTATCAACGCTGCGGATAATATTGCCCGGAGGCTTACAGTCTGTAAAAGGATGTAAAACCTACTATTTCTCCAATTCCTTTGTGCCCTCGTACCCACCCTCATGCGTGAGAGACTCCGCTCTTGACATGCCACACTCCAGGTACGCAGTTCTTGTCTGGAAAAAGCCTCGGTGTTGCGCGCTCTCGAGTAGGACACACAATAATGTCTGCATTGTGTCGTAAATGCTGTATATGGTGAGGAAATCGATGCGGAATTTGAGTAGAAATCTTCCGGGTGTGGGTGGCTGACGTTATGAAGGTATCGGTCTTGCAAAGTGGTGTGGGCGTGGGGTCGGGTGTGCATGCCTGTGAGGTGGGATTTCGGATAGTCGACTTGGGCGAGGAATCGTCGATGGCAACATATCGTAGCGCATGAGTCTAATTTACTGTCGTGTATGGTTGAATCTGGGATTAGTTCTCGAGAATTAAAGTACAAAATAGATACTCACTGCATGTCTTCCCTCGTGACACCACCCAACCATATCCCCAAATCCCTTTAACTCTCCCCTACAGTAGCCCAGTGCCCATACAAAACACGATAAACGAGGGCACTCTCATCGACATGTAGAATGCGACAAGACGGGTCAGTATCTCAAAAACGTTAATCCTTCTGACGACGGTCGATCGGTTTGGTGTAGAAAACATTCCTATATAATGGAAATCAACAAAACAAAGGAAGAACGAATATTATAAACGATATATTGAGACTTAGACTATGTCTGTTTGATGTGGAGCATACGAGGTTGTAGGCTGTTGAGCCAGAGAAACCTCGGGCTCAGAATTGGTGGTAGAAGAATTGGGCGGTGGAGTGGGAGAGGGTGCTGCTGGCGAGTCGTTGTGGGAAATTGAGAGAGAAGGGTTGCAATTGTGCGTTGGGTGGAGAATCGGGCTTGCGATCGTTAAGAGAAATATTGGATCTGAATCATTCTGTTCGTCCAAGTTTGATGTAGAAAACTATGTAGATGATGTTCAAATGAAATGCAACATGCACACTGGCGCCTGCATACCAAACAACAACAAATACAATTCGGTCTCTATCATCAATGCTGAAACATTTTTTCTAGCACAACTAACCGATGCTCGCTCTCTCGCTGTACATCATAAGCGACGAGGGATTCATCCGCCTCCCTTCATGCGCCACTATGCCGTTTCTGCATATGCACGTTACTTCTCTGCCCGCCGATGCCATCGCCGACAAGTCATGCTAGTCGTGCCTATAGTCGAACAGCTGTTGGGGAACATTGAAAGTGTATCTGGGTGCTCACGTACCTCGCTCGTTCTGAGGCTGGTGTAATTGGTATGTTGAATCCTAGCACTGTGCATTTTACCCACAATGCTCGCGGCCCAACTCGCCAGTGCCCACGATGCATATCTGTGCACGATGTGGACGCCCTCTCGAGTAATCAACCTACTTCTCTTCCTCGTCGTTATGTTATTGATAAGTGTTGCTATCTTATGTGAGCAATACCATAGGTCAAATGGGCGAGATGCTGCGATGCCATGCTGATTGTGAGTGTTATCAGGGCATTCTCATTCGGCGGTCCTCGAGCGTGCTGCGTTAATCGTCCCGTCTTTTCACACAGCCGGTGATCAGGCCTGTCTCAAGCCGTCGTTCTGGCATCGGTGAGTTGAGGGGATGCTAATACACAGCCCACCATCCGCACCTAGTAAACAGTGTGATAGTTCTGATTCAGTGCCAGTCTATCTCTTTTCATCCACCTTCCTGGTTGATTTATTGCTAACAAGCAGGTCAATCCAAGTGGTCGCGCCACCTGTCGTTCTGGCCCTAGCCAGTTGAGGTGTGATGTGAGCGTCTACACACGAAAAATGACCTAACTCCCTGGAGTTAACGAAACCCGACACAGACACCCTCTCAAGTAACTCTCTGTTGACTCCAGGTCATCAGAAACTAGCATGCTCAGAGAACCGTTGCCATTGACCACCATTAGCTTGTGCACTGTATATTTCTCTGTTCCGTCTCATCGCGCTCACCTATATCCGACCAGTCTCCTTGCAGAACGAATCCGGAGTTGCATCCTCTCTGTGAGAGTACTTGAGAGGCTGCATCCCAGTATCAGCGACTGCAGGAGACTACATGTATCGATTCGTTGATAGCATTACGACGCCACGAGAAACAGGGCCGGATTAGTCCCATTCGCACAAGCCGAGAGCTCAATCGATGGCATTCATGCGGAGCGTTCTGCTAGTGTCAGTGCTGTGGTCATAACATTCTGTCCGTATGGCTCCACATCTCTACCATCAGCATAATATAGTGCCCTCAACGTACGTCATGATTCACAGCAGTGGCCTTGGAGAGCGGATTGAGGGTGACGGTTGTTACACGATGATATTCTTATCGCTCTTGACCGTTCGGATTGTGAATAGATACGTCATTTTTTGATCTCGGTATCAGTCTGAGAGACATTCAAAGCTCGGAACATTGTGAATTGAACGGTGAATGGATCAAAGCAAAAATAGTCGATGGTGAAAGGTTGTGAGTTGGCGTCAGGCCGATGGAAGTGAGAAAGCCTTGGATGAGAGAACAATTAAGACTATGAGACGAGGAAAGATGGTCTACATGTTTGCAATATTCATGAGAACGATTCATGCATCCGCTGGGGTCCAAAGCGAAACTGCAACGAAGAACGTTGAGTGCCAAGCGTCGAATGCTATAGCATATCATTATTTTTAGCCATTAAGATAACACCCAAGCTTACAAGTACACAGAAACACTGGCGGGTGGGAAATAAACAAGAGCTTGACGCTCGAGCACAGGAAGTGTATATGATTGATAATGACGACAGCACTCACATTGTTTCCCTCTCGATAGACTATCATTGCCCTCTTGGTAACATCAACTTTCAATCTGGAGTTCCAGCACGCATGAGCTGACGATCAGCTATACTAGAAGCAAAGTGCCATCGAGTGCGCGAGTTGGGAATATTCAAACCGACCATCAACGTCAGGCCTACAGCATACGAGGAGAACTCACCGTGCCTTCAAATCCATACAGAGAATACTTCTCCCGAACTTGACTACTCAAAGATTTCGCTCGCAGATACGCAGCCATGGCTTCTACATCGACGAAGGCAACTGCCACAAAATCAATTATGAAGCCGGTAACGACTTTGAAGATTCATGAACAGGACTCCGATATTTCATCCATATCCTACTTTCCTGACGGTCAGCGAATGATCAGCGGAACTGAGAATGGGACCACTCGGCAATGGGATCTGAAGGCGGGTAGGGAGATTGAGGAAGCGCGGGATGTTTGGAAGAAGGAGGTATGGGCAGTTGCAGTATCAAGGGATGGTCGATGGGTTGTGACTGCAGGTGGAGATGACGACACTGGGGAACTGAAAGCCTGTGAAGTTGAGACGGGGATTGTGAAAGAATTTAAAGGCCACTCAGAGAGGATCTACTGCATTGATATCTCCGCGGACGGACTGCTGGCGAGTGGGGCCCTGGATCGGACAGTACGAATATGGAACTTGGACACCGGCAAACTCGTGGCCGGTCCATTCAAGAGGGATGATTCTGTAAGCGCAGTTCGATTCTCGACAGATTCGAAGAAGCTCGCGATCAACTCATGGGTGGGGAAGTGCCTTGAGATCTGGGATGTCCAAACACAGAAATTGAATGTGAGGAAAGGGACAGTGGATGGTGGAGGAGGAGACACATCGACGCCAATTTTTTGGACAAACAAGAACAAAACCATCTTGGCCGCATTCACCTTCACGGACAATGACACCCAGACGATCTACGAGTTCGACGCACCGACGCTGGAGATTGTCGGAACTCCCTTCGAAGGGCACACCGACCTTGTCACCGGTCTAGCACTTTCATCCGACTGCACTCTCCTTGCCAGCTCTTCCAACGACAACACCGTCAAGCTCTGGGCCTTCGAGTCCCGCCAACTCCTCGCTTCCTTCAACGTTCAAAATCCCCGTACCCTTGTCCTCTCACCCGACTGGCGCCAACTAGCTTACGTGACATACAGGGTCAGTTACCAGAGGTACGAGATCCACATATGCAACATTCCACCCAACGTCCTTGCTCAGGCCCGTGTACGCATTCCCCAAACATCTACTATCCGTATGCTAACATTCCCTTACAGACAAGGGCACAAAACAAGTCAACCATCACTGATATACTAAAAGTACGCACCTCATTCATTTGCTCATCACACTGCTCATCCACCCCCATCATTGCAGTCTGATGCAACTCGTCCGCCTCCTGCCGTGCATCGCAGACAACAAATACCCGTCATACCTATGCCACAGAGCCCTCCTCCTACAATCGACCCGCCGCGACCCATTTTCCTTCGCCTCCGCAAACTTCTTCCCTTCTCTTCTCGCACGACCACAGAACTTCGTGGTCCCCTGGATGTATTTCTCTTTCTCTGGTTTCTGTTGTATTTAACTCAACCCTTGTGCTACAGCGCCCTGCTACATTGCCCCTACCATCCCAACTCTCTCTCTCGGGGCAGGCCACAGCTCAGTTTGAAAATGTCAGTTTTCAACTTTAGTAAACACGCAATGCGTGACTGAGCGCACATTTAGCTCGAAATAAGTTCTCCACCTCCTCCCTCGAATGGGGTCCCACGATTCCTGCGGCAACACCTTTCTTTCCTCGTACCAAGACACAGCCTTGGGCCGCCAGTTATTGATGTCGCAGCCGGGCGGAAGTTCACTGTAACGTACATGTTCTTACCTCTCAGTCCCTTTTGCTGATTTTTTCCCCTTTAGCGTTTAGCTGCTGCCAAATTACCGGAATACCGAAAAGCAGACGACACCCGATATCCGTCTGGGCAGCGGGACATCGAGTCATCTGACAATGATTCGCTCCCAGATGTGCATTGGTTCAAGGCGTTCTTATGCTATTATTCGTGCTGGTCTCATGGGAGACTGAGGAAGCCTCCTCGATGGCGCCTGGAGCGTGTCGATATACCCCGCCAGGATGGTGCAGCAAATAGCAGCCATGTTGTGACTAGCCAGCCACAGCCGAGGACAGGACCATCTGGCCTTGTGAACAATGTCGACATCCTCAATCGAGTCGCTGTGCCTCATCCCAGGTACAGTATACCTATACGTTCACTCTTTTGCTCACTAATTCAATCTGGTAGGGTCCAGCACGAAGAGATTGAATTAAAACCAATGGCTAGTCGATCTCAGCCAGAGGCAGGACCATCTCGCCTTGTGATGACTGACAAAGACCTAGAGGCGCAGTCTTCGTTGTAAATATGATATCCGTCGAGCATTTTCTCTGTTGAGTCTCGCATATGCATTGGACCTGTAGCTTCGATACCGTGTTTTGTCCCTTCTTTCGTATGACTATAGTTTTATATTGACCTTTCAAATTAATGTAGCTGGTGTTGTGCTTGAAAATCGTGCTCAGCCGCCCTGCGATCATTCTCGCAGCCTGCTGCAACTCATCAAGCGTGGTATGTATAGGAACAGGTATTTGATGGGCATCACCTCTACGGGCATGTCGTATTGTGCCCCCTTCTGTCGATGAGTGCAGAACTTAATGCACACTATTACTCGCATTACCAGCAGAAGCAGCTAGGACTCATCTAGTTTCCCTTTCACTCCTATCTTACTAGTTCATCAGAAAGCTGTTGAACGACTCCAACGCGGCTCTGACCAAAATGAAGGTTTGTCGTTCAGGCAGGTTCTGGGGGGAATTTCAAGCTTCTATTGATTCAAGATGATATATCAAAAAATACTGCAGTAGTCGTGTGCGGTTCCAGCTGTATGCGAGAGGTTCTGACATGTACGTTCGTTTTCTCCATGTTTGAGGCGGCAAGATAAACTCGGCGAGTCGCTCCACTGTGCACAGACGTCAGCATCGAGCAACATTGACACTGGCACGCACATCGTGCCGATAAAATGCAATGTGCAAGTAACACGCATCGACAGGCGGGTTCGCATTCCTGCCTAACCCATAACCAACTTTTCCCTAGATATTTCGAAATAGGGATCCAGCAAAGTAGCTGCCTATCCATAACCGAATGAACGACCCAACAAGAAAAGGAATATCATACCAAGATCCTGTCAGGACATTTGAGGTGATCAAGGAGGAATCGACTTCGTTTTTATGTTTCAGACAGCGAGGTAACAGTGGTTAAGTCTGACGACAAGACCCTATGATGGAACCTTGAGGACGACGCAGAAACGATGAAAGTAAATGATTGATAAGACGGTCGGCGCTCGAAATGGGGTGCATGAGGTTAGCGCTGAGTACACAACATTGATAAGACGAACTGAGTATTGTCAGCTGCACGCTTAGACAAGGAGAGTCCATTGAATAGTGAAGCCTAGGTTCTGAGACGGCCAGTCTCGGACACACTGAAAAATAAATTGACACGAAAAGCATTTTAAAACACGACCGAAAATAGTCAAACTCACCATGGCAGCCTCCAATGATTTCTTCCAGTCGCCCGTGATACATGCAGGCCGTCCTTGACAACACTTACCTTTTGTCAACGGATGGATGTTGTGTCGATAAGCTGTATGCAGTGCACCACACACAAGTCCTGCTATTGGTGTGTGCGAAATTCGATGGTAAACAGTATGCCGACACAAAGATATCGAGGTTGGAAAGGGTGGTGCTCATATGTGCGAGTGGGACTTTGGCATGCAGTGTACGGGAATGTTCCATGCTGGGGCGGAAGAAGTGTCGAGTATGGCGCTGGATTTGTTCAACTATTCCCCACACAAAATATGCACATATACACAAAGGATTCACACACACAGAGTCGCGTACCGTTGCCGAGATGTATCAGGATGCTTTGGGATTAGCGTGACTTCCCGTTTTGGTAGCACCGCACGACGACAAAATGCTCGAGCTCGCTGTTGAGGACAGCGAGCTCAAAGAGTTGCCCAATCCTTCACCCTTTTCACTAGTTCTTTTCAGGGAAAAAATTACCTGTGGCTTAACTATGCTTACTCTTGGACAACACAACCCTCCTTCCCCACCTTCTCCTCCTCCCCCCACCCTGACCGCTTTTCTGGTAGTTTCTGGATTCTAATTGAATACTTCTGGCTTTGTAGAAGTTCTAATATATTTATACAATAAATACATCATTAATTAAACCCATAATAAGCCCCTCAGAGCGCCCAGTATAAATACATGACAGGAATGGGTGAATATTGTAAGTATGGAAGATTTATGGTCAAAATAGCATAGTTAACTAGCTACAGCTTATTATTTTTTCCCTGAAAAGAACTAGTGAAAAGGGTGAAGGATTGGGCAACTCTTTGAGCTCGCTGTCCTCAACAGCGAGCTCGAGCATTTTGTCGTCGTGCGGTGCTACCAAAACGGGAAGTCACGCTAATCCCAAAGCATCCTGATACATCTCGGCAACGGTACGCGACTCTGTGTGTGTGAATCCTTTGTGTATATGTGCATATTTTGTGTGGGGAATAGTTGAACGAATCCAGCGCCATAGTCGAGCGTGGGGATATAGATGTCAGTGGTGGAGAAACACACATGACATGGAGGTGGATGGGGGTGTATGTGTATGGCGTCTGTGATCTGAGGGACGGAGTGTAACGATTCAGATCCCATGTCATGTTGAGCGACTCCGTAACCTCAAAGCCAGGTCAGGGTCAAGATCGGTGAAGCAGGAATGGGTGTGGGCTACTGGCGAGTCCGTGTGGAAAATGAAGGGAGTGGGAGTGTATAGCTGAGCGCTGCACGAAGGAACTTCGAGATCTGGAAGCTAAGATAGGCGTCACTCTTATCCAACACCCTTACATAATCGTAACCCTAACCCTAAAAACGGCCAAATCTTCGACTTGAAAATTTTCAAAAGTTGAGATTGAGAGACTGCAGAGAGATTAGTGACGATTTTGTGATTAGTACATGTAATAACACTATATACTGGTTCATTAGTCCTTTATCAGTGCCTCCTTAACTTTAAGAATCATATAGGGGGGTAGAGTGCGATGTCCCCTCCTCGCTCCTCCTCGGTCCTGCCCAGGCACATATCACGTGATGTATTATATAAGCGGCCAAATGTTGGTGTGCCGAAAACTTGAAAATCATTCCCTTGCATCCCATGGCCTTGTAAACCACTTTCTGACTTTATAGAAGAAAAGTTTTTGGAGGATGAAAATCTCCTCCAGTTTTGAATATTTTTTATTTCTGCTTCCTGGCAATTCAAGCTATACTACTATTAAATAATTCCTAGGATCCATATACATCAGAAACAAATATATGTGCCCATAATTTGAGTAATGGTGAGGCTCTCAATGTGCTGATGTAAGCGGTGCTGGATAAGAATGACGCCTATCTTAGGACGGTTATGTCAACAACGACAAACAAACATGGCTTGTCACTTCAACCCGCGGTAGTAACTCGAAACGAGTACACGTCCATCCACCTCTTTTCCATGCTTGAAAAATGCAGGTACCGCATCTGTACCTTATAGTTATTATCGAGTTCCAATCTCACTTACCATTCCTGTTCAAGGATCATGAAAAACCAACAAGGTCCGTACTTTCCCTGCCACTGGTGCTCACAGAACACCCAGCTCGCCGTAGGAGCTATGTACCAGGAGCTTAGACCTATTCGCTGCGAGACCACATCCGCATATTGTCACAGTGAAGTTGGTCAATATGGGAAGCCCGAAATGATGTTACGACCAACAGTTGGGGTTGATGCAGTCACACAGGCACAAGGTGAGTATGTCCCAATCGATGTTCTAACCTAGTTATATCTCAGATTCGCAGGTGCTTCCTTAGCAGGCAGGTCTCAGGTAACGGTGTATACACGATAAACCTCACATCACTTGGACTCTCAACCTGTCGAATTCTCTGGATGCGTCATTCGTTTTTGGATTGGTGCGTTAGCGGGGCATTCAATGTCTGGAACATCGAGAATTCAAAGGTGACCAGGGTGTGATCAATGCAAAAGTGGACGATCTGCAGGTGCGAGGACAAGGTGCACTCTGCCCTGGACGCTACTAGCGCCCTGTCAGTACGTCCTTATCCCGCAGTTCCACTTCTCTCTCTTTGTACGCTCAAGTGCCACTCTCATAGTATTGAACAGTTGATCCAACTCCACCTTCTGATGCCAGCTCAAATCTGGGTGGTCGCACATACTTGTCGATCTGACGCTAGTGAGTTCAAGTTGAAACGTAATATCCGTGGGTAAGCACACATGAAACACGACCGAATCGCCAACATTAACAAAGCCTGATATTGACGCCCTCTTAAGTAACTTTCTGTTGACAGGGCGTTAGAAATGAACATTCTAGGACAACCTTAGAAATCAACCAGGATTGGCTTACACGCCGTGTGTATATCTCTCTGTTCCGTCTCACTGCGCTCACCCATCTCTGACTAGTCTCTGCAGAACGAATCATCAGTTGTATTCTGTCCGGGAGATGTAAGGGGTTGCGTCTCGATATCAACGACTGGACTCGGAGGAGACTACATGTATTGATTTGTTGAAGGTACTACGACGCCACCAGGGCCGGATCAGTCCCTCTCGCACAAGCCGAGAGCTCAATCGATGGCATTCACGCGGAGCGTTCAGCTAGTGTCAGCGCCATTGTTATGCACTCTGTCCGTATGGCTCCACATATCTGCCATCAGCATCATGTAGTACCCTCAACGTACGTCAGGATTCGCAGAAGTGGCCTTGGAGAGTGGGTCTCGGGTGACGGTCGTCACACGACAATGCTTTTATCACTCTCGACCTTTTGTGAATAGATACTTCATTTTTTTGATGTCGGTGTCAGGCTGAGAGAAATTCAAAGCTCGGACTATTATGTTTTCAAAGGCAACGAGGGTGTGCTAAAAGATGAAAATGGTCGATGCCGAAAGGTTGCGGGTTGGCGAGGGGCGTCAGGACGAGGGAAGTGAGAAAGCATTGGGTGAGAGATCAATTGAGACTGAGATGCAGAGGAAAGTGATCTACGTGTTGGCTCTGTACAATGTTCATGGGAATGATTCATGCATCCTCTGGGGTCCAAAGGCAAACTGCAACGAAGAACGTTGAATGCCAAGCGTCGAATGCTACAGCATATTCTACATTTTTAGCTATTGAGATAACGCCTAAGCTTACAAGTACACAGCAAGACTGGGGGTGGGAAATAAACAACAGATTGACGCTCGAGCACAGGAAGTGAATAAGAAAAGAGCCATGCTCACATTGTAGAACTCTTCCCTCTCGATAGACTATCATTGCCCTCTTGGTAACGTCAACTTTCAACCTGGAGTTCCAGCGCGGACGAATTGACGATCAGCTATACTAGAAGCAAAGTACTCTCGAGCGCTCGAGTTGGGAATCTTCAAAACGACTTTCAACGTCAGGTCAACAGCACACGACGAGAGCTCACCGCACCTTCAAATACATTCAGAGAATACTTCTCCCGTACTTGACTACTTACCGATTTCGCCTGTGGAGACGCAAGCATGGCTTCCGCATCAACAAAGGCAGATGCTACAAAATCAATTCTGGAACTGGTAACGACTTTGAACAGTCATGAACAGGACTCCGATATTTCATCCATATCCTACTTTCCTGATGGTCAGCGAATGATCAGCGGAACTGAGGATGGGACCACTCGGCAATGGGATCTGAAGGCGGGTAGGGAGATTGAGGAAGCGCGGGATGTTTGGAACAAGAGGTTGGAGGTATGGGCAGTTGCAGTATCGAGGGATGGTCGATGGGTTGTGACTGCAGGTGGAGATGATGACACCGGGGAACTGAAAGCCTGTGAAGTTGAGACGGGGATTGTGAAAGAATTCAAAGGCCACTCCGAGAAGATCCAGAGTATTGATATATCCGCGGATAGCAAGCTGCTGGCGAGTGGGTCATTTGATGAAACAGCGCGGATATGGAACTTGGAGACCGGCAAACTCGTGTTTGGTCCATTTGAGAGCGATGAATTTGTGGGCGCAGTTCGATTCTCGATTGATTCTAAGAAGCTCGCAATCAACTCATTTAGCGGGACGCGCCTTCATGTCTGGGATGTCAAAACACAGAAATTGGATGCCAGGTTAGGGACAGCAGTGGACGCCGATGGAGCAGGATACACAGATGCACCAATTTTTTGGACAAACAAAAACAAAAACATATTGGCCGTATTTAGATTCACGGACGATGACGACGCCACCACGATCTACGAGTTCGACGCATCGACATTGGAGACTGTCGGAACTCCCTTCGAAGGGCACACTGACCAGATCAACGGTCTAGCACTTTCATCTGACTGCACTCTCCTTGCTGGCTCTTCCTACGATAACACCGTCAAGCTCTGGGCCTTCGAGTCCCGCCAACTCCTCGCTTCCTTCGACGTTCAACGTCCCCGCGCCCTTGTCCTCTCACCCGACTCGAGCCAACTAGCTTACGTGACACCCAGGAACTTTCGCCAACGTAGTTACGCTGACTACGAGATCAATATATGCAACATTCCACCCGACATCCTTGCTCAGGCCCGTGTACGCATTCCCCGTACACATCTACTATCCGTGTGCTAACATTCCCTTACAGACCAGTGCACAAAACAACTTGAAGTCAACCATCACTGATATACTAAGAGTACGCACCTCATTTGTTTGCTCGTCACACTGCTCATCCATCACCATCATTGCAGTCTGATGCAACTCGTCCTCCTCCTGCTGTGCGCCGGAGACCACCAATACCTGCCATACCTATGTCGCAGAGACCACCGCCCACAATCAACCCGCATCAACCCATTTTCCTTCGCCTCCGCAACCTTCTTCCCTTTCCTTCTCGCACGAATGCAGTTCCGGCTGTTCAGAACAATCAGACTCGGGGTCCTCTAGATGTGTGTCCCCTTTTCTTGCTCCTTTTGCAGTTGACTCAACACTTGTGCTTCAGTTCCCTGCTACATCCGCCCTACCATCCAATGCCGCCCTCTCAGTGCAGCCCACAGCTCGGATTGAAAGTGTCAGTCCTCAATGTTTTTGGAAGAAACTTGCAGTGTAGCTGAACGTGTATCCAGTTTGAAATAAGTTCTCCGCCTCCCCCTTCGAACGGAGTCGCACGATTTATGCGGGAGCACCTTTCTTTCCTTGTTCCAAGGCATAGCCATGGGCCGCCAGTTATTGATGTCGCAGCCGGGCGGAAGTTCACTGTAACGCACTTTTTTCTTACATCTCGGTTTCCCTTCCTGATTTGTGCCCTCCAGCGGCTAGCTGCTGCCAAATTACCGGAATACAGAAAGGCAGACGACACCCGATACCCGTCTGGGCAGCGGGACATCGAGTCATCTGACAATGATTCGCTCCCGGACGTGCATTGGTTCAAGGCGTTCCTCTGCTATTATTCGTGCTGGTCTCATGGGAGACTGAGGAAGCCTCCTCGATGGCGCCTGGAGCGTGTCGATATACCCCGCCAGGATGGTGCAGCAAATAGCAGCCATGGTGTGACTAGCCAGCCACAGCCGAGGGCAGGACCATCTCGCCATGAGAACAGTGTTGATATTCTCAATCGAGTCGCTGTGCGTCCTCCCAGGTATGATACACCCATTTTTTACTCGCTTTCTCGCTAATTCAGTCTAGTAGGGTCCAGCACGAAGAGATTGAATTGAAACCAATGGCTAATCGGTCTCAGCCAGAGGCTGGACCATCTCGCCTTGTGATCATTGACGAACACCTAGAGGCACAGTCCTCGTAGTGAATACGTCATTCGTTGAGCATTTCATCTGTCGAGTCTAGCATTGTACCAGTAGCTTTTATAACACATTTTGCCCTTACCTTCGTGTACCTGCATCTGGCATTTCTTGGCTCTCAGATCATGCTCAGCCGCCCTGCGATCATCCCCGCAGCCCGCCACACCTCACAATACGTGGTATGTATAGGGACGGGTATTGTACAGGCATTGCCTATATGGACATGTGGTATTGCACCCCTTACTGTCGATCAGCACGAAATTTAATGCACATTTCCTGACGTCAACAGCAGAAGACTCGTTTGATTTCTCTTTCCATCATACATTACGCCTCGTTCGTCCAAGAGGTGTTGGATAACTTCAATGCAGCTCTGACTAAAATGAAGGTTCATTAATCACGCAAGTTCTGGGGGGAATGTTAAAGACTCTATTACATCAAGACAATAAATTGAAAAAATACTACAGTAGTCGTGCGGTGTGGCCCAGCTGCATGCGAGAGGTTCCGGCATGCACCTTCACTTGCGTCCGTGTTTGGACACAGCAAGATATATTTGAGGAGTCGTTAGACTGTGCATAAACGTCAGCACCGAGCAAACATTGACAATGAGACGGACTGAGTATTGTCAGCTGCATGCTGAGACAAGGAGAGTCCCTCTCCAGGCGTGGAAGAGCGTGCATGTGGATGGGGTAGCCTTGTAAGCACTTAGTACTAGTAGCTGCTTATGCTGTTAAAGGCGGTGTGAGTGAGTGACTGAATTTCGTGTGTGCCTTTAATTACCTGTGTCTTTCATCCTTCTAATCGCACTCAAGTCACCGCTGGAGAGACGCTCTGCTCGCGTTTACAGCCACGGGACTAGCCTGTCGGTGTGGACGGTTGAATGTGCACAGAAGTGCGCGCGTTTTATATCTGTCTGTACCTTGAACCAGCCTTTGGACTCAAACATACGAGAAAACTACTCACCGTGCATCTCCCATAATAGCACCACTCATCCGGAGGACCCATATCCACAATGCCCTCGACCACAGCAGCCTCATAGCGTCTCGCATACGCAGCACGATCAACGAGGAGCGTTAACCGACACGTGGGATGTGGCAAGAGGTGCCAGTGTTTGGAAGTTCAAAGGAGGCGTGGTAGCATACGTGATGAAGTTTTGGTGGCGGAGAGGGGGCACAGAATAAATGGGTACAGCACTGTTGGCGGGGATATTGGTATGGGGTGGAGTTGTGCGAGGGTATATGCGCGTAGCATTGGAAGAGGGATCGGGCAAATGAGGTCATACAGGGTGGTTGCCATTGGGTCTGTTACGTCGTCGGCGCCAGAATTAGTGGTGTGGGGGTGGGCGAGGGGGCTTATAAGTACTAGCGAGTAAGTGTGGAAGTTGTTATGGAGGGAGAGTGTTTGTATCATTGGGTGTTGTGATGAATCGAGTAAAGGACTATCAATACGAACGTTGATGTGGATCAGAGTCTTTCTCGAGTTCAGTATTGAAAATTAATTAAAAATGAAGGAAGTCGTAATCAGCAGCCCTTGATCAATAATTATCTTCACTGCCTGCGGCCTGAACAAAGCCTGACGAGTTCAACGTTGAACGCGATGTTCGTCTGCGTGCCAAACAATGACAAATATAGATCATTTTCTTAAAGATTCACTGTCACCGCCTTCCACGATATACCAATGGACGTTTTGTCTTCTCTTGTATCATGTTTGAGGTAAGAGGGTTTGGGATTTGCTGATCACGTTCTGCTGACTATGAGCATTGCATTGTCAGTGAGTCCTTGTTCAGCGGCCTTCGAGCATGTTGCCTCGATGGTCCACCTTTGCGCAAGCACGTCGTCCAGGTACTGCTGTCGTAACCTCAAATAATTTTCGAGTGATGTTGCTCCGCCTGCTGACGTTGGTTGCCCATATGTACGTGACGTCATTCTGAAAATTACTCACAGGCACATCCATCCAGATGATCGCGTACGTCTCAAGCTGCCGTTCTGGCGCGGGCGAGTTAGAGCAGAGTTTCCACGACAGAATACGGGAAACGCAATCCAATTCGTCAGCGAATACGAGCACACAACACATCAAATTCGACGCCAGCAGTTGCTAACATGTACGTGCCGTCTTGCATTCTATATTGATTCTCACATAAATTGTGTCTAGGTGGCCATGTCTGCGCCACAACAACAGACTCTAGCGTTCATCCCCACATTCTGTCTTTGTGTGCTCGTTAACGTTTCCACCATCGATGTCGAAACACTTTTTCTCGCACAACTATACCCTCTCGCTGCACGTCATAACATTCTGCGGTCACAACTTGTGATTATATAAGTGGCAAGGAACTCATCCACCTCTCTGCGTGCGTCCTAACTTTTGACTATTTCCATTTCTGCACGCGACATACCCCGCTCGTTCTGAGGCTGGTGTCACTGGTGTGTTGAATCGTAGCACTCTGCATTTGCCCCACAATCCTCACGGTCCAACTCGTCAGTGCATATGATACTCTACGTACGATACAGATACCTTCCCGAGCTGTCCATTTTTTAACTTACAACTTCGACTTTTCTGAGCACTTTGTTTCATTGGGCCGTATGGAGAACAATGATAGGTTGGGTCTAAATCATTCTTGAACTTCAAACACCAACTTGAATGGGACAATTTTGCTTCCCCATCGCTATGTTATTGCTAAGCGCTGCTATATGAGGTGAGCTACACAATAGGTCAAATAGCTGATCGTGTGTGTTATCAGGGCATTCTTATTCGGCGGTCCACGAGCGTGCTGTATTAATCGTCCCGCCTTTGCACACAGCCTGGTGATCAGGCATGTCTCAAGCCGTCGTTCTGGCATCGGTGAGTTGAGGGGATGCTGATGCACAGCCCACCATCCCCACCTGGTTAACAGTGTGATAGTTCTGATTCGGTGTCATTCTATCTCTTTTCATCCGCCTTCCCACGTTGATTCGTTGCTAACAAGCAGGTCAATCCAAGTGGTCTCGCCACCTGTTGTTCTGGCCCTAGCGAGTTCAGGTGTGATGTGTGTGTCTACACACGCGAAAAATGACCTAACTCCCCGGCGTTCACGAAGCCCAACGCAGACGCCCTCTCAAGTAACTCTCTGTTGACTGCAAGGCATCAGAAACTAGCATGCTGCATGCTCAGAGAACCGTTGCCACCGACCATGATTAACTTGTACACTGTATATTTCTCTGTTCCCTCTCATTGCGCTCACCTATATCTGACCAGTCTCTTTGCAGAACGAATCCGGAGTTGCATCCTCTCCGTGAGAGTACTTGAGGTGTTGCATCCCAGTATCAGCGACTGCAGGAGACTACATGTATCGATTCGTTGATAGCATTACGATTATCTCTATCATAGATTCATAATATTTAGATTCGTCGATGACATAGTAGAATCTGAAGACAAGATACGAGAAGGAAACAAATCAATACAGATAAGCCGCGGGCACCACGCCCTCCTGGCCTGTTTGTGGATTCCGTGTGTACCACCACCTGTAAAAGAACATGAGCGCGTACATCATAAAGCTAAACAATATATCTCACGCAGCGTCCCGATCATCTAACACTTCTACCTCGACCCCAGTCGTCAAAGGTAGTTCGCCCTCACCCGTTCCATCGAACGAGTAGCGAGCGTGTACAAATCGACTGAACTTCTCTTCAGTAGCCATCGTACCCACGACCGCGTCTGAGGGAGTTTCAGTTCGCAAATAGTTACTACCATCTGGTCCAAATGGATCGGGCTCTGTGGTGGTGGCTTCTCTCGCGGCCTCGTCCTTCTCGGCGATAGTATTCAATGGGCTCATGGAACCAAGAATGAGTAGATTAAAATCCTGAGAAAAGCGGGGTTAATCTGAATCCACCACACTACAAACTACAAGTGCTTACGATTGGGTATGAGCTCGACAGCTGCGGTTTCTGTTGGTAATCCTGCTTCAGAATGTCCCTAACAGACTTGAGTAGCTCTTGGTAACTTTGCACTGGCTTCCGTGCTGTACGCCGAGTCAGTCTCACGCAACGAGAAACATAACCCCCGACCAACCCAGAGCCGTAACAAAAGCCTATCGCCCATGCATGTCAGCTGCGAGAGTTTGTAACGAAATTGTCGCTCACGTAGCTCATAGCCCCGACAGCCATACCGCCCCGCGTCGTATCAGCACTGGCTTGACGGCCAGCGAATGATATCTAGACAGGAATAAGCAGCAGGAGCACACAGCACATCAGGCGGTCACTTACCACGTAGGCACCTGTAGCATTCAATGCTCGATACCGAGGAGTTATATGACTTTCCTTGAGGTGTCCATTCGAACTGTACTGCAAGATGATTAGTCCGCATACTGACTCAAGCAGGTATCGTGCTCACAGTGTATGGCAAATCTGGCAGGGGGAGGGGCATTTAGTCAACTTTTATCATTACGGAATGACAGACTTACTTAGTGCCGTGCGTGAGTGACAAGACTATGTAGGGGAATCTATCAGAATTATCAGATGGACGCATTGTACGAACGGCCTTACATCAAAGATAGCCTGAATGGATGGGGTTCCGTTGGTCCCGAACAGGAAGCTACTAACATTAAGACTTACGATCAAATGACAGCCTGCTGGCAACGATTTCACCTGTGGAATTTCTCATCAGTGTCTTTCTCCGATTGTAGGCCAGGCGTACCATAATCTGGTGCATTTCCTGCACCGGAGCTATGAGAGGTTGGCAATTACAAGCCCTCACGTGATCAAGAATTATTCCCGCCTTCCTATGGTCGACAGGGTATATCACTGTGCATGAAGAAATTTAACGATGTTCTGAAGAGAAGGGAATATTTCTTACCTTCATCAAGCCCATTCAATTTATCTCCATCCTTATCTGGAACCTGATCCCCATGACCCGAGTCTAAACGACAGTGAGGACATTCGGCCGAAGGTTAAAAAATAACGCACAGTGGAAAAACAGCGAATCGTGGGGATGGGCGTCATTCACAAGCCAACGCATTGCATCCAGAATATTTCGCCTTGTTGGCATTTGCCTCGAATTATTGGTGTCATCAACCAACGTCACAATATCGCCCTCTTTGTAGCCCCACTTGGCTGAAAGGGGAGGTATGAATATTGACGCCGCAATGGACAAAGAGCAACATACATGTCAAGAACCGCTTCACATTGTACACATCGTTAATGCAGCCCCTAAGCTCACGTCGTTGACCTTTATAGTTGATTCCGATCTGGACAACACACTCAATTCGAATTTTCAATTAGTATTGTGTCTTCACTTACGCAGAGCGCTTTCTGCTTCCCGGAGTAATTTGAATATTGGAAAGTATATGGCTGGACTTGCTGACCGACATGATCAATCCCAATGGTAGTCATTAGATGTGAATGAGTGTCAGTCTGTGTGCACGACATACGATCATCAGCTCATGGTCAGGGTGGGGTGGAGAATTATAGGGTGGTTGTTCTGTTATGTCTGAACCATCAAAATTATCTTGCGGGGAAACTACAGGGAAGCCACTCTGCGCATCCTTGGGAGGATCGCCGGGTGGGCTAGAAGAACCTTCAAGTGAAGCTCACGTAAGTGGATGGTCAACAAAGCATCACAAACTATGCAGGCTGACCTGGCGAAGAAGACCTATGCATGACAAGGTCGAGTACTTCATCTGCTGAAGGTCGAAGCGTGGGTCTGGATTGCAGACATTTTTGAATGATGTCCCAATCTGAGTCCAGTATTGCAGGATGGCTGTTGGGGCGCTCCGGGGAATGACCTTGGGAGATCATAATAATAATACGCATGTCCGGCTTTTCAGACTTGACCTCAGACCAAGGATGTCGACCCGAGAGAATCTTTCCAATGAGTCCTCAGGCGAATATTTCGCGACCAAAAACCGACTCACTTGAAGCATTACACAACCAAAAGAGTAGATGTCCGGTTTTTCCGAAGGTACGTCACCGGAATCATCTGATAGAACAAGTTCTGGTGCTGCATAGCGGATTGCACCGGGGTGCATCGATGTCGCAACCAAGTACGACTGGCCGAGAAGGGGCCGGATAATGGTGGAAAGACCAAAATCGATTAGCCTCGCATGGCCTCCCTCGTCAATCAGTATGTTCGCCTACAGGCTCATTAGTTTACAAGAATGCCTCATGAGTAGCTCTGGGTTTACCCCTGTTATATCCCCGTGCACGACGGGCACCGAGTGCACTGCACCAAAGGTGTGTTACCACTCAATTCCGAACATCTTGAGAAGATACATAAAACTAACAGTAACGCAGTCCAGCACTGATATCCTCTAGCTTCCAACTTCGAATGAGTCTTTAGAAGTGAAAAGATGTGATGAGAATTCTGCTCACCATACATGAACGGTCTAGCACTGTTAGATCGTTGTGATTAGATGCCAGATAGGCATTCAATGTGCCGTTGGGGATCCACGGAGTTACTAAGCATCGCAACTCTGGCCTCGATCCAAATCCTGTCGCTGTGCCCAACAGCGGTACGATGTTGTCATGGCGTAGAATCTTCAAAATGCCAATTTCTCGGCGGATTTTCTAGACGATTCAAACGCAAAGTAGCATGGAATACAAACATGCGGTCCTCGAGTGTATCGCTTACCCTGTTTATTTTCTCCTCACCATAACGCCCTGAACACCTGAAGGCCTTGACCGCAACCTTATCCGTTGATCGATTGGTCGGCGTAAGCCAACGCATAGTCAACGAGTCTAACATGGACTGACGAGAGTTGAAATACCATCTGCATTGCACTCGCATTTCCATACATCGCCGAATGCACCTCCGCTAATGTGGTCCTGAGTTGTTCGAGTGATAAACGGTGTTAAATCGTCTGGCAAGTCCTTCACCCTACACGGTTGCGCAAGACGTTCAGTGAAGTAGATACCGCGGCACTGGGTACATATGACACTACCATACCTCGGATTGTACTTTGTCATGTTTTGTCGATCAGTTTCGTGAGTAACGAATGGTCAAAGAATGGTTGATGGTCACCCGGGCGGCTATATTGCTCGGGTTGACTTATTATTCTTCTCACGCGTTCTGGGAAAGGGATTAATATGCTGGTTCGGGTCAATTTTTTTGGGATTCGGTGGCGGTTGCAGAGACCTGTGGTCTATGCATCGTGAATTGGACGAAAATACATATCCACACTCTGAATTTGATCCGGCTAAGCCAACCTGAGGATGTCCTCTTTTGCATATTCCACGCAGTGGTAAGTGAATGTCAGACAGATAATACAAGAGATACCGAAAAGAAACATGGCCAGCGCTGGTCTAGAAGACGAATCAACCGAAAGCGGCTAGCGATCCCGACGCTTGGCAGTATACACTAGCCTGGAGCTACGGAAGCTCGCCCGATAAGGGGAACATAAGGCAGAGTTACCAGCGGGAATGGCCTATCGCACTTGGCGTACATATATAGCACTAAATATCTCCTGGAGTAAGCAGCGACGGCTATACAATTCAGCGAACAAAGCTTCAATGAACAGCTCACCATATATGTGCATCTCTGTTGTGAACGGGGATAACCTAAGAGTGAGAAACTCTGAGATTTCAATAGTAGGACTGGATGGATATATCTACGTCAATATCGTATGTTGGGTAGTCTCCCGCAGCAGATAGTCATTCCATCTTTTTTATGCTTGCCAGGCGTCCGTGCCTCAGAATCATTTTGCCCCCTGTGGCCCCCACGAACTCGAATGCTCAGAATCGTCCTTGTAGTCTACCACCACCGAGCGCTCGACGCGTACGCGTACACCGAGCTCTATGTCGTCGGCATGCCCACTGTGACCAGATGTGGGCCTGAACTCTGCATTGATGGGGCTTTTACAGCCTTTGGAGTGGCTCTTAGACTCGAACTGTGAGCGGAGACCGGACGTCACTTTTTTCTGCGCAGAGAGTGTGGGACGCGCTACGATAACGTTTTCCAGGCGTTGAGTGCCGGGCTCTGACATTCCTTTGCGAGTAAGTGGAGCGCAAGCAACGGAACGAATGTATAGCGCAAGCGTTAGCGGAACAGAAGTCAAGCACTGGGGTTGTGCGCACCTCGTATATTGATGAGGATCCGTTGGCTCATAATCCACGTTACAGCATAACCTATTGATACCCTAATGATGCATTTTGAGCGGTCTTATATCCTTGATGCCAGACAACGCAAAACTTACCCTGCCGACTAACAATGGGGGCGAGTCGATATAATCGAGCTGAGTTTTTATAGTGTATCCGTATTTAATCCTACTTACCTGGGTGTCGATATCGGTCGTATGATAAAGGATGAGGTTCAATACGTTCGCCGCTGAGGGAACGTTAGGAGGGTGCTCATCACAAGCAGAGCGTACTTGCCGGACAACATGATGAAATATCCAATGCCGTCATAGATCAAGCTGAGTATGATGAGCGACACGCATCGACTCTCCCAGCGGTGAGGGACTTACACCCGTATCAGCCGTTCTACTCTGATAGCAATGGTTTAGCAACCATAAAGACGGGAGAAAAGAGGCGCACCTGGTACTGAGAGGATTATAGCGCAGAAGATGCATGGTAGATACCGTCACCATCACAATATCATAGATCATCAGAGCGAGGTAGTAGAACCAAGTTGACAATACTTTGCCAGCATTTGCTGACGTGCAGCTATGGTTCACGAAGATCTGAACAGCCCAGACTGGTGGCAAAGGGATCACTTACTTTCCCTAAAAAGGAACGTTGTTTGCATGAGATTTCGTTCTAAGGAACACTGACGTACATCAACCATAACAGCTGTTGGTTCTCAAGGTCAATACGAAACTAAGATTAAATTTAAAGCTAGAGCTTACGGGTGCGGTTGTATAGATCGGCAAACCACTCCGCCTAGAACGAAACGGATAAGAGAAAGGATATCATGTTTGTATTGGGCCCACCGAAATTGCGACGATGTATAGCACCAATAGCGCGATTCCTATCCGCCTATCTCTTCTGGCAATATTAAATGTCCTACACGGTATTTTAAGGCTGTGCAGTTGCAACCCACAAAAAGTTCGACGGGACATACCTAACACCTAGGATGAGCTGCGATACCATAGATTGTACGGCTACAGCGTGTTCAATAGAGTCATGGTAGGTGAATACCAATATAACAGACCTTTGAAGACAGGCGCCACAACATAGAATTGCTGACACGTTTGGAGGGTAAAGGTGGAAGAGAAGTATCCGTAATTGCTGACTACGATAGCCAATATACTAAAATAGCTGCATCAAATGTGAGCGGGGAAAAACATGATAGAATGAGGACAAAACGAACCGTATAAGAATAAATAATGTGCAGGCAATACTGATGGAAATGAAGTTTGTTAATAGTAATACGTGAATGCCCTCGTACACATACCTCATATGAAAGAATGACGATTGGCTTCGGTAAAAGCGCCATTCTGCGGGGAGTGTAATGATATAACTGAACGTAATCAGTGACGACTTCGGGGGAGCTACACATAAAGAAAAGACTTACTCGTAAAATGCGATGGAGATGGATGCTATTCGCATATACTTCTCCGAGGTTGTGCTGTCTACAACTAAACGCCGTTCCATTTAAGGTGCGTTTATTGGTTCTGCGTTAGGCAGATTTGGCTGCCAAGGCGAGGGATGAAGCAAAAATTTGAAATGCTGCGACCGAGCAAGCTGATAACGAAGGCCCTTCTGCGAACAGGGAAACTACGAACCGGACGCTCCGCTTTTGACAGAGAAAGGAAGCAAACACCGAGCAGGAGGAATGGAGCCCAGGCATTGCTTTTCTACCACTGAGACCACACCTTTGAAATTGATCAACCACGCTCGGGTAGCCGATAGAAAAGGGGAAAGCTTGTCCAGACCTATCCAGACTCGTCCGAGGCTCGGTTGAATTCAAACTCAATAAAACTTTCGCGCAAGCTAAGTTTGAGCCAAGTGCAACTAGTACAAGCCAGCGAGGCGTGACGTTTAAGGTCCAACCCCGGTGGGTGTTAACTTTGCTGATGTAAGCAGACATACGGGGCTTAATGATTCATGAAATTCGTTCATCAATATTAAAGGTCTCAGTCTACTTTCAGTGCGACCTACGAGGGAACGCATCCGACTCTCACAATCCTGCCAGATGAGTCGCCTAGAACTCAAGCCAAAATGTTCGAATCTGAAAGGCTCCAGTTGGTCATATGTTCAAAATTTTATTCAACGTATGCGAATCGCACTCGGTAACGAAATCTGACCAGTGCCAGGCTAGCCATACTGAAGATCCCAGGAGAATTTGGCCGCGTCCCGTTGTCATAGTAGCCATCCACTGCTAACCATTATGTGTACCGATCTTGCTCGCAGTGACATACAGGACTCTTCTCTGAAAAATTTATGCCTTTCCGTTCTCTCGCATTTCTTCTGCAGCGTAACTCCCAGCCGCACTGGCAAGGCAACGAGCCCTCTTGCCACGACACTACTCCTCGGAAACTCACGACATTATTAGGCAGTATCAGGCTCACTATTCGACGTGAGTTGTTTTCATTCGATGTACCAATAATATACTCACATCCCATAAAGTGTCCGCAACCACGATGCCTATTCTTGCCTATTTGGCATTCTGCCAAGCCTGGGGCAACGGTGATGATTGACCGGGAGACGAGGATGAGGAACTGATAGTACTTTATGCGTAAGTAATTTTTCGCCATTCCATCGAGCGTTATCGCCTGAGTACGCAATTGCATGTCAGCCCCCCCAAAAAAACGCTCCACAAAAGGAATAGAGATAAAGGAACGCAACGAGAAGAAAAAGCACCTCTATCCAACTGTTATCCGCGCCGCACAGATTATTCTCCCTCAACGGATTGCGAAACTAACGATACGATTCAATGATACATCGACAAGCCATATACGTTGATGTACACCGAGACGCAGCTGTCTTCGTCCACCATATGGGTGAGGATTCAGAGGATCTTCTGACTTGATCTCGTCCAGTGAAACTCGCATTGTGGCTGGTTGGAAGGATACAACTATCCGTCTGTGGGATGCAACCATAGTGCAGCTATTGCAGGAGTGGGTCGAGGAAGTTTGTTCAAGTTCAACATTCCCCCCCTCCCGGTAGATGTTTATTCGATTTGCCGTCACGCCACTTACATCTTTTATAGTCCGAACTATTTATTGTTGTATATACCCAAGCCGAGGTAACGCCGCACATTGCCGAAACCTTCAGCGAGCTCAACCTACAGCTATGTCTGCAGTCATACAGACATTGAGGTAGCTACTCACCGTGACTCAAGAGACATAAGCGGTCTTACCGGAATGTAGCTGGACTCCATCCGTGCCGTATTGGCTACTGAAATGGATAAACTTGAAATACCTGCGTGGGTCTGGTCCCCGCATAAATATTTCATCGTAGTTGTTGTTGGAGCTTGGCGAAATGTTATTTGTTGACCCTTGGTTCGCTTTATCGACGCGATTCCGCCGTGAGTGCTCATATTTCAGGCAGAACTAAATCTGCCCGCAAACGGTGGCGCAGAGTTGGTATAAATTGAACGCGGTGAGTCCCAATTGAATCCCCAAAAACAATTGCCTCGTCTACAGTGAGTAATCCTGAGACTTGAAGATTTAGGCAACTTGAACATCGTGTCTATTTCACTTTAGGTTTTCCTGAACGTGCCACTATTAGCACCTTCGTCTACACCACACAACCAAATCACGGTGGGTAGTTTAGTTTCCCAGCACTGACGGTCATCACTAACACACATACTTAGATACTATGAAGATCCAGTTCACCTATCTCATCATGCTTGCCGCTGCCGCTGGGGTGAGGGCAGCTGTCGCTCGCAGTGCATGCGAAAGTGATTGCCTGGATCCCGACGCTTCCGCTTCCTGCGGGGCAGGCTGGACACCCACCTGGAAGAAGAGCAAAGACTGCTACGTCTGCTGCACTGGCTAGTTATAGTAGTGATCAAATCTGTACAGATGATATCTTTTATCACCAATCAAAGCACTAGACAGTCTTGTCGCCCTCGCCTTGCTTCATCTGCACGTTTCAGATATTCAATCAACTTTGTGTCGGGATAATTAACACGCAGGCCCTCTTTGGTGCGGGATACATCGCTCATGAGGAACCTATGCAAAACAAATTATCCAGTGTCTCCCAACTAAAAAAAAAACAGCGAGCAGGTCCGCAAAGGTCGAGAGTCTAGCCTTCCTCCCATAAAATATATTACACCACCACCTCGTTCGAACGGGAAATAGCGCACGGATGATAAACAGCTTTGAGAAATTTCAATAAGGACATTATATATTATCCGTTGACAACTTGTCCAGCACCGTGGGCAAGGATCCGATCGCATGTAATGTAAGGGTGACACCAGGGGCGATTAGGCGAAGTACACGACAACATCAGGAAATCATCGAGTTCCTTAATTTACTTAAAAAAATTACCAAGGTGGCTAAGGAAAATAAGTAGAATTAAGTAGGTGGCTAAGGAGAATAAGTTGGTTTTTTTGTTTTATTTCGACAAAAGTAGAATTAATTAGGTGCAAGTTGGCTCAGGAAAATTAAGGAAACATTAGTCATATTACTTGTGTGCCTGAACTTTCTTGAACACACCACTTCGTAGTATTTTGCTTATAACTCATTAGGATCTTAACTAAAAAATGTCATGAGACTATGGAAAGACTACCCTTGACAAGGGCTATAACTTTGATTTTCATCGGAAATATTCCCACGGTCTACCCTAGTCATTCCTTATCATAGTCCTTGATCAAAATCCTAGTCCCTAATAACCAAAAACTCGAATTTTCATCAAGTCTTTCTTTACTATTGATATTCTGTTGGTATTCCTAGTCTTAATAAGCAAACTTATCAGTCACATTACTCGTGTGCCTGAACTTTCTTGAACACACCACTTCGTAGTATTTTGCTTATAACTCATTAGGATCTTAACCAAAAAATGTCATGAGACTATGGAAAGACTACCCTTGACAAGGGCTATAACTTTGATTTTCTTCGAAAAAATTCACAAGGTCCACCATAGTCACTCCTTATCAAAATGCTAATGGTAGACCTATCGTATTAGACGATAAAGTGTTGTATTTTATTCTAAGTCCAACAGATATGGTATATATATTGGTTGCTGCCTTCACATATACAAGGTCATTTAGTCTAGTGGTAAGTGATGCTCGAAATTGTGGGAACTAATCAGCTGATCTCAGCTGGTGAGTGCATGGTTGAGAGTTCAAACCGAGTCAGTGGCAGAAAATAAAGTGGTGACATTAAGTAATCATTTTTCTCAATCTCCTCACACTTTCCGACTGCCTTATCTCGTTAAACCGCCTTAAAATAAGGAGGTTTCGGGGAAAGCTCCTTGGTTTAAGGCGATGGATCTCCTTAGAATTATTTATTCTAAGGAGGTTTTAAGTGTGAATTAAGGTAAATAAGGACAAATAAGAAGCAAATAAGGGATAAAAAGGAACTCGATGTTTTCCTGATGAAGTGCCTCAGAAAATGAAAATGAAATACAGCCTCACGCATACATTTACGAACTTTCGTGCACAGTGCCTACTACTGGTAAAATTGCTAGTACTGGGCTTCACAGAACTCCGAACAGTGAATCGGGGGCCTGCAAAAACCTTCAGTTCCTCTGATACACGAGAAGAATGTTTGTTTCGTGAATAAGGATTAGACGCAACTTGAAGCTTGAAGAGTGCACTGTGTTATTTTGGTCCCTATTATACAATGCTATGAGCACGTGATGCAGACGCGGGGGTCACGTTCACGTGTTGTGTGACAAACTAATGATCACAGTCACTCATCTCGTTCACGTTCACCGATTATGCATAGCATGTGTCCTAGTCTTCATTTATGGCAATATGAACAAAGAGATAATTTTACAACAGGTACGAAGTAGTTGCTGGCATGAATTTAGCATAGATGATTGGAGCATGGAAAAGGCCATCATGGTCCCAAATGTCGTGTCCTCACAGTGCGAAAGCCGCCAAGTAAACGATTGACTGACTTCCATTGCTCCATCACCTGTACTTTGCTAGAAAATTTACGTAGTAGGCCACTAAGCCAAGGGGCAAGATTCACTTCCGCCAGATTAGGGAAGAGGCTGCTGAGGACAAGAGCCACATACAATGGAGAGCTGATCGGCGAGTTGCCAAGCACAAGCTCTTGCAGACCATCATTACGAATACCATTGCCGGGGGATTTGACGTCTATACCATCAAGCTGCGTGGTATCGACGACAAGATAGAGAGAAACCAATTCAGGGCAACGCCGAAGCACGTTGATGAGTCCATGGAAGGTAGGCAGCAAAGTACTGTTGGGGTTGTGATAATAACTGAGTCTGAAAGTTTTGAGCTTAGGCCATGGTTCTACCAGCTCGCTTAGTTCGTCATCAGAGATCGAGATGATACATGCTGCCTTGACATTGACATGGGTTAAATTGTGAAAAAGTCGCAGTGGGCTGAAGTCGCTTGGTTGCGCAGATACACTGTGAAAGGCGTTGTGAAACTGTTCGCAGAGTGTTATGGTCTCGAGAGTGTCGTTGTCACATCTTTCTAGGAGCATGCCGCAGAACTCGAACATAGAATCGGGTTGCTGTCCGAACGCATTACCAGAAAAGACGGTGGTAAAATGTTTGGTTTGTACGGTCCGGAGATAACATAAGAAGTCTGTTATATGGTTGAGTCTGAGACCTTGAAGGACCAAGCAATCCAGATGTTCAAGACCAAGTGATTGTGGTGAGGACCCCTTGCGTCGGGGTGCTATGTGAAGCCAAAGTGTCTTCAGAGACTTTAGCTGCGTAACGTACTCCATCCCTGGATCGTCTAACTCGCACACAGCCAAGGTGGAAAGATTATGGAGCTGGCATATCGCCTGTGTCAGGGAGGGCACATAGCAACTGTTCAACGTCGGGAAATCTATTTGAGGTCGAAAGGAGGTGAGATTAGGACATGTGGTCCCGATAGTGGACAGGATGGATATCAAGGCCGGCGAAAATGAGGTAATGCGAAGATCCAAGGGAATCAGGGAAGGCACACATGCCACACGCAAGAACTCGATAGCGAGGTGTGATTGATTGTCATTCCAAGTCAAACTTCGAAGATTTGAAAACATGGTCGAGGCTGGATCAGGGTAAGACAACATTAGTATACGAAGATGTTCAATAATGGGCGTTGGATCTCGAGTTTGTGTGATCGAGCGCACGCGCGACGCATATTTATCAAAAGTGGCCCAGGCCTTGGTATCGATGGGCTTAAGCAGTATCTGCACAAAACTACTGAGTAATCAATAGGGGGAGTATGAAATGCCTACCAGTTCTCCTCGGAGACTGAAGCCCCAGATATGGGTTGGTAGACAGCTGACGAACGGCTCTATGGATGGCAAATTCCTCCATAAGACATCAAGTGCTGGACCTTTAAATGCGCGACACATCGATGCCAACCAGGAAGTGAGCTACGATCAGTGTACCAACTGATGTGGTACATGATTTCGTTAATGAGCAGAGCTTGGTGCATGAGGTTGAAAACGGAAATACAGATTCGAGGGCGTGATGAAAAAGAGGAGCTGGGATGGGTAACTGAGATAAGAATACTCGGTACGATGGCTCTTTTAAAGACAAAATGCGCCACCTGGTAAATTGCATTTGAAGACTAGATGCATACAGGGAACAAAAAAGGTCGTCACGCATGAATGTTAACCATGTGTGCCACATACACATGTAGGTCATGTTGAGTCCATTTCTGTAGAGGGCGCTGATAAATGCAGTGACAAATGCTTATTGAAGTAAAGAGGTGGGCTGTATGGGACAGCCGCTGGTGGCGGGGAATGTACAACCCAACGCCAGGATGGAAAGCCGTCCTCGTCACGTCAAGGCTGGAGAGTAAATCAGTTTTACTTGTGATGCGGGCAGTTAACAATTGTGGAGTGATGGTCGTCGTGAACAATATTATAGTAGAATTAATATTGAATTTGATCGATATGTATGTCGGCGCCACGCACCAAACTATGTTTCTGCAAATTTGGAGAGACGGTCGAAGCCTGCAGACTCCAAACGCAAGAGGTGCCGTGATGCCGAGAGTGTCATCTAGCTACAGACCATGATGTAACTGGGATGTAGATTCACATTACAGACGCATATCGAGTCAGAGGGAAAAATGAAACTGCTCCCTCGTTGATGTCTGCGGTTGAACGTCGTCTAAGTATAGTCCAAGATAATAATAGATTCATATCTCTCGATGATAAATTTCATTCTAGTCGTCTTCGATTGTCCTCACCTTCAACATGGACGTTTTGACCACCATTCACAGACTCATCACCCCCAGGGATCGTCCTCCATGCCCAAAAAATGTGGTTTCAGACACCAGCAAAAATTCAACAACCATCCAGCCCAATACTACTGTCAAGTCCTGTTTGCATTCGAGTGCTACCGCTTCTTGTAGGTGCGTTTGTGTTTGGCTCGATTATTTCATTCTGACGCTGCTGTCTCCAGCTTTCAATCAGGACCAAATCCAGTACTGATCCCTTCCATATGCAGCACATCTAGAAATGCAGGCTATTCACTGGGTGTAGCCAGCGAGTATTTGTAGTATGAAAAAATGTGAGAACATGGTCACGTTGCATCAGCTTGAATCCATGACAAGTCCAGCGTCTCGCATATTAGCTATGTATGGCTAACTCTATAACTATGAACTATCTAAATGACAACAAATTGACTTGCTCGAACATCTAGCTGGCTGTGGCAAGGTGATGTAGTCCAAGGCTAAACTATATGTATGAAGTCCATCAGTACAACCTTTGTTTTGCTCCGATTTTGTGGCCGTTTTATGTGACAGCTAGCCAGTCTTAGGTGACCTAGACCCAGGTCAAACAAGCCATGTGATACTGATCAAAACGGATACTGATTTGATAGAGTAATACAATCACGTCGCGCGCATATATGCTACACCCCCTCGACGCGTCAAATAAGCTCTGCCGCGCCCTGCGTGAACCCTTGTTCTAAACGCATCAATGGTGCGACATGTGTGACAGTGCTCAACACTACCAACCTCCAGTAATGAGTGGCTGGTTTGAGGCGTGAGGGTAAAGAAAGTCGGCTACATTTGGTGCACACGCAGATCCTGGGAGTCGACCAAATGAAGAGGTCATATTGCAGCAAGGTGTATGCAAGTGTTCGGGCAAGTTATACGGTGATGTGTTGGAGCCACTGCTCAACAACAGAAACAACAATATTGATGTGGTCATCTAGGATAGATGGTTGTCGGCCAGATACGAGCGCCAGGAAGCAGCAATCGCACTATGATGCGAGGGCACCCATGCTAGAAGATGTGGAGACAAGAGTCAGATGAATGTATATAGTGCTCAGGCAGCGGGAGGGTATACTGTCGAGGAAAGCAAGTGTGACAATAGGGAGTATTTGTGGAAGCAAACCAGCTCGTGTCTTGGGCGTCTATGGAAACGAGGCAGATTAATGTATTGAAGTAAGGTAAAAACACACAATACACGCACCTCTGCAGCTGAGACACAGACGCTCACAAACGCTCCAAAGTCCGCCTCGACCATGCTCAACACTACCAACCTCCAGTTAAATGTCGAAGTTCATTCCAAGCACCACACCCCTTCGAACTTTTGAAGGTCATGAGAAGTGCGTAAGCGCAGTCGCAGTTTTCCCGGATAGACGAAGAATGGTTACGGGCTCGTGGGACAAGACAGTTTGTCTTTGGGACTTGAAGACAGGTGTTGTGTTGAAGAAGATGGAGGGGCATCGCAGTGTAGTGGAGGCATTGGTGGTATCACGAGATGGGCAAATAATAGCAAGCGGTGATGGAGATGGAGAGGTCATTGCTTGGAATGGAGAAACAGGCACCTATACTTCCCATATTTCCTTCTTAGTAAAGAGGACAGACGGGGCATAAGTGTCCCCTTTAGTAAGCTAGAATTCATTCCTACTGAGCACCGCCGGTGCACACCACGAAAAAACTGTGGCTTAGATAACATGTTCCCAACGGTAAAATAATGCAACGACCGAAATAGGTAAGCAACGCAGGTTGGTCGTTCCCACGGCGCGCTGTCATGCTGCACGTTGCCGAAAGGCTCGTGTTCACTGTGAGCAACAGTGAGCTCAACTATATCACCATTACAACACATTTCTTTCTACTTTTTTGTAGCACCATCTAGTACATCAGTAATATAGATTTAATTCGCTTCTATTAAGCCTGTATACCTGTAGAGTAAGGATATATGAATATATATATGTTACACAAGTATAAAGCCTTCTCCACTGCATCCAGCGCCCCAGGGATCTTATTATCTGGTCGGAAATATGTCAAATAATAATTAGAACATATATAGATAGAAATATAAGTCAAACTTTATCGTCTGAGGGCTAGGGAGGACATTCAGAGGGGGAAATGGAGGGAGGAGAAGGAGGAAGGGAAGGAGAATAGTTCTGTGGGTCAGTGAATCGTTTAGATACATCCTATAATGATACCTGAGTGAGGGAGAAGTCCATAGAAGGTGGCTAGGTTCAAAAAATGCGAAAAGACAAGGAGGTGAACTGAGAGTGACACAAAAATGGAGACAGGCACTCACCAATGAAAGGCGCACCAAAGCGGTCTTCAGGGAGTGTATCTATACACTAATAGAGTCATATGAGCGGCCTACATAGGCGGAAAAATGGCTATCAGAGATACAGTGTAAGAATAACAGAAAAGATGAACAACAACATAAAAGCTCACCAGGTGGTCCAGAATGCGGTACTAGTAGATTTTACAGTGAATGGCATGTCCTATAACCACCTGAGAGTGATTGGAAGTGCGGTTGTGAAGAGAAGGACAAGTGAGAAACAAAAAAAGCGAAAAAAGCGAACCATCAGACTCACCAAGTCAAGGGAGGTACCCAGCATGTGTACCAAGGGTAAAACGGTCATGAGACACTAGGATACATCCCAGAAGGTTGATATAACAAAAGAGAGGCGCTCTGAACCAGAGGAGGACGAGTTATTAAGAAAGAGTGTTGAACAGGAGTGAAAACCACTGACCTTGCTACCAGAGATCTCTGGGTAGGTATATACACCCATAGATGTCAGGATAGGATAGAATACATCTAGAAGTATCAGTTTGCGAAGTTTCAAGACATACCAATGAGTTGTGGTAGAACTAGAGATGAAATAGAGAGCAAAGATGTTATATGTACGCTAACGCTCAACAATGTCACCAATTGCCTTATGTGTCCGAAGTGCAACTACACACATAATCTCTTGTTTTTACTCTACCTCAATCACAACTCGTTCGTATGTCTTGAAACTTCGCAAACTGATACTTCTAGATGTATTCTATCCTATCCTGACATCTATGGGTGTATATACCTACCCAGAGATCTCTGGTAGCAAGGTCAGTGGTTTTCACTCCTGTTCAACACTCTTTCTTAATAACTCGTCCTCCTCTGGTTCAGAGCGCCTCTCGGCAACGTGCAGCATGACAGCGCGCCGTGGGAACGACCAACCTGCGTTGCTTACCTATTTCGGTCGTTGCATTATTTTACCATTGGGAACATGTTATCTAAGCCACAGTTTTTTCGTGGTGTGCACCGGCGGTGCTCAGTAGGAATGAATTCTAGCTTACTAAAGGGGACACTTATGCCCCGTCTGTCCTCTTTACTAAGAAGGAAATATGGGAAGTATAGGTGGAAACAGGAGAATCTCTCACCCAACCCATCAAAGCCCACTCCTGAACCAACCTGAGCTCCGCTTTGACGACATACTTCTATAATCTTGTCCATGCGTAGCTGAGTAAACCAGCGTCAGAAGAAGACTGCTAGATCAACGGAATTATAAATGAACATAGCTTTCAGATGATGGCGCAGGGCCGATGCAGTAGGCCTCATCTGCTTCAAGTACATGCAGTGAGTTTGTGTCAACTTCGCTGTCAAAGGCACTCCAATACTATCCTCTCCAACAACCTGCGGACGAGGTAAAAGCCCCCTTGCAATCTCAACTTGAGCATTCAGTCCATCCTGCATTTCGAACACGAAGTTCTTCACCAAAACCGCCTATGTCACAGTGAGTAACGTCGACACTGGCTGATTCGTTTAAGTCACCTTGAATTCTGCAATTGCAAAGTCTTTTCCAAGACATGTCCTCGGGCCGTCGACAAATGTCAGCAGATGTCTATGACCTTGGCCTTCCTTGGCCTTCCCGCTGATACCTTCTTCTGCCAGCCAACGGTCAGGTTTGAATTCCTTTGCATCAGGTCCCCAGATGGCCAAAGAGCGATTGATCGCCGTGACTGATATCGTGATCAACATCCCCATGTCAAAAAATGGTCCTCACCTTGTTTCTGGCCATGTTCAGGTTTCCGAGTCTTCGTTGATGTGGTGGTAGTCAAAGAATAAGTCAGTCAACAAACCGAATGGACTTGGGCAAATATTTGCGACGAAACCCTCAGCCCTGGCGTTAAACGCACTATCCATATGTGAGATCATACCAGCAATTTTCGGGTGGTCATATGGCACAAATATCTCGCAGATAGTGAGTCAAACTCGCTATATATTCCGAGGGTTGTCACATGTAGTTACATTTTGATACAGCCGTCTAGTCATGGGGTGTGAATTGGTCGGCGCTGGTTGTCTATTCAAGGATAGCTGTGTAGAGACGAAGCAGCGTTGAAGGCATGTTGTCGAGGGCTATGACTAAGGTGAACTAGGTTTATTTTGGTGGATTTGTGCAACTTTGTCAAATCACGCATTAAACGCAGTGATTCCTACCTCACGGGCCCGCAGTCCACCAAGTTCCAACTGCCAACAAGAGCTCGTTTCCCTCGCCTTTCCATCTACAGGCAACATTCTCAAACGATTCAGGATGGACTCGAGAATTCTGGGAACGTGTGCCCTAGTGAAGAGCTTCCCTCCTTCGTGTAACCCATGTTCTCAAAGTGCCGTTGTGCAGCAGGACCACATACCACTGATTTAAGTAGGTCGTCTTTTACTATTGCTTCTAGTTGTAGTGTATGGAGGCTGATGATATGCTCTCAGGGATAAGTATCATTCACATTATGGGGACGGGGACGAACTGATTCTGTCGCGATTGCCCTTCCCAACAAATTTACTGCCCATACGTGATGTTGATCTGTCGTAGCGTGCCCTCGCACCAATCGAATATGTCAGTCACCCTGCTATGCCACTGTGCTCCCGTTATCGAGATCGAAAGCTAACTTGATCACGACACGTTGCTATCCCACTAACCTTTGCAAGCCAAGAAGTAGGTGTCGCTAAACATCATGACGGAGAGCCTGTGTTTCAGAAATGTGTGATGACGATTGGTCTTATCTCGCAGCTCTGCACCCCGTCTTAACATATCATGGAACAACCACTATTTTCTTACAGGAACGAACCTCCAAGCGCTGGTCGACACCCGAAGCACACCATCCTACTTAACACCTTTTTATCATCACCTTCTCCTGCTCACAGATGGCCTCCTTTGCGCCTTCACTTCCTCCCAAATCCCAACGCCTATCTCTCCCTCACCCTGCTTGAGGTCTGCGCACATCGTGAGCAAGTTGTTCAATAATAATCTCGGGAGAGGCTGATTGTAGACCAGCAGACGGCCGCACTTACCCTAAGCCGCTCGCGAGTAATCTCTGACCAGCGTCGTATAGGTGACATCTATGACTGTTTGGAGTGCGTTCAAGAAGTCGGCGAGCAATTTTTCAGACGAGGGCAGAAATGGTGAGAATGGTACTGATTACAAAATGACCGTGACTGTCCTCGAGAGACATGGTTCAATTTCAAGTCAATTTGTAATTTTATGGTTCATCCAGGAGATACTAAACGGGAGAGCGAGCCTAGAAATATAGTGACCATGGGGAGAATAGTATGGAAACGTAATATTCGGACTTTACGAGTGTTCTACAGTACATGATCGTGGAGTAAGTAGCAAATGAAGCAGAACAATATCGTAACGAACGGTACCACAACAAGGCATATGTGTTGTACGAAATCTGTGTAGAATCACGATTATCAGTCAAAAAAAAATACATGACCATCGCGTGACTGACACTGACAGATCTTTATGACGAAGATGACGCTGCGTCCTGTGTCCGACACTCGTGCCACGACGTGCCATGTGCAAGACAACTCAAATCGAACTGCGAGGCGTGATTGGGTATCACGAGTGTGTTGCCTGGGGCATACATTACCGGATGGAAAATGTGTGGGATCCAGAGAAGAAGCCGCCCTTCGGGACCAACAACCCATCCCTCCTCATTTGCAGCGACAGAGGCTGAGGTGGAAGAGTCTTGGAGAAAGGAGGAGGCAGAATGAAGAGCGTGGGTTGGGTTAGGTGAAAAACATATTGCAGGCGCAGAAGGGTGGTTCCGGTTGAGAAATTCTATATCCCATACCCGGATGGTTTTGTTGTATGACCCAGACACAATGTGTTTACCATCAGGCGAGATTGCGACAGAATTAACGAAGTCAGTGTGCCCTCGGAAAGGGGCACCCACTGCCTCGCCAGTTGCCATATCCCATACCTGGATCGTCCTGTCACTTGAACCGGACACAAAGTGATTGCCATCTGATGAGATTGCAACAGTGTTAACGGAGTCAGTGTGGCCTTGGAGAGTGGCGCCCAATGGCTCGCCAGTCCCCATATCCCACACCCGGATGGTCTGGTCGTATGAGCCAGACACAATGCGACGGCCATCCAGCGAGATTGCGACAGAGAGGACATAGCTAGTGTGGCCTCGGAGACAGGCACTCGAGGCCTTGCCAGTCCCCATATCCCACACTTGAATTGTCTTATCAGCTGAACCAGACACTATGGAATTTCCGTCCGATGAAATTGCAACGGACTGGACCCAGCCAGAGTGTCCTTCGAGAGGGTGACCCGATGCCTCGCCAGCCTCCACATCCCACACCCGAACTGTCTTGTCACCTGAACCAGACACAATCCGGCGTCCATCCAACGAGATTGCGACAGAGCTGATGCCTCCAATATGTCCTAAGAAAGACGCACTCAATGCCTCGCCAGTCCCCACATCCCACATCCGGACGGTCTTGTCATCTGAACCAGAAAAAATATGATGTCCATCTCGCGAGATTGCGACGGAGTGAACATTATCAGAGTGTCCTTCAAGAGGGGCAGTCAAGGCCTTGCCAGTCCCCATATCCCACACCCGGACTGTCTTATCACTTGAACCGGACACTATGCGCTTCCCATCTGGCAAGATTGCGACAGAGTTAACGGACTTAGTGTGGCTTTGGAGGGCAGCAACCAATGGCTTGCCCGTAATAATGTCCGCATCCCACATCCGAACCATTTTGTCATATGAACCAGACACTATGCGGTTTCCATCCGGTGAAATGGTAACAGATATAACAGCGCTAGAGTGGCCTTGGAGAGGGGATCCTAATGCTTCACCAGTCTTCATATCCCACACTCTAATCGTCTGGTCTTCTGAACCGGACACGATGCGGTGTCCATCCGATGAAATTGCGACAGATTGAACAGAGGCAGTGTGGCCTTGGAGAGGGGCAAATGCCTCGCCAGTCTCTATATCCCACACCCGGATCGTCTTGTCGCCTGAACCAGACACAATGTGTTTCCCATTCGGCGAGATTGCAACAGACAAAACACCGTCAATGCGCCCTCGGAGAGGAACCCCCAATGCCTTGCCAGTTTTCATATCCCACACCCAGATGGTCGTGTCACCTGAGCCGGACACAAAATGATTTCCGTTCGGTGAGATTGCGACAGATGTAACATAGCCAGTGTGTCCTTCGAGAGGGGGTCCCAATGCCTCGCCAGTTCCTATATCCCACACCCGGATTGTTCTATCCCAAGAACCAGATACAATGTGATTTCCATTCGGCGAGATGGCGACAGATGTAACCCGCTCGGTGTGCCCTCGGAGGGGAGCACCCAATGCCTTGCCAGTCGCCGCATCCCACACCCGGACTGTCTTGTCATCTGAACCTGACACGATGCGATGGCCATCCCGCGAGAATACCACAGACACAACACAGTCAGTGTGGCCTTGGAGAAGGGCACACAATGCCTCGCCAGTCTCCGTATCCCACATCTGGATCGTTCCGTGCCATAAACCACACGCAATGCGTTTTCCGTCTGGTGACATTGCAACCGAGCAAACATAGTCATTTGCGTGGAGTATTTTTTCCATCTGAGGCCAATTTACGACATGGCCAGCAACAATTTGAGGGGTGCAAGGAAACTTTGTGGCGAACTGACGAAATATTCTCGACTGAGTTGGAGCGAAAGGCAGAGCGGAAAGGTATAAATGGGGAGTACTGCGTAGAATGGTGGGCGTGAAGGTTCGAATGAAACGCAGCGTGTCCCTGACAGTGTCGCCGATATGTGCGTATTCCGCATCACCCTATGATCACCCCACTACTCGTAAGACTCCATTGCGCGAAAAATGAACTTGAGACACGCACCACAACCCAACCTGCGATAGACAAGAGTGAGTCTACGAAGCCGCCGAGGCTTTTCATCAGAGAAAGTGCTTCCAGCCACCAAAGGAGGCGCTCTCCATCAAAGAAAGCTTCAATTTCCTTCGCGAGTGTTGCTTCGAAGGATGTCGCTGCTGCGTGAGTCCCCCAGAATCGACACGAGTATGATAGCTCAGCTGAAATGGACTCTGTGATTCGTTTCTCCAAGTCAGGGACAGCGGAATTGGGCAAGTACGAACTCTCCAAGGAACAGATGTTGAAGCGAAGTCCGTGCTTCATGACCCGAAGCGAGGCGAAGGCAAGGTCGCTCTGTACCGATGTCGTCTCAACGAAGAAGTCTTGGCTCCGCGATTTGTCTGTGAGGAAGTCGTAGAATGACGCGTGAAGGGGACGTATGGGAGTATAAGAATCCGAGGTGCCAGAAACAAGCGAGCCGAGCTTCCCCATCAGCAAGTTCACGTCGTACCGGTCATCATCACATGGGAAATGCTCACGCATCTCGTTCAATGCATTGAGGGAAGTGGTTCCAACGATGCAAGAATCTGACCCATCACAGACTGAAAGATGGGGATTGATTCCTCGTGCGTGTACTTTGGCATGACATCTGCCAAGATGTGTTGGTACATCTCATCTAACAGATAAACTCCTTTGGCGGACGTTTCAGAAATAGTGCGAAAACGGGGCATCGGGCCCCGGCTCACGATGTTCGTGCTCTTGATATACTCGCAGGCGAGACGAGCCCATTCAAACAAGCCATCGGATTTCTGAGCAAGGGTCTTGAAGTGCCCATCATCGAACGGACTGCGCGGGCCTGCTAGCTTGGTGGAGATGTAGAGTTGGATATCACGTTCTGCGGACACAGGCGAGATGTCATCCATGGAGACACGACGAACATGCGATGCGGTGCCCAGGGCTTCGCGAATATCCTCCAGTGGACGGGAAGTGATGAGAATACGGAAGTGTGTCGGGATATTGGATAGTTGGGAAGGAGAGGTGTTTGGCTCCACAGCAAACAGCCGAAGAATTTGTTCCCGGGACTTTGCTGGGCCGCTCTCATCTAACGCATCGATGACCATCAGGACGGGTGCAGTCATGGCTTCCGAGGCTGTGCTTGTTGGTCCTACGACTAATTCCTGCCATTGCCTTGTGAGGTCTGGGGTGCGTTTGAGTCTGTTCTTATCATGAACGGCTTGCGCCAAGGCTCGCCGCACGATAGGGTTGCAATCTGCTAAGTCGTTTGCGATGGTCGTGAATATTTTGTCCTGGCGGTGATCTGCTTCCTGTGTGCGATCGAAGCAGAAACAGGAGCCTAGACCGCCACGCTCATCATGCCAGTTGGCGATTGTGTGGGCAACGGCTGATTTGCCCTTGCTTGCAGGGCCAGACAGCCATAAGATGCTTGGTACGCCCTCTTCAGTGCTGCCAATCCAATCCTTGATCTCAGTCAAAAGGTCTTGTCGAGTGTCTGGCAGACAACATTTAGACATGTTGACTCCAGCACCCGCTGCGCACTCCATGCTGCTGAGGTCCAGACTCTCGGCTGCGAATCATCAAATGTCAAATGATGCTTAACGAGACCTGAAACTTAACTCTTACCCATACGGTGGACCGTAACAACGGTGTCTCGAACGGCTCGGTCTCGGAATTGCTGCATGAGGCTGTCGAAAACATTGTTGTAGCTCTTGATCGTGGTATCTGTTTCATCGGAAATGTTCTTTCCAAGCCTTACCCCTGTGCAAGAGACATTGAGTATCAGGAGATGAAGCGATGGGATCGACTCACAGGCGCTCTTCGTCTCAGAGTAATGGGTGATAAAATCAGCGCATTCCAGTGTTTGCTGGGCTATTTTCCCATATACCGCCAGCATGGATTGCAACTTGGGTAATTCCTCCTCTTCTGTGATGAAGGTGTAGACTTCAGAAATCTTTGAGAGCAGACGGGAGACAGCGTCATCGCGGTCTGCCTGATCGAGAATCACCTGTGAAGAATAACTCCGTTGACCTATCAAGGTAATGATAATAAAAGAAATCCACCTTGGACGCGCAAGTGAAGATGCTCAACGCCACCTTCGCGTAGGGATGGACCTACATAAAGATGTTAGTTAAGTACAAAACAGATATAGATGCCCATACATCGGCAATGCCATTAGCAATGGAGTTGAAAACCTTCAAGGGTCCAAGCAACGTGGAGAATGTGTCGACCTTATCGGAAACAGACTGTAAGTTGTTGGCTGCTGAAAATGTATGTTGGGCAATTGTTGTGACATGGCCGATGCCTGAAAAAACGTCGGTGGCATCGGTGATTCTTTCGTTCACAAACTTCTGGTCGGGTTGTTCAGCCTAATTAGAGACGTTAGTACTTGATCGAAAGAGGGAGACAAGGTCGCTCGAAGTTACCTTTGCAATGCCTGGATTGCACGATTACTCAATATTCGGTTCGGGAGTGGCAACGATGAGTGGTGAAGAATCCTGCAGGGCAAATTAGTAGCATTCCTGGCACATGGGCATGCTCAGAGTTGAGGTTTCACATACCTCGATTGACTGTACCGGTACAGGTTGGATATACGCGCTGGAACTCGCACCCGTGGGTTCAGGGTTGGAAGACTGTCGAGCGCTTGGAGCGAAGGGTTTGGTCACCTTGCCAAAGAGTTTGTGAGCTAACTTCCGAGGTCGTGCGCGAGATTCATTGCTCGAAGGCGGGAGAGAGGATGTCTATAAACATTAGAAACATGGCGAACTTGTAAAGTCGACAGTCCATACATCACTGGTTGGCCTCTCCTCTGGCAAATGAGGGTCTGAACGACTTGGCTTCAGGTTCAGCCACTCCCAGCGCTTCTTCCCAGGAGGATTGTTTGCACTCATCGAGTAAGAAGTAAGTTGGAAGGACGGCTGAGTATGAGTCTCAAAGGAAGAAGATGATGAAGCAGTAACACACGCGTTTGTTAGCGCCCATATCGATTGGCCGCCATCTGACTATTAATATCAGAACGTTTTTGACGCGCCCGAGCCTGAGTTGGGTTGAAGGGACAAAAAGGTCGCATCGGCTGGAAACCTGAGCATCATGCTTTGCAAGTATTGGTGCCTGCGAGCGATGATCACAAGTGTGCACAGGATACCAGAAGGACATCTTGAGATCATTCACCACTATCATGACCGATTAGTTAGTAATAGCTCAGTGGTACGCCGACAGTCTGAGCGAGCGCCTGCCCGCCTTTATTTGTGCGTGTTTGACAGCATGTACTCGGAGTTGCAGCAAGGGACTTGAACGTTCCAACAGAACGAGGCGTCACTGTCAACTGAGTGAAAATTCCACATCGCTGATACGCATCATTTGCACCGCACTCAACTTCTCCTCCCAAGAAATCTGATCGATGCCTCACTTACGCTCATCAGGACATCTTTGTGGCATCGAGCGTACCTGTTTCCAGCTCCACTCCTCCCACTCCTGCACAGCGCAGGTGACCACCCTCAACCGCAACACCTGTAAAGAAACCACCTCCCCGTAGGCTCGTGACCGGTGACCAGCCTGGCTTACCAATACCACGGACAAGTCGAGTGGCGAATATGTTCAGGTACATGGGATGGACGTACGAATTTGCAAAAGCTCGAGATAATGACCAGTGCGTATTTATGCTACGCGTTAATCACTCTTCCCTGTAATCACCGCTATCTGAAACATGTACGCCCTCCCAGAAAGCAGTTGTAATCCTCTCTTGGAGTTGGCCACGAGATTTGCGCGAGCCTGTGAAAAAAGTGGGGCAGACTACCAAGCGTAGCGTGGATTGTACTCTGGAATATAACATATAAGCCCTTGGCTATTGCTGTCTCATGGTGGCACGCTCGTGCGTACATGTTAGTATCCCCGGAGAAGCATTCCAGACTTAACGACCAGAAGAGTGATATCTGGAATCTTGTGAGTGTGTGGGTGATTGCTAGATTACCGTAGCAGTCGCACTACGTTACAAACTCGTGCTCAAGCACTGGGGAGTGATTCGGGTTAAGACCATCTTCCTGTCTATCCAAGCACTATCGTATTCCAGACAGCAAGTAACCGGACGAAGTTTCCATCTACCCATGCCTTCTTGTCCTCGCGAGTCAACATCGAGGAGGGGCGATTCTCCGCTGTGGACGTGCCCTTAGTTAATTCAGGTCCATCCAACTACCTGAATTCAAGCGTTAATGACTCGGAGCCAGGGCACAGCTCGAGATACATTCACACGATCGCATTTCGCCATTTGACCGGAGAATCAGACGAGAGCGGGGTTCGCGAAGAACATATCGTTTTGCACTGCTACAGTACAAAGGTGAATCACATTTATGTCAGAGTCGTTACCCACAAGCCAATAGCCGAGCAGCTGAACCTGCAATCTTTATATTGGGGCTATCAGCAAGAAATACAGTACAAACCACGTCAAAATCAATGCTTACCTCATTGCACGCACTGAACTTGCGCGATGCCTATTTGATAATCTGATAACACATTATCTGGACCATTGGAATCAAATGGAGGGTCCTCTCTATCCTTCCAACACTTGAAAACGGGAGATGGCATATGAATGATCACAGCGGTCTTCGAGGCTTCTGGGCGATTCTGAATCGACGGAGAAGAATTGGAATCACTGGGGAGGGGTCATGTAGAAGGACCAGCAGGTACTGCAGACCCAGACACGCTAACTCCAAGAGCAGATTGATATGCAGCTTGAGAGCTGATAGATGCAGATACAGGCTATCAAATACTATCCATCAGACGCGGCGAGCGACAGAACCTTGGTTGGAAACACACCCGAGTACTTGGCTGACTCGCACTCGTGGCTTCCTCGATAGGTGAAGGAGGTCTCAGCCAAGTTCCGCAAAGCACTAGAGGGAGAGAACTTCCACTTCCTGCATGCAACTCGTCGTCCTCCGTCAAATCTAGTTGCGGATGCAAGACACTACCGAAGAGCGCAAAGACTATAGCGCGGAGCACACTCCATACAGCGCGGAACACAGCGCGCACACAACGAAATATAGGGCGTAGTACAAACCACAGAATAACAATGTAACACGGGGAAAGTACGACCAAAAGACTGATCAAAATTGTCATACCACATCCATGGAACAGGCATTTATTACTGTCATTGGATGAGGGGGTGGGGGTGGGGGTGGTGTCAGGAATGCAGATGTTGAAGAAGGCGCAGCCAAAGGTTGTGAAGTCGGAGGAATTCATTGAGGAAGCGACTCACGCCCCTAAGAAACTGCTAGTACTGTCCCAAGGAGAGAATCAGTTCAGTGGTTAGATTGCGCAAAGAGGGGCCTCAAAATCACCAAGTTCGCATGAGGTCATCCAAGTCTGGAGGATTCAGAACTTCCAGAGTATAGCCGTTCCACATAGGGTATGACACGGGCGATGTTTTACCGGGTAGAACTTCCACACAAACATCTTCTAGGACGAACATAAGCATACCTGCGCACCTTGTATGAGTTAATGTAAAATGAGCGCTCTGTATTACTGCTGACATCACACTGATTATTTCTTTCTGCTAAGTCCAAATTTATACATGCACATTGTGTACTGCCAAGTTATTAAATTTATAATTAAACAGAATATTCCTCTTAATTATAGTTCGAATCACACCGGTCGTCGTGCTCAGCGTCGTCGCACTACCAAATAGTACAGTATCTGGAACATTCGACTCGTTAGCTGCCGGTTACTTATTTGAGGCAGTTATAATTGCCTCGTGTATCCCAAGCTTATTGCTTCCAGGCTCCAGCCCACGCGCACCGGAACGTTTTGTCAGAGGAAATCCCAGTCCACATTGTAACCCCATCACCCCGCGCAGACCTTCAAACCATGTCCTCCAATAAAGGCGGCCCAAATCCCTACAACAATGGCGCTCCTCCCAAGTGAGATCACTATCGTTTTTACACAGGCAGGACCCTACAGGACTCACGGATGGGCCACACCAGATACCTCAACGATTTTAGCAAAGCCCTTGCGAGCGAAGTTCGCATCTTGTTGGCAGAGGTAGGAAAGCTCAGAGATGAGCGCAGGCAGCTTCAATTGTACGCCTTTACCTTTTATCTCCCCAATGTGCGCAGCTGACGCGAATAGTGAAATTGCCGAACTTATGGCCGTGAAATCCAAACACGGCGCTGGAGGCGAATATTCTCCAGATTGGAGGCCCCCAGTGAGTGCTATGGGATCGTGATGAGACGTCGCCAATCTCTGATGTGCTCCTAGCCCCAGGAGCCGCCTCCACCTCCCCCTGCAGCTTCCCCTCCCCCAGAAGAAGGCCCAACCGGCCCCGCTCGCCCAGCCTGGCGGGTCGTCCACAAACCAACCCAAAGACGAGAAAGGGCAGCTCCCAAGAGTCTCCCCGCTCCAGCTCCCGTTCCTGCAATCGAACCTCCAAAGCCAAATATGCCCGCATGGGCGCAATGGAGGCGTATGTATTAGCTCGCTTCTGATTCCTCGTGACTGACATGATTTCAACTTCTTTCTTCTTCAGCAAATCCCGCGCATGCACCGGCACCGATGGCCGCGCCTATTATTTCGCCCAGGCCTGTGACGCCTGCCGCACGTCCCGGTCTTTTCGGTATGTCAACGTGTCTCGCTCGAAATGAAACAAGGCCATGTCCATATTAATCAACTTTTTTCATTGTCCTCAATTTCAGGCCCACCGACTCCTCCACCGAAATAGAAGAAATCGAACAATTATAGAGTCCATCCATCTATATCAACCGATGTTTATATCCATCATCTACTGTCATGTTTCATTATCTTGCATGCTATTGGAAGTCAGCTTGTCATCGTTATCCCTGAATTGTACGATGTGCAATGGAGTGTGCACACAATTTATTTATGTATCTTGGCTACTATACAAATTAATGATCCGAGATATCTATTCCACTGTGTGATATATTCCACTCGTAACTTGTAAACGCAAACATAGAGCGCCGGTATATAATGAAGTCGAACAAAATCTCAGTTGATAGCACATCTTACGAAAAGAGTAGAAAAGAGATACTGGGAAAGTTGTGTGTCGTGCAGGGGGAGATGTCGATAGCCTGCAAATGACGTCAATACAAGAGTCACGCAACAAGCCATGAAAATACTGACCCATCGCCAAACTTCCAAGGCTGGCGCAATACACCGCAATCGGCTCTTCGTCACTGTCGCCATCCCTGCGCACCGCAAAGCGCACAAAGATCAAATCAAACATGTCCCCAACACAGTCAAACGGAAGGCTCAGTGTTTCTTGCCAGATAGGGTTGAAGCCATTGTTCTTCACCGAGTTGGTGCGTCGAGACAACAGCCGGCCAGTAGAGCCAGAGGAGGAGGGTGAAGGGGTGGCAGAAGCAGGTGATGATTGGGAATGTGTGGCGTAACCCCAATCGGGAACGTGGATAGAGGCTTCGACGTATGGGTCCACCATGGACTTATCCATGATCTCATGCCCAAGGGAATCTTTCGGGCGAGGAAGCTGTTGAGCGGAGATGACCTATAGAAGCATAAGCGTTGCTCGTATCAAATACAAATACATCAACAAAAAATACATACCTTTATGTCAAGCGAATGTTGTGTATGCCGGGATAACAATTCCTTGTCATGCGTACGTAGAGCCAGGGGCTTCAAGACGTAGCCCGCTCGCCCATTGCGCTGGAACATGGCATGGTTGATCATGTAGCCCAGATCTAGACGCCGATCAACACCAGTCCACAATACCCGATCATGAAACCGTACCAAACGTCTGCCAGTTGATAGCCACCAGCTGCGCGCCAGCCGCCCAATAACGATGGGGCAAGTAGTTGGACGAGTTCACCCTCAAGCCCTTTGGATATATTCGAACCATATGCGTCCGATTGTGCTTGATAAGATCCACCATCCCTTCTTTGATCACCTTGTTGGCCGTCTTCTCTGAGAGAGAGAACATATGTTCCGGTGCGTAGTGCTCTTTCTTATTAATGCCTCGGCACTTCACACCAACGGTGTATACAAGGAGGTTTGCAACAGCAGCTGACATCTTCACTTTGCTGACACCGCGAGAATCCGATCGAGCAGGCTCAGATATCGCTAAAGAGGTCGCAGTCGGCACAGCAAGAGCAGCAGCCACGCCAGGCGTATTGCGGGAATGTCCAGCGCGAACACGATCGAAGAGACTGCGAGCCTTCCGGAATTCGTCCTTCATCTCTATCGCATCCATGAGCCCCGAATAAAAGTAGACTTTGTTACGCGTATCTCACCATTAATAGCGTCCATTTCAAATCTTGGCTTTATCCGTTCGTCCCTGATGTCTTGAACGACATCTGAGTCTGTGGATGTTTCCGTAGAAGAAGATTCTGCGTCGACGCTGATTTCTTTCGTACGGATGGGTTCGTTCTCTGAGACGTAGAGGTTCTTTGCCTAGGGAGGGCAAGGTTATTGACACAAGACTCAACCGTACGAGAAACAAAATCCACCTTCAACAGCACCTTCCCTTTCAAGTGCTCCGGGCTTGGGAGAACTTCTAACGTTGGGCGTCCTTCCACAGGTGCACTGACAAGCACATCTTGGAATACGTCGCGCATGACCTCCACCATCATCTCCTGCTGCGGCACCGAGCAGTGGATTTCCGCAGATATGATGACGGGGTACGGAGATGTAACGAAAGCGTACTTTGCGATCGCTTCGCACACTTCTCTCACTGGAACTTTAGAAGTGAACGTTTTTCCATGAAATACCATCGGCTCAGTATCGCCATCGTACACGTCAACTGCAACACGAGTAGGGGAGATGAGTCAAAGAAACTCGAGCAAAAATTGCACGTACTCTCAACACTACGGCAACTGTGGAGAAGTGCCCGGATGTAGCCCTCGATTGTGCTAGATCCAACGAGTTGGTGGCCGGTAAGATATGTATTGTGCGAGGAAGAGATGAGGTACTCTGAAAGTGGACGCGTCATATCATGCCATACTTTGCCTTGCTGCTCTGTGAAGGCCGGATTGTCAGAAGACAGAAGGAATGAGGTGAATCCATCGAGCGACATGGGGGACTGAGCAAAGACGGAAAGTTTGTGATCTATGTAGGCCACTGATGCGTCGATGGGAGGTGATGAGGCGGTGAGGAGTGGTGAGAATGCAGCGGACGGGGGAGAAGTAGTCAGTGGAGGGGAGAGCAGTCTTGCGGGAGGGGATGCAGATCCATTGGACAGGGGAGGAGAGTGTTGTGGGCTGACGGCTAATGACAGAGTCTCACCATCCAGTTTTTTGGCGTAACGGGTAAACAGTTCCAAAAGCTCAGGTTGGGACAGTGTAGACTGAATGATCATCAGTTTCGCAAAGCTAAATGAAAACGAAAAACACACCTTCTGGGTATCCCGCATGAAATGCTCAAAGACGCTAAAATCGAGTGCCCTGCCATCCTTGGGACATAGTTTCTTGTATAAAAGGGTGATATCTGGGCGCGCCTTAAGCAATTTGACGAAGCACTGAAAGTCAGAGAAGTTAAGGAATCCCTGGCCCTTTGTGTCTGCTTGCTACGCGGTTGTGAGATCTTTGTGCGAGGAAAAATGATTGTTCTTCACCTTGAACAGCCGCATCAATTCCTCTGTCGAAGTGTTGACGTTTAAGCGTCTGCAGAGCTTCTCCACTTCATCAAAGTGCAACTTTTGGTCACTCGACTCATCCGATGCCGTCCAGTACTGCTTCTCCCAGATCGCATGCCTGATCTCTTCATTCCCAAGACCCGTCATAAGTTCTTGGCGTATTGCGTAGAGTTTCCTCAGTGTGATGTCCCACATCCGGAATACCTCCTTAGTGGAAGCGATCAGATGAAGGGTTTTATAGGCACCATTGAGAATGTAGATGATGGTAATCCATCTATCTTCATAATCCTGCGCAAGTTGAAATTGTTGGCGATAATAGCGGGCGTCGGATGAGAAGCGAAGCTCCTTGATATTCTCGATAGGGACTGCAATGGTTCACCATGTTAACAGCCACGAGGAAAGTCGCGTTTCAAAAGTACGTACTGATCCGCAGTTTCTTGGATTGCCATCTGATTTGACCTTGTTCGGGATCTAGTTTAAATGTGTAGCTCTTCTGCTTTCTAGGAGAGACTTTGGTCATCTGTACTCCTTCTCTTAGCGGTAGAGGAACAGTTCCGTCGGCCATGGATGACTTTTCAGCGATGCGCTGTATGGGTGGTGGGATAGGAGAGCTCGATGTACCCGGTAAATTAGGAACGACAAGTGTCAACGTCGGTTGCTCTTCTGGTGAAGAGAGTGTTCTGGGCGTACTGCTCATGCTCATTGAGTCAGAAAGAGGAGCGCATGAATCAGAATGATCATCCTTCCTATTACGGCGAGCATCTCGACTCCTCGATCGAAAGGATATAGACTTCACAATTGGAGCTGTTTTTGCCTTGAAAAAACCTCTCTTGATAGAATCTCCCAGCGTCCCGGTCCTATCGTCCACGTGCTTCGTGTGCAAGGTCATTCCCTTGTCTGTAGACGCGTCTCGTGCAGCAGCTTGCATTGCTTCCTGTGCAGCCAGCGTAGGCATGCCAGCACTTGTTAACAAACCTTTGGCACGTTGCAGAATGCGTTTCGGAGTTATCTGCCTCTCTATAGCAGGTCTGAGTCTATTGTGGTCGTCCATGGTTGTCTAAGGTCAGAAGGGGACACTTTGACAAGAATGTGGAAACCGCAGTCGTTGCGCATGCGTAATGTTTTCTAGCAACGTTATAATGGAAGGTTTGGCGCTCGGAGACGGGGTACTACGTTACCGTACTACCCTTGATTATACGGATTTAAGTAGAGCACTGCAAAAGAATGGAGATCCAGCCCCGGATAAAATTTTATGAGAACATAGGTGCCCGGCGGTGGTGGCACGTTTGCAACGCTGGCAGCACGAGGAAGGGTACAGATACTACAGAAGTAATACTTAATAGGATACAAGTCAATACAAATCATAAATATGGTTAGTTCAGGTTCCTGGGTTGAATTATGTACGTCAGTGTTAACAGTGTGGGTATCGTGAAGAGCTGATCAATGAAAAAAGGTAAAAGCTACAAGTAAGAGAGACGAAATATCTATAAGGCTACATGAATCACGTGTATGAGTGTTAATTGTGAGTTGTGAAAAAGACAAATGCGGTGTAACCAATGAGTCAAGTCCACGACTCCGCTTAATGAAGACGATCGACGATGACCTCGGCCATCCATACATCATCGTAGAGGTTCCAAAGCGCAGAAAGACTGAGGTGATTTAAGCTATCTCTCAATGGCCAACTGGCGCCATTCGGGCCAGGGCTTTTCGTTTTCATGTCCTGTGGAAACATTGTGAGTGGGAACGCGGCGGGGACTGGAGAAGAGACGAACATTGATGAAGCGCACGAACGCCTCTGCAACTTGGATGGCAAGTTTGCCGCGGGTGACAGGACCAGCCGAAGTATAAATATTAAGGGAGCAAGTGTAATCGTCATATCCCGGCCACTAAAATGAGGATGCAGATCAGACAACGAGAATTCATTCACGAGATGAGTTTAATTACAAAGATCTTGAGTTGGACAGTGCGATATCGCATCTGAGGGCCAACAACATCATTCGCACCAACGAGTATTTGTTCGAGTGCAAATGCTGAACGAGCCCGCAGCTCACACATAGGAACGCCAAGACCAGATGCATAATGTTGAAGATTAAATGTGACGGCAGGACACAGAGGAGAATGAGAGGATGGTTGCTTTGATTTTGGCGCCTGAGGCAAGCGTCGGAGGTTGGGCGGCAGCACCTGAGCGAAGGGAGGCTGGTATGCGGAGTAAGCACCAGCAAGAGAGGTGTATGATGAGTGAATGTTGCTGGGAACAGGAGGGTGAAGAGGGTTTATGTAAGACATTGTAGATAGTTATGCGCGTGCAGGGGAAGAGAGATTATCTGGATGAGACTCGGTGATGACAGGACATGTAAAACTGACCTTGACTTTATACCAACGTATCTCAAAGCGCGAGCAGGTGGCTCGAGCCAAAGCCATCAAAGGTACGTAGTCAAAGTGATTTGCTGTAGATTGTGTAAACCAAAGGAAAAAAATCTTTGTGGAAGGCCCTTGAGAACGGTCTTTTGTGCGACATTTCCGTGAACTCTTTGACTTTCGGGTGTAACGCTTTGATGCGAGTTCTTTCATAAACGTCTGCTTTGAAGACAGCGCCTCCTGAGCATAGTGTGAGAAGGAATAAGATGACCTACCTCGTGGTTGACTCGAGGCCTCTCGAGACAGCCGAGCGTGTCGGAAGACAGTCGGGTTGACCTGAAAGACCCTTCTGTGAATTCCCTCGATCATGTTGACCCATTGAAAGACCTTCTGTGACTCGATCGTGTTGCTTCTGTGAATTCCCACAATAGTTAGTTACTATGATACTTACACCCTCGATAAGATCACAGTAACTATCGAAACTTTCGTTTGATAACAATGCGAGTTATACAATCTATAGAGGAGATGCGTCCGCGTCAATCTACGAAAATTCAAGTCGTACAACAACATAGATTTCAACCAGTACAATCATTCTCCAGCTTTCTTCTTCTTCTCTTCGATGATCACAACATTGTCCGCAGGCACACCCTTCAATGGGCCAGCTCCGCCTTCAAGAAGTTCCAAAACGTCGTCTGATACATCTCCCTGAACCACGATCTCATCCTGTCCCTGGGCATTCTTGGTGACAGACGCCCCAGTAGCGAACTTCTGAGCTAGGAATTTAGCAGCTTTCTTCAAATCAATGTCTACACGCAATCAGCATATATCATTTAATCCGTCACCGACAAAAAAGCAGCAAACATACCAAACGCCTCAAGGCCATGGATAGCTGTGACGTGTTTCCGCTTGTTACGCTCAATGCGTTTAATTGACACTTGCGACGCCTACATGGATGTGAGCGATGAATGTGCGATCTAGGTAGCTCAAGAACGCACCATCTTTTTCTTAAGCGCAGCATCCGCCTTTGCCTCAGCCTTTGCCTCCTTTTTTGCAGTGTCCTTCTCGAGCTTTGCCTGCGCCTCCAAGCTGAGGGTGCCAATCTTTGACTGGAGAGCCTCTTGAAGACAATCGCGATTAGCAAAACACTAGTACTGAAATGCAGTGCTTACCATCTGAGTAGTACTTGTCAAAAAGCTGAGAGTGTGCACCCTGTAGCCATTCCTTGCATCTCGTCAAGCTGGAGCCAAATTCACAGTATTCGGGAGGAAACGTGCAGACTAGAGAAATCGACGTACATCAGCAATATGAATCAAATAAATAAATAAAATCGTGTTTACTCTGGCAGTATAGGACCTGTAGCGGACGAATAGCCTGGGGCTCTTGCTGGTCTGAGGAAGACATGGTATCAGTAGACACGTGACTTATAGGCCCATCGCGATTTTGATCTAGTCCTCCCCCTATGTAGATAGACCATCGCTAGACATCGAATGAACAATCATTCCTTCAACATACACTATTTTGATCAGCTGCGCTATATGAGTTTTGACATAGCTAGATTTTCTAACCTTCAAAAAAAAAAGGGAATACGTGGCTTCCTCAAGATTTTTTCCGCTGAGAGCTCATAGTGAATGATACGACGCTTGATAATAAACAATATAATCATGATTACCAAAGCGCTATAGAATAAATAGGTCTAGATCTAGTAGGTATGTAAACGCAAACTCATCTCTTCAGACAAACATCATGGGAAGAAGCGTGGTCACAGGTAACTTGTGCGACGGTGGCATTGACTCATCACAAGCTGCTGGTGTACCCGGGGTGGATGTGGATGGCGATGGAACCGCGCTCAGATGCAAGCCAGACGCATCCAAATCTTGGCGTCCCAGAAGAGCCGAAGGGTAAAGGAGGGAAGCGATCTCCGGAGTCTCCAATCCCTTCAACTTAACTTCACCAACGGGAACAACGACCGTCTTCCGGACAGCATCGATAGCCTCAGCGGGGTAATGCCTCGGTTGAGCACCACTCTCGATCAGGCCCGCATCAATCTCGCGAACAACATCGGCGCTGCACATGATTTGTCCGCCCAGCGCACTCGCACAGATACGAGCGCTTCGATTGACCATGGACCCGAAATAGTCCATGCGATGAGTGATAGCGTCCTCTTCGCATGCTGGAGCTCCGCAGTGGATGCCCATGCGGACAGAGAGGCCACGAGAAAGAAGGGTTCCGTGTTCATCATAAACCTCTTTGCCTTCCTCGGAATTCAGGATTTCTTCAGGCCAGGGCGCGTGAAGAAGCTGAAGCTGTGCGGTGACGCACCACCAGACCGCGGCCATGGTATTTGGAAATGAGCACATGAATGCGTCGCCTTCCGTCTTGACAATGTAACCGCCGCAAAAGAGAAGATGGAGGAGGAGTAGATCGTTGTGAAGATGGATGGCGGTGGACATGGCAGAGTTTTTGTCCCATAGTTGTGTGGAGTTTCGGATATCGGTGAAAACCAGGCAGACATGGCCGGTGGGCGCTGGCACCTCTCTTTCCAAGCGAGCGATCGTATGCGCCAGAGACTCTTTCGCGTGCTCAGGTACTGCAGATGGTACCTTGTCCTTTTGGCGAGCTCTGTAATCGGGCATGAGCTCCCCCAGGTGTTCATGTTTCCCAATGGTGTCGACGATGCCGCGGGACATTCCATTCTCGTCTTTCCGATGGGTATGAACATGATGTTTCCCAGACTTTTCAGGAACATGGTGGGTAGAAGGGAGATCTTTCGACCCGAAACCAGGAAGATGAGACAGCTGGGAAAGGCTGGAAAGCACCCCGCCGTCTTCGTTCCCTTTGCGTTGTACACGGTTGACATATTTTTGGTTTTCCAAGAGGTCGAAGTACTTCGATTTACACGAGAAATTGCTGCGAGCGCCATCAGAAAATCATCCGTGCATGTTCTAATTGTTAAACATACCGATTCAAACCACTGAATCCCCAGCGGTTGCCGTACCTTGACGCGCAGAAATTTGCAGTGGAGTACATGGTAGTTTGGATAGTTTGGATAGTTTGAATGGTTGTATCAAGAATGTTTGAGCGAAGGAAGCGAAGGAGCTCGCCATTGTATAGAGTAGCGGCACTCTCGGATGATGCGGATAACGGAAGTTTCAGAATGTTGTACAGGGGTTATTTACCCCTATTGAATTTTGAAGCTGCTGACTAAGCCCGTGCATGCACGCACTGGGCTCAATCATTCCTTCATTGTTCAACTGGTCCACTTAGACATCATGTTAAAATTGGGATCATTGCGCTATTTCTGACGGCCATCGAATCCTGGCACACAACCGGTGTCCAACCCGAGTTGACCTATAAAGAAAATGCAGGGCCAAACACCCGGCCATCTCCATAACATACTATGAAGGGACTTCATTGTATTTTCGAGTTCTTGGATAATTTAGTGGGAGGCTGTCTATTTTTGTAACTTGTGATGCTTACTTACAAAGACACATCGTAAATATGACAATGTGACGTATAAATTTTCCGAGTGTTCCAGACCTATGACCGTCCTTCAGACGACCAAAGAGGGTTGTTAGTCTCAATACTGCCGACACCACCTTCGTAAACGCCCCCGAAGGTAAGCTGCAAAGTTGGAGTGACAACAATCGGTTCCATAGCCCACAGTGCAACAGCAACAGTACTATACGGCAAGTCAGTAATTATATTACGGTCATAACAAGGGTCGTACTTTGTGCCACTGTAGTCCAGAATACCTTGCTGGACAGGGAACTGATACTGGGGCCTGTACCTCGCTATTAGCCAGTTTCATATGACAAATCGAACCAGGCGTACCCGAGGTTGGACACCCTCTTACCCATCATCCATCCGTTGACGTATAACTGAGCTCGGTACGGTTGGGAGGTGTCATCAAACACGAAGGACATTGGAATATCATATCCCTCTGGAATGTTTAGGTCGAACGTCGTCACGAAGAACCCAACACCAGCAGCAGCGTCGGGCAGACCCTCAGAGAGGTTTCTCTCCGCCCAAGAAGAGGTATCAAATCCAGGTAAGTGCCAGCCCATGCGTTCACCGTAGAGACCTCCTTCATTCAGCACCCCGCGCACTTTGTCGAGATATCTGTGTCATCGTGAGTCGACGAGGTGGTGATGTCAGAAAAATTAAAACGCACTTGGTGTATCCACCAACTTTACCCTGAACCTTCCATTCACCGAAGTCTCCACTATCGAGCATGAAGCCACGGACACCACGAGGGGATTTTTCTTCGTCGATAACAGCTAAAGTGTCATCAATATCAGAATCGCTTTGGTCCAAGTTCAACATGTGGCTTACAGCCTGACTCGTTGAGGCCCATATTATCCTAGATCTGTCATCGGTGGTAATCATGGCCTAGAACATGAGAACCCACCTGAAGGATAGTGATGACATTCTCTTGATCGAAAAGCAAGGCTGATGGAGGGAAGACGAAGTTATCATCCGTTTCTTCCAGAATATTGAGGTTGTTTGTGGAGCTACGTAGCTAGCGTCAGTAATACCCTTAAATCGTATCCGTGATGACGATTTACTTTCCGTAGGACGTCCCCAGGAACACGTCGTTCAACCAGACAGTCGCAGCGAACGCTAATGGACGTAATCAGCATTCAGACATCTTTCAAGTACTTCTTTGGACCCACCTTCGCCGCCATTGATGGAGAGGTTGACAGATTGTGTGTCTTCCATGGCAGTGAAGTGCCCACGCCAAAGTACGATGTTCTCACAGCTATTGGTAAATGAGCTATAATGAAGGTCGCAGATCAACCGATGACTGACTATTCATAGTCACAGCCATAGAGAACCCTCCCGTCGCCGTAGTAAGGCTTGAAGGGTATGTTCGTGGTGGTATGGTCAGCAAGAGTCCAGTTGGCATCAGAGAATTCACTGCGGATTTCTGGCAAACTATCTGCATATCTCCAGCCGGTAAGCGCGGGTGGAGTAAAGCCAAGCACCGTAGATGAGGGCTGTAGTTGGGCAACAAAGCCTCCTTGGTAGGTCAAATCCGAGGCAGCAGCAACATCGGCTGAGATAGGAATTCCATTCCATGTAACCGTCTTCACATCATCCGGCGCAATGACTGTAAGTTGGACACTGTCATTCAAGTCACCACGAAGGGCGAGCGTCGATCCAGTGATTGTAGCGTTGCGAACTAAATAAGGACCTCCAACCAGGATGGACGAATTCGTGCCAAACTGCCAATAGTTGGCAAATTCGACGGAATCCTGTGCAGGGATTTCGGGCGACCAAAAGGTGCCAGCGGTGTCGGGATCACTATAGAGGACAAGCTGCTCGCTGGAATCCCAAATCGTAATGAGTCCCTGTATGCCCGAAAGGAAAGTGACGGTAGTGACGCCATTAGGGGGTACCGAGGAGACTCCCGCCCCTTGTATACGAGGTGTACCACGCAATGTCAGAGCAGCCTCTGACTCAGATGTAGAGTCACCGTAGAGGTACAGTACATCTCTCCCACCAATCCGGCCTGCATACAGAACCTGCGCTGTAGAATATAGAATCTTCGATGACGAGCCAAATGAGTAATCGGTGACGATAATTTTTGATTGCCTGCCCGCGAGCGTGATACTGGATGTAACACGGGGGACCTCAAAGTTACCAGCAGAAGTAGTGACATTCAGCTTGAAAGTCGTTACATCCCTAACGAAATTGTAAACACACAGGTCAACGTGACGGCATACTATGAGCTCACGTTGTCGTGGAGTTCTCTTGTCTTGCAATGTAGAACGACGCCGCCGAGTCGGGATTCCTCAATAGAGTCACAAAGGCGGCCGGATTGGAGACGGAAACAATTCTGCTAGTACTGTCTCCAACCCAGTCCGTCTTGTAGAAATCTGGGGAGCTTCGCAGAAAGAGACCCTGACGCTTAAGCTCCGGATACTTGACAGTCAGCTCTCTGTTCTCTGCAATGGCACTCCCGTAATCATACGAAGCTGTGAACCAATAAGCCAGCAATTGTACTGTTATAGGAAGAATCTCACTGTAAACACCGGGGAAAGGAAGTGCACCCCAGGAAGTTCCTCTGTGAGCATGTTAAGCTTCGTACCAAGTATGAGAAAAAAGGGCTTGCCCATATAGCATGTAGTAGTTGATTAGTTTTGCATTAGACGCCCAAAGATGAAGGTTGAAGACATTCTCGAAATTGGCTCCCGTGAGTACGCGGCATTGATCATAACCTGGCGGGATGGTCATGTGAAAGTGTAACGAGGGCGTATACTATTGTTTTACCTGGTGCCGTTGGACCCCAAGCATCGAAAGAACCACCCTGGAACTCTGGGAAATACCAAGGTTGGCCAGGGTCAACAGCTGAATGTTGAGTTAGTATCAGAACTAAGTGGTACCAAAATAAAGCACATACATTCATGGTAGCTATGATAGCTCGTGACGACCGGATACCAAACGTCTGGGTGGGAACAGTCAAACCGTTGTGGGTAGGAGTCCATACTTGAGGATAATAATCATGTCAACACGAACCCGAGTATCATCCGGGGATGAACTTGCCCATAGATATCCACAGCACCCTACACGTAGGGCTCAATTATAACGGACATCCGGAAATTATTTCAGCTTACCGTTCCATTAATCCAGGCCCGTTCTTCTCCTGGGTCGTTAGCGGTCAACGGGACAACAATAGGGGAGTTCAAATAGACAGTTTCCAGCTCGGCAAAGTATTCTGCATGCGTGGCTGGTGCCTGTGAGTATTCGTTGTCTTTACGTCGCAATCAAGCTCAATTCGATGCTATGGGTATACCAAATGTAAGGGCCACTGACCAATTTGGATTGCTAAGAAAGAAGTGACCATGAGATACGTTGATGTAAAACACTACCAAGGCCGACTTGCCTATTACCGGTCCGCCTCGGGTCACTTGGTAAGGAACAGTTTCGGTGATAATACTTTGCACGTAGTCCTGCCAAGCTGCTTTCCAGTCCGTTGCGTTTGTCCGCAGTTCGCCTGCGACTTCTGATGTAATCCAGTGTGCAATGCCTCCTGCAGTCGTCTCCGCATTGATATAAGGCCCTGATCCTCATTAGCATGAACTCCTCCAAATCCCAAAGAAACATCATACCCGGACGGAGAACGATCCATATGCCAGTCTGTTTCGCAGCCTCGTAAAGGGGCTCCAAAGCGCGGTAACCGTTCAAGTCGATAACGCCAGGAGAGGGATTAACCAGAGCCATGTGGGTATAAACACTGATTGCGTTAAATCCAGCAGCCTTCACTTTCTGCAGGATGTCAAGCCATAGTCCAGGCACAGGCAGTCGAAATGTGTGAAACTCTCCTGAACTGAATGCACAACGTAAATGTGTCAAATGTGATGAGTGTTCATCGAGTACTCACTGAATGAAAACGCGCTGCCCTTTGATAATTAGACTATACTTATCCCACAAGACATCAGTCGTACGTCCGTTCCCAGTGAAGCCCGTGCCAGCTAGCATATCCACCGGTTCTTCCCTCGAGAAATCATTATGAGAAGCTGGGGAAAAGATGTTCGAGCGCCTGACTGGTGACACCAGGACGCACAGAACCGAAAGAATTACGAAAAGGACCCATGTCAGTCCACGACGTTTCGGACTAGACGACGAAGGACCACCGAGGGGTAGTGGCATGTCTGACTGCAGCAACCTGGAATCCACTGCCTCAAATGTTACTTTCTCCTTCTCAGCGCTCCCAAATGCATTTATACCGCGCTCCGAATCTTGAAGTAGGATCGTGTTGCTAGCATCCCCGGCTCTCTTGAGTCGCATGACTGCAACCTATCACACGCGAAGCTGTTATGATATAATGTCGCGGTCCGCTGTGCTACGTGTTACGGGAAAATGTTACAGCCTGGATGAACTGAATTCCGAGACGCGGGGAGTTTGTCAGTTCATATGATATACACTCGAGCTATGCGTACCTCAAGTGACAGCAGCACCAATGAGCCAAAACCCAGCGGTGAATCAGATGACGACGAGGTAGAACGACCGTCGTCCTTGTGTCCCACGGTGAGGCGAAGACGCGGTGTACGTCACTGGCACATGAGTCCAATTTCCACATGGTCGTTCTCACCATAGACATGTCAATGAGACTTTGAGGTCTCACCGTACATATATCGGCGAAAAACAGTACATAACAGGTCACTTCTCGAAAGAGTTGGACTGCCTCAATTCTCCCTTATGCATGGCATATCGAACGCTGATATGATCCACTAGGGTGTTATTTCTGGTAAAAGTCTATATAGGTTATTTTTTGCTGATTGTGACACTGATCATATTCAGTTGATTGCCCAGTCAAATGATCAAATATCGAGATGTTGGAGCAGAAGTTCTCAGGATAAAATCTGCTAGAGATCGAAAATATGCAAGGTAAGATGGAGGACTCGTCAGCTTCGTTTTGTACGCCTAGTTCAGGTCGTGTAGGTGAAAAATGCGCAATACGTACAATGAATAATAAATCATATATGTCTCGAAGTATGTCAAGACTCAGTACTCAACCTGCATGGAATGAGCACCTCCCACCGTCGACACCTCGAGAATCAACTCTGCAAACCCCGTAGTTCTCCGTTTCTTCGATGACAGTAGCCGCTGATGTATTCTGCGTCGCTTCACAGGACTGCGAATAATGGACCGTGCGCTTTGGAAACGTAGATTGCGTGACATCCGTGTCGATAGGCAGCATAGATGTCCAGCGTGGATCCACTGACGGCCACAACTCCGACAGAAGGTATGCTTGAGTCCCAGGACTTTTGGAAGTCAATTACCCAGTTGACTGCACGCGCTTGAACGGCACGTTTACCTGCACACTAGTCCTTGCGTCTCCAATCTTGAAGGTGAGCTCACGATGCCACTGTGTAACTGCAACCAGTAGCACACACACCTGCCCTTGGGCATTGGATCTGACCATGGAGATAAGGCGTGATGGCAATGAAGACCCTATATGTGCGTCAAGGGGAGGCGACGATATGCGAGAAGGCAACTCACCAGGGGGTAATCTTCGACCAAAAGGGACCGGGCAGGATAAACGGTGCACCTGGACGCAAAAGAATGACGCTTTAGCGATATATTTCTTGTCGACATGATTGCCAAATATTTAAGCGTAGCAATTAATACGGTTGGCTTGCCATGTTGGGCTTGGAATGGGCGCGTAATCGAATGCACTCAGGGTACACTGAGTTGTCGAAGGCTCGGCGCAAGTCGTAGTATTACCCAAGCTTATAGTAAGACCCACAGTTGGCCCTTCGCAACATCTTGCAGGTTGTCTGTTTTTCGAGAACCGGCGTCGTAGGTCCATGATAAACTCCACATTTCTCATCCAGGAAATAGGTTAGGTTTAGGTTGGATAACTTCCTTCTAATGGCCCGGGTTTGACTCCGGGAGACTATTAGGTTGTGGTTGTGGGTCTAAGCTGATCCGCGCTTCGCGTTTTATTATGTAATTAATCCTGATCAAATCAAATCAAATCAATTAGTAGATCATAAATCTTTGAACTCCGAACATAATCTTTGCGAGAAATCGATTTTGCATCGTGCACATCATTCACGATGCCTCCCTCAGCGTCAAAACAGAAAAGGCTCGCAGAAAAGGCCGCAAAGCAATCCGCAAGGAACAATGGCACAACTTCAACTTCCACACCTAACGATTCTGCACCACCAAGCACATCCCATACTCCACTCACCAGCATTTCTGCCGCAACTAGCACGGATGACCTGACATCCATGGCTAAGCTCCAGATCGCCACCGATAGGTGTGTTTCATGTCTTATTCTGATGGAGGGTACTGATCCGGCTGTAGGAGTGCAGCAGGAGTACTAGTGTCAGACGCGAAAGGCAGAGATATTAAAATCGATTCCTATACGTTATCATTCCATGGTCGTCTGCTCATCGAGGGCGCAGAGATTTCCCTCAACTACGGACAGCGCTATGGTCTATTGGGTGAGAATGGGTCAGGAAAGGTATAGTTTCATATCTATCCCCTCTGCATCCTACCATCTTACACATTTCGTCCCAGTCTACCTTCCTCCAATCCATCGCAGAGCGCGACATTGAAATTCCACCACACATTGACATTTACCTCGTCAGTGGTGAGGCCGAACCCTCAGATGTCAACGCTGTTGACTTCATCGTGGCCTCCGCTCGGGAAAAGGTCGCTAAACTCGAAAAGCGCATCGAAGATCTCAGCATCGCAGACGATGTCGACGACGCCGCCCTGGAGGCCGCGTACGAGGAACTCGAGGAGATGGATCCAAACACATTTGAGACCAAGGCTGGCAGTATCCTCCATGGTCTTGGCTTCAGCCAGGCTATGATGGCCCGTCCTACAAAAGACATGAGTGGTGGTTGGCGTATGCGCGTTGCCCTTGCGCGTGCACTCTTCGTTAAGCCACATCTACTCCTTCTTGATGAGCCGACGAATCATTTGGATCTCGGCGCCGTCGTTTGGCTTGAAGCATATTTATCAACATACAACCACATTCTCGTCATCACCTCGCATTCGCAAGATTTCATGGACTCAGTCTGTACTAATGTCATGGATTTGACGATGACGAAGAAGCTAGTCTACTACACTGGTAACTACACCACTTACGTACGCACTAAGCAGGAGAACGAGGTGAATCAGATGAAGGCATACCACAAACAGCAAGAAGAAATCGCCCACATTAAGAAGTATGTCTTTCTCTTCCTTGTAATTCACCGTTGACTGAACGGTGCCAGATTCATCGCTTCCGCTGGTACATATGCCAACCTCGTCAAGCAGGCCAAGTCGAAACAAAAAATCATCGACAAGATGGAGGCGGCGGGACTCGTCGAGAAAGTCGAGACTCCTCGGCCGCTGCGTTTCCACTTCGAGGATATCCGCAAACTCCCTCCTCCCATCATTGCATTCGACGAAGTCGCCTTCTCATACTCGGGCAAGTCTGAAGATTACTTGTACAAAAAATTGTCATTCGGTATAGAGTGTGTCTTTTCTTCCTGTTTAAAAGTCTTGTTGAGCTCACTCGTATGTAGTATGGACTCTCGTGTAGCTATCCTCGGTGCAAATGGTGCCGGAAAGTCGACACTCCTCAACCTCGTCACCGGCGTTCTACAACCCTCTCAAGGCACTGTTTCCAAGCATGCTGCGCTCAAACTCGCCAAGTACAGCCAACACAGTGCGGACCAACTACCGTACGACAAAAGTCCAATCGAGTACTTCCAATCGCTCTTCTTCGAGAAGTACCCCGAGAAGGACGCCATGGCGTGGAGGCAGCAGCTCGGCCGTTTTGGCTTGAGCGGTGCGCATCAAACGAGCCCCATAAAAAATTTGTCAGACGGGTTGAGAAACCGGTAAGTGGTCCAACATGACTGGTGACGTCAGACTGACAGTCGTTCAGGGTGGTGTTCGCGCAGCTCGCGATGGAGCATCCTCACATCTTACTACTTGGTTTGTGCTTTTTTTCTCGTTTGGCAATCCACTGATCAGCAACGAGACAGATGAGCCAACGAACCATTTGGATATGGCTTCCATCGACGCACTCGCGCTTGCAATCAAGGACTTTGAGGGTGGCGTGGTGATCGTGTCACACGACTTCCGTTTGATCAGTCAAGTTGCTGAGGAGCTTTGGGAAGTCGCTGATAAGACAATCCGGAATCTAACGAAGGAGGATATCAGCATTGTTGACTACAAGAGGAACCTTGTGAAGCACAGTACGATTTTACTCCCTTTTCGTCTGATCGTGTGCTGATCGTCATGCAGGTGAGGCCCAATTGGAAAAGGCCAAGCTCATCAGCAAGACAGCCACCAAAGGCAAGACCTAAGCGAGCGCCTCGGTCCTGTTTCATGTGTACACATACATGTACATACCGTACACCGCGCCCCTTACATGGGCCACACACATGTTTTGCCACTGTAGCCCCACCTTTTTTTTCATTCGATTGTTGCACAACTAGCTGGATCTTGCATCTGTATGTTTGTCACGTCCAAGGCCACGTTTTCGCTTTTAGATGTTTTATTGACGATCGTCCCTACTTACTGAGGTCGGGTCCTTGGGGCTAACGAAGCTCACGTTTAATGTAGTCGGTGTTTAGAAAAGATATTGTTTGGTATCTGTAGTTGAATCATGTGGAGACCAATATTTTACCTCTTGCAAGATTTCTCTAGACCTGGCTAGAGCATCCCAGAATAGCCTAGGCTAGTAGAGCGTTCCACAGTACTCTAGATTACCTTTCGAATGTAATTCCAAAGGTAAGATGTTAGTTTCCTCGCTGTGAGACCGTACCGATAAGTATGATATGGGTTCTGGCCCTAGCACTGCAAAGGCCTCCACACAGACAGCCACCGCGAGCTGAATGTAGCCTAGCGCCTGGGCCATTCCAGACTGATACACTTCGATGTGCAATATATATAACCATGGTTGGTTAGGATGGACTGTAGGATTAAACGGCTAACGTACTAAATCACACAACAGAGAACCGCATTCAACGTGATGCATGATGCATTAGCCGTCCGACATCAGAAATCATTCTGATTCCACTCCAAAGACGCCCATAGTATGACGCGGCCGTGCTGAACGGATCTTCAATAATGCGAGCTCGGATGAGATTCTCTGGACACTTTCGGAGCCCCCATATTATACGCAGCGAGTGTCATTTACGGTCATTAGAGACTATGGGAGGAAATAGCGATGATGATGGTACCAAAGAGACGAGGGAAACCGACAGGAAGGACTCGGACAAAGATAACGTTAACTTGAACAAGGAGAGATCGGACCGTAATTCAAAATGTTTGTCATTAGCCTTGAAATCTGTTGACTGTGCATGGACGAGAGAGGCGCTTAGAGCTTAGCCGCAGTGTACAGATATATAGTTTGTCGATACCGCTGTCCGATAGTGTCGACACCGTCTAAATCGGAGTTCGAAAATTAGCAGTACATACTAGCGTTTGCTGTCGACGCCAAGGAATGAATCAAGCTCATGACCATCATTGATCGTACTGCGAGAAATATGTTTCTTCGTCGTTCGTGGGTGTAAGAGCGGCAGGGTCTGTGGGTCCGTGCTGCAATTGGCATTTATAGCGGTATGTCTTTTCTCTAAGTCTTCATTGTGACATTGTTACTCCAATGCACGTTGACAACTTGCAATCTGACATTTTGACCATGTCTAGTATTGGAACCTCTAGTCCAGTCGGCTTTGGCTGCAGTATCAGAGATAGGGAAGCGTATGTTGCTGGTTCACACAATCTCATTATTTACTGAGCTTCTGGTAGAATGGATGTAATTTCAGCACTGGTGCGCTGCGGGAAGAGCGAGTTTCTTCTATTTCCGATTGAATAGGTCCTAAATTCGCTTGGATCCCCCATGGCTAATAAATATCCCTGCTCTTTCAATCGTGAAAAACGCCTTATGTCAACAGCAGTGGGATGGGAATTATAGTCCCGGGTCAATCATCAATTTAACAATTATCGGGTGCGCAACTTCGGCGATTTTTAAGATGCGACTATGTCTAATAATAATGCCCAGCCCTACAAGCCAGCACTAAGCAAACACTGCCTCACAATCATTTCCGTTACATACGCTCACTCTTACTCCCACAATTGTCAATAAACCCAACATTTTTCGTGCTTGTTTCGTATCTGGACCTGAATGTATTCCCCTCGTTTCTATCAGTTCGTGGAATTTATTTCATGCATCCTCAACTTGGCATCTCATTCCCCGAAATTGTCCAACGTTTTGGGCACATCACGTCACTGCTCATCAAGCTGTCCCCTGTTGATGATGCCGTCAATCAGCCCTGCATCGTTTGATTTAAATATGCGCTACGCAAGCTAGGATCCGCCACCCTGCTACGCAAAACCTGCTAAACAACCTGCATCCTCCACGCTATGAAGCAAGCAGTCTGTCTGCTCTGGTTGCTGTTGTTGTTCTCCACAAGTGGAACAACCGCTCTGCAAGCCCCGTACGGTACCCCAGAATTTGTTTCGTTGTCAAGTAAACAGTGGCCCTCTGCTTCGAAATGGGCTTCGTTGAACGCATCCCTGGGAGGACGACTCGACATTCTGCGACCTTGGGCTGCTGTATGTTATTCCTCCGATACCCTGTTCAACTACGAGGAGTGCCAGACAGTGCTTAAGGGGTACGACAACGACACAATGGCAAGTCGACCTTTCTTCCTAAACACCAGAATCTTGTCGATCCCTCCTTCCCAAAACTAGCGGGAAAGTGCCTCAGCAGCTCTGCTGTGGGCAAACTGGGAGGCGTGCGGCTACGGGAATGGGTGTCCCCTGAATTATAGCAACCCCCAGATCATTCACGATCAGGTGTGTCACCAGGGCACTACGCCTCCGTATAGCATCGCAATCAGGAATGCAAGCGACGCGAGTATTGTCATGAAATGGGCCGTGAAGAACAAAGTAAAATTGACGGTCAAGAACACGGGTGAGGCATTCTCGCTGTCTGTTTAGAGGGCAATGTTGGTTGACTACTTGATAGGACACGACTACCTTGGGAGATCGGCAGCTCCATCAACACTCCAGGTAAATACACACAGTATGAGCGATATGTCATACGTCCCCGAGTTTGTGCCACAAGGATCCACTGCAGCGCCCGTGTCGGCGTTGACTATTGGTGCGGGCGCACAGCTTTACAATAGTATGCATCTATCCGCTCGCAGGTAACATCGTCCAGGAGTTAACGCGTTTTATCAGTATATGATTATGCAGGGAAGATGAATTTCTCTGCTGTATTAGGAGCATGCACTACTGTCGGAGCTGGTAAAATGGTCCTCCCTGTTTTTGGTGAACTGTTTAATCTAACAGTCGTTTACCAGCTGGCGGGTATTTACAGGGCGGTGGACATGGAGTGTGAGTGGCGCGGCTTTGATCTCGGTTCACGTGATAACATTATCCCAAGGTTGACACCTGCATATGGGCTCGGAGTATGTCATTTGTCTTAATATAAGAACCCGAATAACTCAAATGACCTTGGCACAGGCTGATCACGTGCTTGAAGTTGAGGTGACGGATACGGTTTCTGATCTTTCGGTCCTCAATCTCATAATGACCTTGATAGATCGTGACTGCTGATGGACTTATAAGAACCATCAATGCTTTCCAGGACCCTGAGCTCTTCTGGGCTGTAAGAGGCGGAGGCGCTGGAAGCTGGGGAATCATCAGTGGGTGGCTTGTAATGCTGACCATAGACACAAATTGACATGTTTTGTGCAGCGTCCATGACAATCCAAACATACCCTGTCATCGGCATTGGGGCGTCTCTTCTTGTTATTGAGCCAAATTCCTCCCAAAACTTGACTACACTTGCTATTGATTTTATTGCGCTCGTTGGCAAGTACCAAAACGACTTCGTCAACTCTGGTATCGTATCGGTTCTGATTCCGTTTAAGGCACAGTACATCCTTGTAAGCCAGGGAATCCAATTCATCATATCGTGTCTTCATATCTTTCGCAGAACTTTTACTTCCCTACCACGACATCACACATCTCGACACTCTACCCACTTTTCTCCGAACTTCTCACACTTTCGTCCAATTACAGCATAGCATCAAACACAACCTCAGCAACGATGTTTGCGTCCGTCACAGCCGCCGAAACGGAGAACATCGGGCCTTTCTTCGATAGCGTTAACCTCTATGGTGCATCGAACCAGCTGTCCTCCCGTCTCATCCCACAGTCGCGCCTGTCAACCTCAACGTCAATTCAAGACGTAGCAGAAGCGATCTGGGCAGGAAGCCAAATTCTTAGTGAACCTCTCCTGTCCGGTCCGGCGGGTACCTTCGGTGCGGTCCCGCCGTTTTTATTAGGGAATATGCCAGCTGCCACACGCCAGAAGGCGAACGAGACAGGTGCGAACCCTGGGTTGTATGAAGCCGCGTGGCATGTGGTCTTTGCGGTGTGCGTTGTGTACTTGCTACGTAGACAAGACCGGGTTGATTGATTAGTCCTACAGAGCATCGACAAGCGATGCCAATGAGACGACTAGCAATGCGATCGCGGAAGCAGTCCATAGTGCAACTGACCCTCTTACTGCGCTCGGCATTACGAGCAGTTATCAGAACGAAGGCGACGCTTTCGAGGTGAACTGGCAGCAAGGTTGGTTCTTCTCGTTGACTCTTATCTGCCACTTCTGAAAATGGGCCTGTACAGCGTTCTTTGGGTACAAATACGCAAATTTGTCTTCCATAAAGCAAAAGTACGATCCTGGGAACTGTGAGTCTGCTACTTGTTAGACCATGTAGATAAATCACTAACTGACTCGTTTTAGTCTTCACCACTTACAAGGTCTGTGTCATGTTTTTCAATGTCTCTTCTCGGTGACAAACAGTGAGCTATAGGGTGTGGCCTCAGTAACCAATCTTAAGGCATATCAATGTTACGATGAAGACTTGCCCGCCGATTCGTGAGTCACAAGGATTGTTAGGTGGAGGAAGCAGCTGCCTCGGTACAACAGTAACACAACAGACTTGAATCCATTTCTCGTTGCAAGTCAAACTATTACCTACTGACCGATGCTACATTATATGGATTCGAAAAGGGTGTGATGGACCAAAGCGAGGTCAACTGTAACTACTACTGGTTACTACTGGTGATAATGGTGATAATGCTATAGCTAAAAACCAAGCGAAGCGTCCTCAAGGTTTATATCCTCGAAATGAAAATGACAGGACAGGTTACGATGTGGAGTGCTCTGCCTGCATTGCATCACCTCGTGTGCGGCCAGCCATCTCTCGCGACCGGAGCCCCTCTTTCTTCTCAGGCACCATGTCGGCGGACGGCGCGGTTGACTCCACGCCCTCCATGGAGGCAGGTTGCGGAGGATCCGTGTCCATATTGGCAGGTGGAGATGGCGTGCGCTGAAGTCCCAATCTCTTTGACCGAGCGGAAGGATTAAGGTAGCCACACTTCGGGCAAACGTACTCTGGCAAATGCATCAGTATGTCGAGGCGAAGAGATTTTGAGCGATCTCACGGGTGTCCTCCCAAACGCTCTCCTTGACCAATCCATTGTGTGAGAAGCACTTCTGGCATATAAGTGCATAGCGCGAGGCAGCCACGCTCATTGAGGATTCCTCGTCACCCAAAATGGCATCGGCGAGTTTGTCATACCATTGCTTGCGGGTCGGTTGAATTGGCTGTGGCGTTGCTGCAAAATGTGTCAGCGTGTCGGATCATCCGTAGACACGTAAACACATACGCGAAAGCTGTAGAGGTAAATTTCTTTGCTGGGCGATAGGTGTTTGCAGGTGTGCCTGTTGGGTTATGGGCAGTGGTGTACGGGGCTGTGAAGGCTGCAGGCGCCGCATCGGGGTGCCAGGATCGGCGTATTTCTCAAGCAGGCTCCGTGTCGAGTCATAATTGGTCTTTTTCTTGATTTCTTCAACTTTAGCGCGCTGCTTTTGAGTGACGACTCTGAGGGTTTTCTCTGCCGCACTCTCATTGAGTGGTGAAAGACTTTGATTCTGAGAAACTCACCTTCGCGTCCGCCTTTCCACGAATACCATATCTGCATCATTCTCCGTGCAAACAATATTCTAGGGTGATACATGAATGGGATTGGATTCAAATGCGTGGTGGCACATACATTACAGGTCCCACTAGGACTGCTACTTTCGCTAACAGCGAGTCATGCCACGTCGCAGGAAGCATACGCGCGTACCACAAGTATACAAATGAAATCCATAGAGAGAGCGTTCCAAGCGTGAACTGAAGTGTTGTCCGCCGCTCACGGAGTCGGATCTCTGCTAGACGTGTCTGCCGTCGTGCAACATCAGCTGCAAGTGCGGAGAGAACCTCCTCGTAGTTCTCTGAACCACTCTAGTGGAGAACATTTAGCGCAAAACGAGAGAAAAGGAGCTGATGCTTTACCTTTGAGAACCAGCGGGTTACGAGGGACATGACGGGTTGGAAGAAGAGTAAGTGTACACCACGTCAGTTGAACAAATCGGGCTCATTATGGAACACGCTCTGCACAGCCACATCATTCACGGTTTGTGACGTACTACTGCTTGCGGGCCCCTTGAGCCCGCCAACATAAGCGCTACACCGTTGGTGTGGATTCAGAAGTAAAGGTCTGGCTTTTTTTGGCATGCATGGCTAAAATTTAAACTCACATTCGACGATTTCTTTGACAATCCGAAGTGATAACTCAGAGTGGTCAGCCTGACTTGGGCTTTGTTTTCACAGTCGGGATGATTACTAGCTGACTTTTTGCTCATTTGCTACACAGTTCGGGCTCTGGTTGGAGACCAGTGTTAAACTGTCACTCCTTGGCATGGCGGCGTTCACGGCGGCGAGCAATGAGCATTCTGGAATATGAATCGATACGTTTTCACTCTATGATTTGTCATGTCCCACTGATGTAATACCTTGACTAGTGGACTGGAACTCAAGGGAGAGGTAGGTCATCGTTTTCTGACCTTCATAGCTCATTCCGTTTTATGGCACTAATATATACTATCAACAAATCCGTCTCGAATGCTCTGGTCAGGACTTCGACACCAAAGAACTTGAGGAGGTTGAATTCGTCGACCAGGAAACATCCTTACGTATACGTGAGGGACAACGCCAGGCACCTTTCATGAAACTGTAAGTTGCTGAATATATCTTGAACGGTGTTTTCAGATTCGGGCGAGCTCCGCTAAATCTATTCAATGCCCTTCCTGCATCGAAGCACCTGCGGACTATGTATCCGATCTTGTATGGTGTTTTCAATGCACCTGCATGCCGCATGTGCCTGCATAGTCGAATAGCACACTAGGCTATCAATGTCGCAAAGACCTTACAGGATGTTGGCTAGTCTGTCAAGCTTACACTGTCCTCTACGTTGATGAAAATTGACGCACATTGCGGTTGCACAGGTTGGTTGGTTGAACTTGCGTGTTTCAGCTTCACTGCCGTTAGAATTTTGGTTTCCCGCTTTTGTCCTCGGACATAAACGAAATTGATTTCCTTTGCTTGTTATTTTAGTCAGGCGACAATAAGGATCTTAATCTTGACAGGAACAACATCCTCGAGTGCGAACAGAAGGGTATACGTAAATAATAATAATAATTGTCCACTGATTTGTTGTTCACCGATCTAGAAGTAACAATTCTCCAGGAAGCGCCTTTAATAAACGCTCACAGCAGCAGTACAATTGACAGTGATTTGACCGTCCTATGAACCAATGTTAGCGCGAATTCCTGAAACCGGCGTCGATGTCTCACATAGTATTGTGGGCCAGTACAGCAGACAGTCTCCTTAATACAACCTGAGACACTCCCATTGCTCGCGGTTGTGATAGCACTGCAGCCGTAGCCGATAAGGCCACTCAGTCCAGAACTGCTAATAGAATATTCGGCCAGGATATCTTGACTGGCTTTTACGGAGGTCTGTTGAGAGTTGGTATGTTTAAGAGCCTCTTCTGGGTCAGTGATTATATATGATGATACCCACCGTCGTGGTGTTGGTGCAACACATGGCGTCCCCCGAGTCGCAGTAATATGTTGTGGAAGCAAGAACTGGCAGAAAAACAGCGGAAGCTATCAGAAATCGGGACAACATTGGATTTTCACGAGGGTGCAATGTGGGCAAGTCTGAGTAGAGGTTTCCGTCGCGCACCTTGTATTTATAACTGCACGACTTTGTAGATGTTTGACCTGGTGTTGGAGGATGGCAACGGCGAAGCAAACAAATGAAAGTTTGTTGTAATTGTTACGTTCCGTCATTGATCCTGAACCGAATAGTAGATACGCTGAATCATATCGAGAGGTGCGTCATAGTCACACGAAAGCATCTGGGGCCCCATCATAAAGCAGAGGTCTACGGTGTTAAGGATGATCAAAAGATGCGAGAAAGTCTCTGGGTGATACAGATCAGTAAGTTAATCGCCACGTACCCGCTCCTACAGTCAGACACACCCAGAACGAACGGATAAGCAAGGTCAAGAGGTGAACTCACAGATTCTTACTATTATAGAGTTGGACAATGCTAGGAACGTACAATGCCCAAGGATGTCGGGTGGAGTGTTTGAATTTTGTAGGTGATTTAGTCATTTGATATTTTTCGCATGTAGATTTTGGTACCATCTGTTGTGTAAATCAGTTCGGGTGACTCGGAGTTGCGTGAGAGAATGAGTTCGCGAGGCGCTGGTTACGCTCCTTCCTACCACTCCTTTGTGCGAGGGGGAAGACTACGCGATTGAACATGTTCTTCGTTACCCTCCAAGCTCGTAACGGACGTCGGAACCAGCTCGGTTGCGGCAGCAGGCAGTCTCACGAGGGTAATGATTCCAAGCACGTAGTATGATATTGCTACATATATATAAAAAATGAGGAACCATGGTTGTTGAGGAAAGAACATTTCACGCTCACATGGAGTAGAAGCAGCGGACACTAAAGATGAATGAGTCTTTGCAGCACCAGGAAGGAGCATTCGCGCGGGAATTGGTCTGGTTTTCAGTTGGTACATCATACAACGAGTTTCAGGCTTGAGATCTTGAGAAACAAACCCCTTCCACGGTTTTGCTTTGCTCGAGTACGTCGTTGATGGACCAGAGTTGAGCTTTGTCATCCCAGTCCAAACTGTCAAGCAGTTCTCTAGTGGGTGTGTGTATATGCCGAAATGTGAGTGAAGAAGAGGCTGAAATTGGCGCCCATAACTTCGTCACGGCGCTTCTCACGACTACTACAGTAAAGCGAATCGTTCATCGGCGAAGCTCGAAGATTGAGCTTAAAAACTTTCAAATTTCCATGTTGTCAGTGCGTACGGCCACTATGGATTTGTCTTTCTTCGTCAATGGCTCACTCCACGATTTTCTGTCTTTCAAAGTCCAATGCTTCCGGGTTCCCCACCCATGACTTCAGTTCGAGCTTCCGAGTCTGTCTTGCGAGAATTGAGCTGCTGGGGCCCAACATGTCACGGAGGATCAAGCGTAGTCATAACATATAGAGCAGTAGGTGAACCAGATTCCACTATGTCATCGACGAATATTATGATAGAGATATATATGGTCCATCAGGCCTCAAGACCTCACACTTGGTGGTCGAAGCCGCGGGAGAACCCGTCACGCATGCGCACCCATCTAGCGCACTGAATTCGGGCGAAATAAACGTTGAATCAGGAAAACTCATTCCACGATCCTCGCAAGAGTTTCCCATCCACCGCCCTCCACAATCCAGAGTCGTCAGCTCCTCGCAACCATCTTTCGGACAGCCTGCCATTTCAGACAGTAATTCATCTATGTTACATTGATGTTCTGTGTACACGTCTTCACCAAAACAATCGTGCACGGTGTACTGAAATAGCTCCGTCTCCGAGTTGACAGGGAGACGCTCGCTGACAGGATAAGAGGAAATGAAAGAAAACTGGAGAGAACCTACACATGACGATGCTGGTTTGCAGAAGCACTGATTGTTTCGGTATGCATCGCAATATTCGTGATCCTGATCAGATCCATCAGAAATCCGTGCCGGTCAGCACAAATTTGATTGCGACACCCAATCATAGGTAGGATCATCATCTGGCTGAGCATGCTGATTATCCATCAAGGACGCATCTGCTGTGTGGCGGCCTAGGTGCGGATGGCTATGCCATACATGCTATACTTGCAATCATGGCCGACAATGTACATGTCGTGGGCGCTAGCTTACAGCAAGTGGAGTGGGTAAGTGCAATCAGTTCACTGCCACACAAGAACCAGATCCGGAGTTCCCGATATTGCAGCATTTCGAAATACAAACAAACCCCGTCTCTATTCGAATTCTTGATTGCAACAATGGGTTGTTATCATCCAGGAACTAATGTGTGCCAAGCCATACGGTGCCACCTGGCACCAGGTTGTTTCTACTTTGGCGATAATGCGCTAGATGGTGGTATATATCTCAGCACGAACATTGTCGTTATGACTCAACCCATCCACTCTGTTCACCACGCACTGACACCGATCCCTTGAATATGACTGTAGTCTCAAATGATCCCAGCTGGTTTCCAACGATCAACACCAATCGTAATTTCAGCTATGTTGCAGGTTTGTGAGGAGCCATCTGATGGACGATGTTGAGAATGTCTCACGTTATCTTTCACTGGCGCAGTTGCAACCACTATTGTGCTGGTGTACGATTGGGGTGAGCAAGGTAGTGCTTATCGAGGGAACTTGAATTTATTGATGTTCCTATGGTATCATCCAGCGCTGACATTCAGACAAGAGGTAGGTTGATTCCATGACCGGACTAGCAGCCATCTTACCAACTTTCGTAGTTTGAACTGATCTGGGTAAGCAGTCTGGTCCTATATCAGAACGACAACCTGACCATGTAAATCCGGGGCAGAGGCAACGCTGGTCCCATATGACTATAATATATCTCGCTGTACGCAGCTCGTGGTATAAGCACGGTTGGCAGTTGTGCTAACTTCAAATTATTCTAGGTGCGCTGCCTTGGAATAGCATTCATTGTGTATGTCACCAAGAACCAATAAGGTGGCACTGCGCTAACAAGCTATCTCCTCCCATGATAAGCACCACCATACTGTGTATGTCTCCTCGCATTCACTGTGTATTCGTTTTCGTCTCTGACGCGCGGTATCTAGTTAGTTTCCAGTCAGTCCCGGTGACAGATGCAGTGAGTATTCTGCAGTGGTGCTGTCATTCCCGTCGAACTAACCGTACTCATATGTAGGGGTGAGTGAGATTCTCAACCGTCTTCCTGGTTCACTAACATAATTGAAACAGCTGTGAGTTGTCTGGAGGCATCCAGTTCAAGGCTCTTTAATAACTGTGTTCATAAGGTACAATCATTAACCGCATGATCTCGTGGATATCTGTCGTCGTGAATACGCTTGTGGGCGGTGAGTTGCTCGACTACAGTACCTCGATGATTTATTGACTTGCCATGCAGTCATCATAGTCATCCGGTTACATGCCATGTATCAACGATCCAGAAAGATGCTCTTCTTTCTTGCTGCGATGTTCTTGGCTACGGTGGTCCTCAATGGAGTGGTTTCTGTAATGGCAACCACCCATATTGTAGGGGGTAGGTCATAATTTTGGATGAGGCACAGGCATACTATGCTGATGTAACTAATGCTAGAGGAGTTCATTCTTTTCGGTACCCACCAGTGCTTTTTCGAGGGTGATGGACCTGGCGAAATGCTGATGGCCGGGACTTGGATACTCGGTCTTGTTTGGGAGGGCCTCGCACTGTGTCTTGCAGTCTGGATTGTTATAAAACACCTCCACGAACTGCGACGAACATCGACAGCATGGACCATCTCGGGCACTTTTGCGGCGTTGATAAGCACTCACGTGCTTTACTTTGCAGCGTGAGCTCGTTGCTCTGAATGTCATGTATCTTTGTGTCTGAAGTTCTGCATCTGCTAGCTTTGTTGCCGTGGCTTGTTTCAATGTCGCTGGTACACTGTCTTCAATCTTGGTACGCAAACCTGTGATTGAACAATCTGCGTCTGACCACTTTTCTACATTAGAGCTCAACTTCTGTTGGGGCTTTGATTTATTGGGGTTTTCTCCAAATTGCCACGTCTGCGCAAATGTTTGTGCTGGGTCCGCGCCTCATCCTTAGCGTTCGTGAATATAACGCTAAGGCGGTGGCCCAATCTGATGAAGGAACTGCCATGACTACGATTGCTTTCCACGAGCACACGCAGAGGTCAACTGGTGATGTTGTGTAGCACTCGGAATGATTGACAGTTGTCAGTTATTTGTGGCGTTTCGTCGTGGTACAACCGTTCCATCTGAAGTTGTGGATCCACATGCCGCTGCCGTTTTTTTTTTCGCTGTCGCAAACACCGTCTTCAAGTCAACATCATCAATTCATGAAATTCACAGAATTTTTCGACACCCCTTCTAACCAAGATCTCATGCATGGTATACCAAATCTGTGTCCTTTTTGCTAGATCTCACACGCGTAGTGATCAGCGCAAACATGCATTAACGATGCACAATCAACTTTGTTGTCACGGTATTCAGCCTGAAGACTATTTCTGGTGCTACTGACAACCCAACATCGCTTCTAATGTGAAACGAAACAATAGATTCCAAGTGTTTGATCCATTTCGATTGAAAAATAAGGGAAACGTACAGAATTCATGATCCATAATTACGGCACTACCTCGAGGGAAGGAATAAGGGCAACGTATTCTGCTCGTTGCTCATCTCTCATCCCCACCTCACCATCTAAAACCAGGCGCTCCAGGGGACAATTTGACCGTGCAAATAATGCCTTTAACCCACCATGAGGCCATGTTAGACCGTCACTGTGATCGCGGTTAGCTCCAAACACGCGCAAGTCTGGAAGCGATAGAGCATTGAACAGGCGAGATAAGGATGTGAGATCGGTCAACGTGCTCGAAAGGCTCCGACTAGGACGGAGCTGTAAGAATTGGATTTTGGGGTGCGTGAGTGGCTCTAAAGTTTGCACTCGCATGAGTGCGGTGTGAACTGTTAACGAGGAGAGGTCGTGACATAGCTGGAGAACTTGGAGGACTGAAGCCGGTTCGAGTACTAGGCCAATCTCGACATATGTCAGGTGGGTCCATACAGAGCCAAAATGATAGTTCTGTAGGTCAAAACACGGCACTATTACCGAGAGCCTGCACATAGTGAACGGCAATTGCGACATAGATTGCGCGACAGCTGGCGTAGAACGATCACGATGTAAGCCTATGGTTAGTTCCTCAAGTGCTGGGAGGTCTGTTAACAAAAGTGCTAATTTTTCGGCATCGTGGTTAAAAAGGTAGAGATAATTGAGATTTGGTTCATGTATGGGAGGATAATGCTTCGTAATTGAGTCGACTGATCGCCGGAGCAGTCGAGTACCAAGGAGAGTGGGAGTCCCTGCGACTGCTTGAGCCATGAGTCATAGCAGGGAGCCGCCCGCTACCAATCCTTGTCGTCAACTTCCACGAGCAACCTGCACCACAGACTGGGTGTGCTCATAGCAACACCCCTCCATCGTCGGCAGATACTGGTCAACAGCATAGGAGTTTTAGAATTGACGGGCGCCATGAGGCCCTTCCAAGGATTCGCATATATGTTTCCCCGTCGCTGCATCCCACAGTTGGACAGTCCAATTCAAGTGTCTGCATGAAACGGTAAAATGATCCAAGTTGTCGACAAGACAATACTGCTAAGTCACGATCTGCGTTGATGCAGGAGATAGAAACGAGAGAGGAACCGAACAGTTACCTACGGAACGGGATTAGTTCGGCTCCAATCCGATGAATGGCCCATACATCCGCGAGCTTCCTGATAATACTGTCAAATATCCTGAGGGGTTGAAGAAGGGCGGCGGGTGCTCCAGATCTCACAGGTCCCCAGAGTGGTTTCATGAGCTTTGCAGCCTCTTTGGCGTCTCGAAGTGCCGATTGGGGATTAGCACCTTGTTCCACATCAGACGGAGCACCAGAAGTCAGATAGATAGAGCAGGAATTGATTACCTACCCCAACACCCGGAGTCGATGAAGAATCTTCACGATCAATCGTCTTGCGGCTGCCTGAATCCTTCAAGTTCGAGCGCTTGCGTACGATCTCGAAACCTCTACAAAATCCGACAGACGGTGCCACGGGGTCGGCCCTAGATAATAGACAAGGGATGTGTCGATGAGAGCCAGTATTTCCAGTGCAACAACACATACGGAGCGTTCATCAGCTATTGTTTCGCCAGATGTCTGGATGTCTGGAACAGGAACAGGCCTTGAGTCCTTCAATTGATTGTCGTCGTTTATGGTGACTAGTAGGATGCGACAAAAAGTTGGAGACAGGGTGAGTCCCACGTCCATTAAAGCCATAATGTTAGGCCATACCCTTGACCGCAAGCGTCAAGGCAATGTTGGCTGCAGTGTTGACTTCAGGCACTAAGCATTGGGTGGGGGGAAACGCAAGGCAGCCGAAGGAACGACCATGTTCATTCTTCTACGGTCAGTCTAGACTCTAGAGACTATGGAAAACACTGTCCTGATCCGTCACAGTGAATGATGCATCCATCCACGTAAGACTTGGCGAGCAGCGTGAGCTACAAGCAGAATTTGACCTTCGGACATTCGGCCCATTACATGGAATTTGGGCTTCCGGATGAGCAACGATTCTATATCATGAATCACTATCAGAAATGTTTGTGGGCCGAACTCAAGAAAGTTTACAAGTACTCGCCTCAAAGACTTGTAGGGAATGATTAAATACGAGACTCAGTGGTGTTCGCCTGAGGCGGTGAAGCGGAGAACATAATCATTCAGCAGCATTGAATGTGCACATGTTGCGATGTACTGATCCTAGTGACTCGGATGGCCTTAGAACGGGCGTAGCTATTTTGACGCGGTCGTGCCGCGCGTGCATAGGTACTACAGACCATGGGCCCGCAGCTTGCCGCTTGAGCTTGAATTTCGGTTTTCGTGCTCACACGCATTGACGAAAGCTATACTCTAAACTACTAGTAGCGAATAGGCACTTGCCACTTACTCGCTTCCTGGCTATCAAGCGTTGATCTGACCGTTCTGCGCATCATGCCGTGGACTTTGGCGCTGGTAACATACCTTTGAGCACTAACCATGACGACACTGACAAGTCTTCCACACGATGCTTTGTACCGTGTCCTATGCTTTCTCTCTGTTCGCGAAATCATCTGCCTTCGACTGGTGAGAAATTCTTGCTTATTGTTTGTATATCAAATCCCTTATATTGAACATGCTTGTAATATTTGATATAGGTGTGCAAAGACCTTCGTGACTTGACATTCCACACGGCTATATGGCATGATGCGTATAAACACGCAAAACTCCCTCGTCCCCTAGGACCGCTCGACTCTCAGTCTCGCGAGTTCTTAGAGAACACCCTCGTCAAAAGCACTCAAGTTGGCGTCAAGTGGAACAAGCAAGCTCTAACGATAACTTCCAAGGCGACTTGGTTCGAGCCCGAGTGGTCAGCCTTGCAAGGAGACCATTGGGAAGTGGTGTCTGGGTTATGGCTCGTTATCCCGCACATCAGCGGCCCAGACATCCTGTGCTATGATCTGAAACGCGGGCTGCGCCACGTCGTATACCACACTAATATCGCTCAGATCCTATCGTTCAAGAGCACGATTTCTGAGGCACCAGACGGAGGATGTATCATGCATGCTATCGTCATGGAAAGCGCCCGCAGCAACGCGTCGTTCTCACAGTTAGTCGCCTTTAAATATCGTATTCAGACATTGAACGGGTTTCCGGTAGTAAACTGCTCTCCATTCGTTTTTCTGCTGATGGTCCATTATTGGAATTCTCCATGGTGATTTCTGGCGATGTAATCGGAATGGGAATGTCGCAACTATCTGCTGCGAAGCGCTTGTTGTGCATGAGCGATCATTTGACTGGTACTCTGAACTTGGCAGTGGATACCCACACCCGCGTCCTGTACCGCTTTCCACCACCAAGCTCTATCATTGTCCGTATGAAAAACTTTCCCATCATGTGCATTCCTCATCATGAATCCTAGGAGCCCACATTCGCCATAACTTGCATGCAAGAGACATACCTGAAGCGTCTCATTGCCACTGAAACTCATATTCTCGCAATGTTTACCCCTCTCACTATTGTCAGCCAGCTCAATGAGGGAGGAAACTCTCGTGTGCTCATTCAGGCGTTCGCTCTCCCGCCTATGGGAACCACCACCGAATCCTCACCCACCCTTCAACTCACCCACGAAGGACATTGCTATCTCGATATCGAACGTGTTTCGCTTCTGTGCGACTCTATGACCAACGCCGTCACAGGGCATACCCAGATCAAATTCCTCACACATTACATGAGACTTAACCTGACGAAGTACTTTGCTCACCGAGTAACGTTATCCCCTCCTCTGCTAGGGCAGAAGTTGGGGAATATCTCTCTTTCCACCGACCAGCTTTTCTCTGTTCCTGGTTATGCTAACACCATGAAGTTTACCACATCCTTTGATGGGCACGCGCGCGGTATCTGCGTTCTCCATAACGAGAGGGACGGGACAGAATTCTACGGATTTACGATCGACGCTAGCAGCATGGATCAGCCCTGTTCAGGCATCGTTGGCCCAGGGGTCGATATCAAAGAGGTTGAAGCGACAGAGTCGTACCCCTCGTCTTTGAGGATGACCTGGAATGTGAAACTAGCATTTGACGGCAACTTGGGTAGGATCTGTTATAGGAAGCGGGGCGAAGAAGGACGGAATGTACTTGCCATAGTAGATTTGGCTTAGAGGTTATCAAACAGCTTATATATACGTGGTGGACTGATACATAGTGTGAATTGGATATTTTTAATTATCGTTTCTGAAGAATGCACGCGCTTTAGATCTTGCATAGCAGTAAATAGTATATCTTAGCTCGGCGATAGTGCGGATGGTGATGTAGATTTGAAGGAAGGAATGAGTGTCAATATTAATGACATAGCTCGCCGCACATATGCCGCATCCTAAGTGCAGTTTACACCTATACAAAGTATGATGATCGTACAGTGGTCAGGAAAGGCCCCTCCCAATGACTCAGCACTGCATCGCACCATCGCATCAACGCAGGTGTCCCCCAACACTCCGTCCTCAAACCTTTCCAGCCGTAGCAGCATTCTTTTTCTGTTCCTTCAGCTTCTCGATCCGCTGCAAAAAGCCAATCAGTATAAGCTCAAGTTCCTCCTTGTTCCAAAGAAAGAAAGAAAACAAAAAGCACTCACCAACCGCCTCTCCTCCTTCCTCCTCGCCATCTCAGCAGCCTTCTCCTCTTTCGACATCCCAGCCATACTAGTTGATGGTGTATTATCAACAGAATTCGGAAGTGGGCGAGGAGATGATACTGGTGTTGATCGAGCGCTTGAAGCGGGTGAAAATGCTGGTGCAAGAGTAGAAGTTGCGAGGGATCTGCGGGGTTGTGGGGAGAGCGTGCGTGAGATATGGGAGGGATGTGAGGTCGTCCATGGATCGGGGGAGCGACTTGTGGGTCGAGATGACGATGCCATTGCGCCCCATTCGTCAGAAGCTGTATTAGATAGATTGTTGATCAGCAGGAACGTTTATGGAGAAGGAAATGATACGTACTTGGAGAACTGGCTCGTAGCGATATGCCGAATCCTAGACCGTCAGCTGTACTCGCGAGTTTTGATTCTACGGTGGGTGGAGCGCTCTCGAACGCGGCTGTACAGAAAAATAAACTTAGTTTAGATCTGGATGATGTTGTTGAATGTCAAAGGGACGTACTCCAATCTCCCTCGTCAGCATGAATGTCGATCAAATCGTCGTTCCACAAATGACTACTGCCCTGCCCTGCCTCGTTAGCGACTTCTTCAGCGAGCTGCGCAGCGAGCGTAGAAGTCGGGGCTTTATTTCCACCTAGTTGGAGACCTTTGCCTCTGCCTCTTGATGGATTCATGGAGGGTGAAGGTGAAGACGCAGCTGAAAGAGGTAGAGGACTGGCACGCCCATTAATAGCTGGTGCCGACAATGATCCATCAATAGTACTTGAGATCGTTGTTTGCATGTCAGCAGGGGCAAGCTGAGCGGTACATCCTTGTAAGCCATCAATGTCATGGAAAATGAATCAAACGTACCTTTTTACCAAGTGACGATACAGCCCACCCTGTGAGAGCGGCTGCTGCTCCAGTTGCTGAATTGACAAGGCCAGTTTGGGTGAATGTACCTGGAAGCCTTGCTGGTAGATCGTCCCCACCCTCTTCTGTGGATGCTGATTCTGGCTATGAAAAAGGGTGTATAAGCAATACAAACCGGATTACGGACAGAAGATCTACCATAGTTGCAGCGTGAGCTTCTAACCGCTTGACAAAAAGTTCGACAGCCTTGAAGGCCTGATCGCGAACCAACCTGGACATTTCCAGCCATCAACACATCAAAGTAGTGAAATGAGACTCGGGGCTCACTTTTCTTTATCCAGCGTAGCACCTACGACAGCAGAAACAACTTTCCCAGCTACGTCCTCCATCTCAAAGCACTCCGCAGTTGCCATGAACGCCATAACGCCCGCCACACGAGCGTGGACAAACGGATCCCTGAGCGCCATGCTGAACGCGGGAACAAGAACTTTTCGTTTGGTGTTGTACCCTAGTGAGGGGCCTAGGCGGCCGATAAGAATACAAGTGTTGGTGCGGATGGAGGCTTCTGGGTCTGATTGGAGGCGGGCAAGGTGACGGAGGAGGTCGTTGTTGAGTATGCGGTCAGATAGCTATACAAGTGACCGTTAGCGGCATTGTTTACACTGTGGAGTCAACATACCTTGGGAGAAAGTAGGACAATAGCGCGGACAGTAGCTTCTCGAATGACTGCGACAGTGTCAGTGAAGCCGGTTTGCTGCACGGATAGGATGAAGTAAGTGAACGACAGATGAAACATGTGTCATACCAGGTTTGGCCAAATCTTATCGACGACTGTTTTTTTATCTAGCTTCTCGGCGAAGTCGGGGAGACTATCGAGGAGCGCAATACGTGTGCCACGGTCAGCACTTGCAAAGAGCTTTACGAGGGGTGCAACAATGATCGAGCCGTAGTCGTCAGGTGCAACATTCTTTCCAAATTGGAGGACGAGAGGGACGATGGTTGCTGCTGAGGCACCGCCGAACTCGAGCGCGGATGCGAGGCATGGCAGAACGCGATAAGATACAAATTCGGGGGGAAATGAAGAACCAGATTCCTTGAGCATGCTACACAGCCGCGTCACTGAGTAATTAATATGACAATCCGAAAACCAACACGTACCGTAGCAATGATGCCTTGTCAGATTCACTACTCAGAGTGAATCCGTCCAGTCCAGCGCAGACCTTGACGAGCCGGTTATGTACGAAAAATCCATGTCCTTCTCCATCTGACTCTGCCATACCAATGTCTAGTAGGGTCTTGGCTGACATTCGTGATTTGGGATTCGGGTTGAGGAGCTTTTTGAAGGAGGGAAAGACGGACGATGGTATGGCACCTCTGGAAGAGGCTTGAGGTGGTGGATGAGGTGGCTGAGCAGTCGGTGGTGGAGGGTGGGTGGGATTGAAGACGGCATGAAGAAGTAGACCAAGGGCGTATCCGTCTGCAGCCGATAATGGTACGCTGTAGATGTATCAGAAAGGCAGCTAAATGATGTGTCGTAAACTGATGACGCACTCTTTAAGGGCAGACCAACCCTCCTTCTTGACTTCTGGGGGTGCGCAAGTCATTGCGTCTGGCATGAGGCCGCCCATGGTCTGCAAGGGAATGGTTACTTGGAAGCGTACAAATTACTTATGAAAAGGACGCACATATATAACAGAAAGATCATCTTTTGGATTGCTCAACACCTCGAAGCCTCCCAACTTCCACTCTCCTGAAGGGGTGATAAAGATGGCATTTGGACGGACATTGCCATGGGTAGAGGAAGCAGAATCATTGAGAAAAGCAAGAGCAACCTAGCTCAGAATGTAAGTAAGGTCTTAACGCAGACAAAAAGTGCAATTCTAACGGAAATCCGGTGTAGCCCCCAAATCAGCCAGTCCTCCCGCTCGCGTGGAGCATTGGAGGTTGACTGGGATAGCGCGAGGGGTAGAGGGCGAACCCGTTCCGTCATGATGCAGATTGTTGAATCAGATTCCACAACATCGATGAATCTAAGTACATCTGGATGTCGTATGGTGCGCAGTTTCCGTAGAGAGTTGCGGGCGAGAGGTATGGTGGACTTGTTGAGCGGGTGAGTGAGATCATACTCGAAGACCGAGACCAGACTACCATCCTCCTGCCTTGCAGATTAGCCTGGACATGATTTGGACCCGTGTCGAGAGTTGCGAACCTACCCGTTTCGTAGCGTCGTACAAGGTCCAGAATGTCTCGCAGGAGTAAACCTTGGGACCCAGCGAGAAAGGTAGGTTTAGCCCCGATTTTTGGACTAGAGTCGATACCGCAGCAGAGCCGAAGCTGCGAAGATAGTCCATGAAACCCTCAAGTTGCAAGTACGAGACAATCGAGTGAGAGTAATACGGTGTACAGTCGCTTCAAGGCTCTAAGACTAGTCACCTAGTACGGCACTGCTAAACGCAAACATTCATTTTGACACGTATGATACAGCATCACTTCTCCGTGGAAGTCAAAACGCCGCGTACTTTGAAAACGATAGTGGTGTCCCAATTTCTACGAGTATCAGTACAGGAAACAATGTGTATTATGTGTGTTCAGCAGCTACTGATTTCGTAATGTCCGCTTCAGAAGTTCAAGATGCCTACACGCCGATATTATGCTCGAAATCTGTCATGTCGGTTTGTCTGGGCACTAACACTAGTCATGCTTCAAAACCAATATGGGCACACCACGTCCGACATGTGCGCACATATCGTGCCCAAAAGATAAGATGCTTTACCCCCCTTCGCAGGTTAAATACGGCGTTTACTAACATGGAGAAGTCCTTGTCAAATATATCGAGGCAGTCGCAGATGTAGTTGAGCGAAGGCTAGATGCTTCTGGAGGCACGGAGAGGGCCGGAGATGTGCCACGAAATCGAGTACAAGACATCAAGTACGTGTATGTCGAAGGGGACGCAGTGATATGCAGTCAGGAATGCTTCGACGCATCAGCTTGGAGCTCCTCGAGTGGAACACGAACAAGGCGTTCTCCGGTAAGTGGTACAGTTTCGTCACTGGAGTCTGCCGAGAGCTGTTCGCGACTGTTCACTGCAGGATGATCAGCGTTAGATTACAAGCTAAACGGAACCTTGCTCACAGAACAAACTCAAACTTTGGAACATGAGAGGCCATTGCTCGAGCACCTGACCATGTACTGTTCGAGAAGGTTAATGATAGACAAGGATCAGGTTAGGAGTAGAAACCTTGGCCAGCATCGGCCATAACCTCGCAATCCTCTGCAAGACCCTCTATGCGTTTCAGGAAGAGAGCGCTAGCACGTTCAAGCGCAGCAACGGCCTCGAACTCTTTCTTTTTCTCCTGCAAACGTGACGTTGCTGCTGCATTATTGGCCTGTGATGTGAGGGACGCAGCATGTGAAATGCGACTCGGCGCGACAGACTGGCGCATTTTGTATTGGGATGTCGATTAGCAGAACCTTGGTGTGGACGATGAGCTTATCGTGGGTAACAACAAGAAGGTTAAAAGTCCGATTGGCACGTGATCGTTAACCTTTAAGTTTACCTTCCAGTGCTCTCGTAATTTTTGGGAGCTCGCAATCTATGGGATATTATAACGGGCCCTCAAAACGTTTGGCTGACGACAAGCAAGCTGCAAGGATTCTCTTCGACTTCTACGCGCACGGTGATACCTCACCGGTGTTTGATATGAGCCTCGTATGATTCGTATCAAGTACTGGTAAGGCATCACCGTAGAACATCACTACTATGGGTCTGCGATCAAGTAAAGCATTCCCGAACTTTCCATGGCGCCTACCGAGTGCTTAACGCTCGATAGTGCCTAGAGGCTGCGGTCACTAGGGTAGCCATGTTTCCCGCCCTTTCTCCACGACTTCGCGCACCCTACTTCTCTCAGACTGATCCTCGACGTCAGCTATTTGCGATGAGCGAACACATTCGATCGAAGGATTCGAGGCCAGATGCTCCTCTAGAAGTCTGCAGATCCAGTGAAGCAATCACAGGCGAAGGTCCAGTACGTTGCTCACGAGGATCCCTCTTCATAAAATTCATTACAATTGAAACGCTTCTTCTGACGCATCCTTTGCCCAGGGCCAACCCCGTGGCACAATCTGTCGTTTTTTGGGGAAGGTCAAGAGTGGTATGATCAAACAAAAATTCTGAGTGGACGAGGATACCGTGCGTCCTGGAATGGGGCTGAGCATCGGGCTCACTAACACACTCAGTGGCGCAGTTACCGTCCTTCCATTCATTGCCTAGTGGCTGAAGGTGGGCACATGGTTACTGAGCGCTGTTAGAAATACCCTCGCGCGCCACGGCAGCGACATTCTGGATACCAAGAAGCCTCGTCAACAGCAATTGATTTGCGGAGATTCATTCAAATCTTCGGCGGTATCGTTTAGCACAGCACAGCACATCTATATGTATCAGCGCTGCCGTTCTCGCCCCGATATCTAGCAAATTTACTGCAAGGTTTCCGAGAACCCTGCATGTAGCATGTGGATGCAACTTGAACTGGACATCTGCTCAGACGTTGATCAGCGGGCACACAAGTCGGGTGAAGTCAGTCTCGTTTTCACCGGATGGCACTGGCATCGTGTCTGGTTCAAATGATATGACTGTCCGACTGTGGGATGCAGTGACGGGGCAGCCAGTCTGTGAGCCCTTGCGAAGGCACACTGATCACGTTCAGTCAGTCTCGTTCTCGCCGGATGGCACTCGCATCATGTCTGGTTCGGACGATACGACTGTCCGGCTGCGGGATGTAGCCACTCAGGAGCCAATTGGCGAGCCCTTACAGAGGCACGCTTACATGGTGCATCTGGTTCAGTTGATACGACTCTCCTCTTGTGGGATGCAGCGATGGGGAAGCAAGTCGGCAAGCCCTTGGAAGGTCATTCTTCTTGTATTTCCTCAGTGTCATTCTCACCCGACGGCACTCGCATTGCCACTGGTTCGTACGGCAATACTATCAGGCTTTGGGATGCATCGTCGGGGCAACCGGTCAGTGAGCCTTTGCAGGGGCACACAAATTTCGTTGATTCACTGCGCCAGATGGAAGCCGCATCGTGACTGGTTCACGCGATATGACTATCCGGCTGTGGGATGCAGCATCACATCTGGTTCTGAAGATCATACTGTCCGGTTGTGGGATGGAGTGATGGGGCAGCCGATTGGTGATCTCTGGCAGGGGCACGATTCTTGGATTAGCACAGTCTCGCTCTCGCTCTCGCCAGATGGCACTCGCATTGTCGCTGGTTTGCAGGACAACACTATTCGGCTCTGGCGTGCGGCAACAGGGCAGCCAGTGGATGCGCCCTTGCGTGGGCATACTGAAACCGTTTCCTCAGTCTCATTCTCGCCGGATGGCTCTTGCATCGTGTCCGGTTCATACGATAAGACTGTCCGGCTATGGGATACAGCGACAGGGCATACACTCGGTGAGACTTTGCGAGGGCACGCTGACACGATTTCTTCAGTCTCATTCTCGCCGGATGGCAGTAGCATCGTGTCGGTTTCCAGCGACCAGACTGTCCGAGTCTGGTATGCCACAATTGGGCAACCATTGCAAGATTGCACAAAGAAACATTCTTCAGCAGTCTCCTTCGATAGCCGCCACACTGCCATGCCCCCCAGGGTGGACAGCACTGTGGGATTGACACATCCCTGCAACGATAACTTCATTCGCTTCTTATCCAACTCGACCCACGCGCTGTACGACGTTGCTGAGCTCGTTGAGGACATTTCCCTTGATGACCAAAGGTCAACCTCTTTTTCGCTCGGAGTTGATGGATGGATGGTGGGACATAAAGGGGTCGGCTCCTTTTTTTGGTACCACCCGCTTCCCGCAAGACATTCCACGGACTATATTTACGATGCCTAGAGCATGTGCTGAGCTTGATTCGAATTGCATGACACATGGAAGATACCGGCAGAATTGCAGGGACGAGTGAGTTCCTGACCTTTTCTACCACTTGCAACTAGTCAACTTAATGATGGTTTGTGCCAGCAATCGATTTGTGGAGATGTCACCAGAATACATATTGTGACATCGAAAAGAGAAACAATTGAGATATAAGGTATGTAGTGCGTCCATGGTGTGATCACTAATGAGATCAGGAATTTGTCGATGTTGAATATCCAACATGTCACACAGATACAGTGCAAATCTGGAGCTGTGTAGCGCAAATTCACGGTCTCCAGTATCCATGGAAGTAAAATTTGATGTTTGTTGTGATGTCAAATTCAAATGGAGTTTCGACACAAGCTGATGTCTACAGTAACCGTATACATATTGCGCAGCAGGTCTATTAGTAGAAGGAAGTCAGTCGCTCCTACCTTCATCGCCCTGTCTGTGATTGATGGCATCATGATACTACGAGATATCACCAAGAGATTCATCAACACGCTCCGTATCAGCCTGAGTGATAATGGATTCTATATAACGACATACACAAAACTCCAGGAAGACTCGGATGCCCACGCCTTCGCACATCTGCTAGGCTGTAGACGGCTTGAGTCATTATTTTCGCCATGGGTTCAGTAGGGATGCCATTGGATACTGCTTGTTTACTGGCAGTGATACTGGAAGGCATTGTATACGGTGAGCATCGAAAATGTGTTTGTTCGTCCTATGGCCAACGAGCTAGGAACACATCTCCAGGCTTCTCAATCCTCATGTTTATGGGTACCATCTGGTCTTTGACATACAAGCAGCGCATGCAGGACATCAATCGCCCAATGCTCGCGGTGGCCATCCTGCTGTTGATACTGAGCACTGGGGTTAGCGCTTCTTGTTTCTTATATCCGTTGGTCTACTGACTTTCTGCAAGCACATCGTCGCGAACGTCATTCGTATGGAAGATGGGCTAGTGAAGTATCGCGGCACGTACCCCGGCGGGCCAGTGGCATACTTGGCAGACCCTACCCAGAAAACGCTTGCAATTATGCATGTGTTTTACGTCTTACAAACTCTACTGGCTGATGGGGTAGTGGTGGGTTCATATTTTTATCTGCCAGGTTCAAACCTTTTTGGCTTACATTTTGTAAAAGATTTACCGCTGTTATGTTGTGTCGCAATCAGTCTGGGTCATTATCATACCAAGCTTGCTGTGGTGCAGCGTCGCAGGTTGGTTTGCAGTCATGCTCACGAAGTCGTGCTCTCTGACGTTAGATCAAAGTGACTGGTTTTGGTGCGGTCTACAGCTATTTGCAAGTCGCAAATTACTCCGGAGACTTGTTCGCTAACCTACTTGGCTGGCCTGCAAAATGGGTTACCGCATTCTTCGCCTCGACTATGGCAACGAATGGATTGAGTTCAGGTAAGCACGTTTCCATGAGCGCGATGACGAGGCCCTGAATGTGTCCAGGATTACTCGCATATCGCATCTGGATGGTTGAACGGAAAGTCTCTACAGCTCGCGGACCCAATGGCAATAGTATGATGCCAATAGTGCGCGTGCTTGTGGACGCCGCTATTTTGTATACTGTGGTTCTCGTCATAACACTAATACTTTTCCTATGCTCGAACAATGTAGAGGAACTCGCGCTGGAAATGGTGATTCCGCCCCAAACACCTGGTATCCGAAAAGAAAGGCTGATTTTTTTTGAACTAGATCCCGTCGATCATATCGATTGCCTTCTACATGGTCCTTATACGCATCGCAATCAACAGACAAAATCGCACTCCCTCGACCAATGAGACGGAACTAAGCACTTTCCACCAGAGTCGTATGCAGGTTGATATATCCAAATATACGCGCAATGACGGTACCCCAGTATATGGAATAGGGAATGAAGATCAGCCATCGACATTGAAGGAGTAGTCTATAAATGGGCCCTTGCAATCATAACTAAACATGATCGCTATTTATTCCCTAGAGATCTGTTTGGACCCCTAATTATCATGTATTCATGCACAGACTCAGTTCACATTGCTGTATCTCACCGTTTAATTGTAGTTATACTCCCCAGTTGCTGGAAAGCGACTGAAGTCTCTCCAACAAAACTGGTCCGACATCACAATATCGTAGATATCCCATAAGAAGCATCGTAGTGTATGATTTATTATTCGTTCTATTAGTATTATATATACCTCCTGGGTGCCACAGGATATGCCCCGTACAAACACACCAGTCACCGAGTTCCGTCAGAGTCAGTGAAAACTCCAACGATTGTATTTTCAGTACGACTTGCAGATGACGGTCCTGGTGGTTCGCGGAGATAAGTTACTGACGTTCAACCCGAACCATGAGTACTGAGTCATGACAGTAACTCCGACTCAATAGAGTTACTTTAACCATGCTCCTGTTTGTCTGTTAGTAATGCGCGTGTATCGCGTCGTGATCTGGCGGGATCGCCTTGTTACAATGTCATCTTTTCAAGGTCAATATTAATCTCAAGGCCAGAGGCAGAGAGGACTCGATGAAATTGCCCAGAATAACCTGATTATTGATACTCCGACACGGAGTTTTAATATCTGAATGCGTCCTGTTTCTATTATTATATTATTTACCCGTTCAAAACAAACACATTCATGCAGGTTGGACCTTGTGGGGCCCTGCGACGCTTTTCTTTCCACTTTGGTGCTCACCTGGATGGCATGCTCGTTAAAGTTCCGAAGTACAACGAACGTGTTCTGTGCCATACCCTTGTGACGGCAGGGTATTATTAAATGGAGTCGGTCAGCATCTGCCAGGTGAGTGGAGTTTGGACCAATTATTCTATTTAGAGTGACTGATTCTTGTCCCCTACTAGTTAAGTTTGCGAAATGAACACACTAGTATGTGGCTGAGCTTTAGTATAACGTCAATACGGTTGCAACCGGTTATATGCCAACGCACAATCAGGCTTTTTCACGGAAATGTGATTTTTTGGAGCGCATATATACCGACAGTACTTGGTGACCGGTCTGTGCGCTACTTATCAACGCATGTGGTCTGTATAATATGGGACGGACTTATGACAGAGCGGCTGTAATACGCGTGTATCACTAAACAGAATTCTAGCGAACAAGGTTTAGCTACGCAACTCGGTCGCCTCTCAGGTAAGTTATATTTGTGCTCAAAACCTCATGGTTACACACCAGTCACTGATCTGCTGATCGAGGCAGCGCGCGCCTATCACTGATTGGGCCCTATTTCTGTCATTTAGGTAGGCTCACAGCAAGTCTCGGAGACTGACGTAAATCACCTCGGAATGGTGTGCTTTATTCAAAACGTTTAGCATCGCCCAAGCGCTCTTCAGAAGCATCGGTGGCGTCGAGCGTAGTGTGACGGAGGCGAACTGCAGGAACGTGTTGGTTTGCTATTGGTTCGGGTCCGGGCAGCTGGTAGGGAGCCTCAGGAGCTCACGATGCTCATTAATTTGGAACCTACTCTCACACGTAATGTGTAGTAGCAACAGCCCGGAGGTTCACCGAAACGTGCATCGCGCGTTCTTAAGGACGTCGGATACATCTTTTTCCTCGACGCATCGAATCTGGCTCAGCCCGCGAAAACTGCCCTTCGTTCGTCGCGTTTCCGAGAATGCTGCAAAATCGCCTTGCTATCTTGCTTGCCCTTTTGCCATGGCTAGGGATATTCGCCATGGCTCAGAACGTGGCATCTCAGGCGTACACACCTGTTGCTGCGCGGTGTCCTGCCGGCTTCAATCTGGTGCGGATGGCTGGTAGTCCGGGGAATCAGGCTCTTAGCTCATCTGAGGCCTCCTACATCCAAAATCGCAAGACCAACGTCCTTCCACAAGCCTGGAAGACATATCTCTCCAACGTGTTGTCCACTAATCCTTCTCTCCCGGGTTACGTCTCAAGCATTCTTTCGGGCGCTAGCTCCGAGATCCCAACTCTAGGAATTGCAACGAGTGGAGGAGGGTATAGGGCTGCAATCTTTGGTGCAGGAGTGTTGAATGCACTAGACGCGCGAAATTTGTCTTCCGATGCTGCTGGGACAGGCGGGTTGCTCCAGGCAGCAACCTATCTGTCAGGATTGTCAGGCGGATCATGGTTCATCACATCCCTTACGCAAGCCAATTTCCCCACTATCCAAGAACTCATTTTTGGACCCGCTAGTCCCACAGTCTCTAACAATTCGTGGGGAGGATGGAACGCTGGCTATGATATTTTCACGCCAAGTATCAACCCCATCACGGATACGGAATATTACACGGACCTTGTTGATGAGTTGCGTGGAAAGTACGACGCCGGTTATGTAGTGACAATTGCGGACTATTGGGCACGTGCACTAGCCAGACATTTTGCTAATGGCACTTTTTCGTCTAATTTTTATGACGAGTCGTACACTCACGGAGCGGGTATCTTGTGGTCTGCTGTTGCAAACACGTGGGTCCGCTCTCATTCTGTTGAGTTCATTCGCTGATCCTGGTTAAAGGACCTCTTTTGCGTCCTATTCCATACCATTCCCAATTGTGGTCACAAACCTTCAAGCACCGGGTCAGAACTCATCGGAGATAATTTCAGGAGACTCCATCCCCTTAACCAATCCCCTATTCGAGTTCAATGTCTGTGAGTCACGAACGCGGTCTCTTGTTCCCGGGCCCCTGACCACATCTGAATAGTCGAAACGGGCTCTTTTGACCCGCAGCTTTCTGCGTTTGCGCCTACCAAATACTTGGGAACGACAAACAACAGTATCTGCATCACCAACTACGATCAGTCTGCGTTCGTCACTGGATCATCTTCTGAACTATTCAATGGCGCTAATTTCACTGTGGGTTCCATTCCGCGATTGTCCATAACACGTCTAAACTAGCTCGGCAGAATACCTTCAATTCGACCTTTGGGCCCGTTCTAGCTCTTATGGAGAGTCTCCTGCCTGAACCTGAGGTTGAATACGACGTCGCTTCTTGGCCAAACCCATTCTATGGCGTAGCACCGGACACGTTCATTGATTCTGCGCAAACGAATTTGAATATGGTGGACGGTGGTGAGGATGGTGAAGTTATTCCCTTGCAACCTCTCCTCGTAAAGGCGCGTGGCATCGATGTCATTTTCGCCATTGATGCAGTAAGTAGTTTTCGTAAGAATATCGTGGTCTTCAGTTGATCTTGAACTTAGACTAATGATAACAACGGCTTCGCGGATGGCAGCTCTATGATCGTGAGCATACACAGCTATCGAATAACTTTCGCATCTGAACCTTTGCTAGGCCACGCAAAATCGTACTTCGCTTTACCCTTCTGCTTACTCGTTCCCTTTCGTTCCCACTTCTATGGGAGAATACACCGCACAAAACCTAACTACCCGCCCGACGTTCTTTGGATGCAACACGACCAGTTCGAACGCAAGCACCCCCCTTCTTATTTACCTTGCTAATGGTGGTTCACCCCACAATGGCGAACCTCCCGTTACCAACACCCCAACGACTCAAATCTCTTATACATCATCAGAGATCCAGGCAATGCTTAGCCAGACCTTTGTCATTACGACCCAGGGATATCCAACAAACGGAGCGACGAAGGATCCGGATTGGCCGTCGTGTCTCGCATGTGCCGTCGTCGATCGTGCAAGGGAGCGAGCAGGAGTAGCAAGAAGTGGTATTTGCTCTACCTGCTTGAACAGGTACTGCTGGGATGGAAGCACGCTCACAACTGCTGCCTCTCACAGTGGTACTCATCGCATCGGCCACGCATTCGGACAGCTGGGCGCCTTCGGGGTGGCGTCGGCTATTGTGGTCATGCTAATGATGTGAAGTCAATTTGTACAGGTGGACAGAGTCTGAGTTTTTGTTGTCAGAGTTGATGTATTGTTGATGCTTTTGGTCACTGCTGGCTGTTGTTAATGAACTGGACGCAATTACTGGCATGACATTTTCTTTTGCCGGGATGCGGCGGTGTCGGGACCTGCTAGTCGATTCTGATTCAGCAATGGCGGATCCACGTCACGGGCGTCAGATACGATGACCACTGGCAAGAATTTCAAACGTGCGGTTACTAGTACTAAAGCTCAGGCTGCGGTGTTGAGACTGACAGGAGCACGAAGCCGAGCTGTCAGCGTCAGCCAAGGATGGGTAGACTTTGCATCCAGCTGACATGGTGATCCTCCAACTCCTGTCCTCAGTTGTCTATAATTTGAATTTATAACTCTGCACTTCTTGAGCGAACATGATCCGGGGCTGCGGCCTTGCCAACTTGTCGAGACAGAAAAGGCAACCACGTGTTGTTTAGAAACTCCGCGAACCTATACGGGTATCGATAGATGGCAGACACATTGAGTACTGAGCGTTGCGTATCGGCCTCACCCGCTCGTCCTCATGCTGTTTTTCTCTTCACACCTCTCGTTATATGGCTCAAGCGATGCTTCCTGTACTAAGGACGATGCAATTTTCTCCAGATGGATAGATTGGCTCAGATGAATCCCAGAATTAAAATTTTATCCTCGGAGTCAGTCCTCATGGCAAACAAATCGCTGACGTTTAACGGCCTACTTTCAAAGGTCTGGTTTACTGCTCCGATGCGGTGTCGTCCGTATTCTCCTGTTGCCATTTGATACATGATATTATTCTGCTGATGACGCGTGTGTTCATCATTATAGTGGCGCCTGCTATGACTCGGACAGGCCGATGCATGAGCAATAATGGTGAACCCTCCAAGGCAACTCCATCACTTTCCAGAGAAGTTGCTATTTTCTGTGATCGTCAGGTCCCTCCACAGTCCTCGTTTCTTGTCGAGTCATGTGGTCTTCCTAGACGTTGGTCTTTGCTGCGTGTACTGGCACGTATTGTCATCTTCGATTTGTTCCCAGCGCGACTGTTACTAATGAAAATTCCGTCTCATAGACAGAGCGAGTGTCACGGAGGCGAGGGGGCCGGAAGAGGAATATGGTATCCCGGATGTAGATTACTTACGAGTCCATTTTGGGATGGAGGAATCAACGTCCAACCGCCATCGGCGACATTCCATTGACCAAGTGTGACCGCGATTTGGATATGTTTTTGTCACACTCTGTGGAATGGTATATATACCAGCTACGTTCTGAATTCCTCATAGGCGCCCTCTCCTTTCTTTCCCCCTCTATTACTTGTGCCCGCCGACGACGCAGGTATCTTTTTTGTTGTCATTGTTAGATTTCCCATTTGCTACACCCACCATGGACTTCATCGCTACCGCCGCGTTCCCCATCTCAGTTTCTTGGATAACCCACAACATCGCTCTTGCCGCTCTGTCTCTTACTCTGGTCTACGCTCTCTCGCGTTCTGTATACAACCTCTTCCTTTCGCCCCTCAGCTCGATACCCGGCCCTTGGTTTGCCGCCGTCTCTAACTTTTGGATCACAACACACGTCTTGCGCCTCCAACAATGCAAGACCAATCACCGCCTTTTCGAGAAGTATGGCCCTGTCGTTCGAATCGGTCCAAACAAGATCATCTTCAAAGATTTGACGTCCATGAGAAGCATCTACTCAGTCCACAAATTTGACAAGAGCGCCTTCTACAAGAGTCTTTTAACGTGCGTTTATCCTGTCTTTAACACGACTTTGGCTCATTTGCTCATTTAGAAACGAGAATGATCATGCGTTAGTGCACCTTATAGTCTGTTTGACGCGCATATATGCTAATTTTCTGACTAGTATGACAACATTGGACCACGCGGGACATGTTACACGGCGAAAGGGTTATGCTCCGCACTATATCCCCGTCAACCTCGCTCTTTTTCAGCCCGAGGCGCATGATTATACTCTCGAGCTTGTTTCGGTATGCCCCTGGACATTAGCATACCATTTCCCTTTTAATGCGCTCGATCCAGGTTCTAGAACATATCGGAGGCAAACATTCTTTGGATTGTCTTGCATTGTTCCGCCATTATATGGTGGACGTTATCATTGCATCTTCTCATGGCTATCGTCAGGGTGCTCTCAGTAAATGGATTGCGGGTGTGGAGGATTCCATGGCCACTGCAATCGCAGATTTCCCAAAGCGAGGCATTATCGTAAGACGATCGACCTTGCATCAAAATTAGACTGACAGGGGTTGCAGAGAAGTGCGGTACCCCCTTGGGTGTGGGATTTGATCTGCCGTATTCCCAACAACCGGTGGCGCCAGATGTGCGATTCTGATAAGATCATGGGCGAGGTTATTTTCTCTCTATCTTCAATGCATACAATGAAACTGATTCTCGCCTCTTCTCAAGTTCGTTGGTGCACGCGTGTATGAGATGCGAGCACAGTTGACTGCAGGAAAACTTGGTGAATCTGAGAAGATTCCGATGTTGCGACGCCTTCTCCAGCACAAGTATTCTCTTGAACAGGCCATGCCTGACCACGATATCATTTCGGAAATGATGGGACATATGTATGCGTTCATTTCTTGTCCGACTGCTTATGGCGCCAGCTGAATTGACACCCCTAGGATTGCAGGGTCTGATACCACATCAAACTCGTTGTCCTACTTCTTTTGGGAGCTTAGCCGCAGGCAAGATATCATGATGAAGCTCCAGGCAGAACTGGACCAAGCGATGCCTGATCCGCATGCTATTCCCGATATCGCTCTCTTGCAGAAGCTTCCTTACCTGAACGCTTTCGTGAAAGAAGGTCAGACTGCGCTTCGCTTTAGCTTACATCTTCTTACACATGTCATAGGTCTTCGGCTGTACAGCGCCGTACCAAGTCCTCTCGAGCGTGTTGTTCCGTCTTCGACATCCAAAAATGGCGCCATTAATGAAGCTTTTGATCTTATGGGTTACGCACTTCCTCCTGGCACTATCGTTGCCACCCAAGGCTGGTCTATGCACCGCGATGCATCCATCTTCCCTTCTCCGAAGACCTTCCTTCCTGAGCGCTGGCTCGAAAGACCCGGGAACGCTGAACATCTTTTCAAGATGGCACAATCTCTGGTGCCATTCGGAATAGGTTCGCGTGTCTGTGGAGGCCAGAACTTGGCGCAGATGATGTTGAGGATCGCGGTGGCCACTGTGGCGAGGAACTTTGATGTTGTGGCTCCTCCTGAGACCAACGAGCGAAGTATGGAAATCAAGGACTCCTTTGTAATTGACTCTCTTTGCGATCACTATCCGAGGACTTGACTTATGTGCCATTTCTTGCAGGTTATCTTCCCTGCTTCGATGGAATGCAAACTTACATTCGTCCCACGAGCTCAGTGAGCTTTCTGGCGATTCATCTACCATCACTACGACCCACCACGAGCGTACACGCCTCATAATTTCTCTTCTCATCTCCTATTCCTACATTAGTGATTAGAGCTCCTATAATCGGTTAATATTCATCAACGTGGGCTGGCTACCCTGCGAAACCCCCGTCGAACCTGCTTTCGTTGTAGTAGTGTGGACATACTCTTGGTTTTCGCGATGCTATGCATTCGTATTACTGTGGTATTCTATTCGGCTGGCCTCATGTATGTAGGTCAATACCCATTTGTGTCTCAAGTTTGGCATACGACTTGGAGCGATGTTGGGATGATAAACACGACTCCGTTCGTGGTAGCATCATGACCAGCCGTTTTACACAAAGGGTAGGTGACGGTTTTACTTTGCTCCTTCAAGATGAGATACCTGATGAGAGATCATGTATCAACAACTTGAAAGAGCAGAATTGACTTTCTTGTCCTGGTTATCGTTCCAAGTTTGTGTCTGACGTTGTGATTCCTGAACATTTGTTTGCACCTAGGGAAGCATAATATGATCATTCCAACACATTCTGGCTACGTACCTAGAACCGACCGAGTCGGAGAGGAACGCATCAATGATCTTGCCACTCCCTGTTCCAACATCGAGAACATCATAATCATCGAGGATTCCTGATCAGGCTGCAATTGAACGGCTGTAATACGTTCCAAGTGCCAGTCTGTTTTTCAGAATGTCTTCCCCGCGTGACTTCTGAATTTACATAATAAGGATATTTTACATTGCAATGCAAATACTGGAATTTATGTCTTCCTGTGTCTCGGTTAGGAGCTGCAGTGCCAGTTAGTGCCAGTTAGTGCCAGTTAGTGCCAGCCAGCCCTTGTACTATACAGCAACCACATGTCAGCACTGTGCTTGCCCGATTGGGTAGGTATTGCCTTTCTTCCGTCCTAATGAACTAGCGATTTGCGTCTGGAGATTTCAATTTCACCACTCGACACGCAAGATAAGGCGTCGGCTAAGGGCTTTACTCGTATCGATCTAGGCAGCGGTGTTCATTTGAATTGGCCAGAAGATCGTCAGATAGCCGCCAGTGCTTGCGAGAAGCACACCAACAGCTCTTAGACGCCTCGCGTTCGATCTTTTTCGATGAAAGATACGGAGAAAGATCCATCGCTCGAAGTACCGGATGCTCCAGATGAGGCTGCATTTACTAAGGAGTCGGCTAGTATCTGGAAGAGGTTCGTTGTTGGGTCCAGCGACGCGTCTGCCGAGAATAAAACGAAGAGGGCAATGCAGAGCAGACACCTGATGATGATCGGTGAGTGTTTGTTTGAAGCTCTGCGGACGCATCAGTATCGATAGTCGATGAATCTTACGCTGTACTGAAAACGCTTTCCCGAATCTGCGCAGCAATCGGAGGGACCATTGGGACGGGTATTTTTTTGAGCGCTGGATCTGTAAGTATCGCTTTATTCTCGTATGAGCGCGTCCTTTGTTACTACTTAGATTCTTTCGTCCAGGCTATCGCTTTGGCCGGTCCAGGAAGTGCTCTGCTCTCGTATTTTGTCGTCGGGGTGTTTGTATACAGTGTCGTGATCAGTTTGTAAGTTTCTTACATCACGTGATCATCTACATAAAATGAAACAAATTGTAGGGGCGAAATGTCTGCCATGTTCCCCGTATCCGGTGCTTTCTCCACCTTTGGTAGCAGATTCGTCTCTCCCGCGTTAGGATTTACGTTAGGTACCGTACTTTTACCTTGATGTATCCCCGTGCTGACTTGAGGATTTCTGGGAACAGGGTGGAATTACTGGTTTCAATGGTACGTCTGCCTCTGAGATAAACTGCAAGTTCATTGACCGGTCTGACGTTGTTCATCCATTCGCGTTCAGGAGTCTTTCAATACGTGAGCATTACTTCTGTCCAGGTTCATTCGTTTGAAAAGTCGATTAAACCATCCATCTATCATGGTCAGCCAGCGAGCTGACTGCAGCTGCGGTCATCTTACAGGTGAGTTAGCTTATTTTTAATCCAATGTGACCCCCGATGTCCAAGAAAATTGCTGATAGGACTTTTCATCAGTTTTGGGCGCCGCAAGTGCAGGCCTGGGAATGGGCGCTCGTCATCATCGTCCCTGTTTTCTTACTTCAACTGATTCACGTTCGAGTTTACGGTGCGTAATTATGGAGTATATGTGATAGTCATGACGCTGATACGCAACAGGAGAGTCCGAGTACTGGTTTGCACTCGTCAAGGTCCTTATGATTATAGTGTTCATCTTTGCCGGGCTCATCTACGACTGGGGTGGAGTAAAAGGTCATCCTGGACCCGTAAGCATAGTGTTCACTGACAGCACGACTGCTTATCTCCTGACTTGAAGGGTTTGTCGAATTTTCAAAACGGCCAAGCGTTCATCGGCGGCTTTCAAAATTTCGCTCAGACATTCGTCTACGCCTTTTACTCTTTCGGCGGTGTTGAACTGGTGGCAGTTGCCGCAGGGGAGTCCGTTCAACCACATAAAACTGTTCCTCGAGCCATCAAGGCTACTTTCGTCCGGATAGTCCTTTTCTACATTTTGACCATCCTGACAATTGGACTTTGCATTAACTGGCAAGACCCTACCTTGCTCAACGCAGCATATGGTGAGTGGTAAATTTGATGCGCAATTCACAGCTCATCCCCTCGATCTTCCATCAGACTCGGATGTGACAGCGTCTCCACTGACTGTGGTGTTCCAGCGTGCCGGGTTCGGCGCAGCTGCCCACGTCGTCAATGCCGTCCTCTTGACCGCGGTTTTATCCGCCACAAATTCGTGTTTCTATGCGAGTTCACGTATGCTTCTCTCATTGGCCAGATCTGGTCAGGCCCCTCGTGTCTTTGGCTGGGTAAATAGTCGAGGCGTTCCCGTGCCTGCACTCCTGTGAGTCCGCCTTATTGCATTATCCTCATAGAATACAGTATTGACGCTATGCGGTTTCTGATGTAGCATGGCGCTCGCAGTATCATCTATGACGTTTCTTACAACAATCTGGGGAGAGGGCATCGTGTTCACTTGGTTGCTCAA